ATGAGTTGGCGAATTTTGAGATACCCTCTATCACAAGTCTATTTTTTTTATAATCCAGTCATTCCAACCATACACACCCATGAGAGACCGGAAAAGAAATAAGACGTTTTCGGCTTCTTTTGACGAGATGACATCTTCTTTATCCCACATGCGCACTAAATAAATGGCGTGAAATCTTATATTAACAATGACAGTGAAACAGTTAATTTTTCTTGCTATTAAACCTATTGAGATGTCTCCATGGCATTCAGACATGTGGGATAATTTTCAAAGCAAGACACAATAATTACCTTTCTTTGTCTGTTCTCTTAGACGCATGCGTCTATCACCATAAAGGGACACAGTTGTGGTCTAAACATTCAAAAAAAAACCCCACTCCATTTTGAAAAATAAAATAAATATACGTCAAGAAAAAAAAATATCAATCCTGATAATAAAACGAAAACTACTTAAGCATATGAACCATTCCTATTCGGTACATTTATATACTGGAGAACCAACTTGAAGAATGCATCATTTGCTTTGGAGTTGTTTGAAGATTGAAAAATAATAATTTTAGATTTGACTATTCAGTTACATTGTGTATATTTACATTATATTGCATGCAAAATACGATACAAATTTGTCAATCATTGTTGAGATATATATGTTTTAACCGGGTCTAGGAAAACTGCCGGCGGGACAACTGCCGGCCATTTTAGTATTTATTTATAGTTTATAACTGTTGATTTTATTGCCAGTGTTTTCTTTGTTCTTAAATCATTAAATGATAAATGAGGAAACAGTTATAAACTATAACTGTTAATCTTTTTAGTATAGTTTATTAATTGATGGATGTGCACAATACATGTAATCATTGTATTCTTCTTCCAAAGTTGCTGCTTACCCTAAAGGTCGAAATTGCGTTACGGCACCAAATAGAATATGTATTCTATTTTATTATTACATATCTTAGTAGCCTTGTGATCGTCTTTGCTTCCCCTTCACGTTGTGTATTTTCTTCTTATCTATCTCAGTTAGTTAAGATGTTTGGTTTACCAGGAATAACAATGCAACAGTTCGTTTTTACATTTTATATATCATAGCCGGATACATGGACACATGCATAGTATGGATTACAATACTAAAGTCATTCCCAAACACTAGCCAGCCAGACTCGCTGGTTTGAGTCTGCCGATAGACATTGCTACATTTTTTCTCTTCTGGAATCAAGCTGCTGTCTAGCGAATTCTCACAAGTATGATAGTTTTGTAGCTTTGGGTTTTGGACCTTCAATTATCTAATTGGCCAAATATGATGTAAATAGGTATAGAGATTGGTTAAACAAGCTGAATGATGCAATCGTAAATTTCCTATCACGTGTAATACATGATATTTTTATTCCCACAAAACCAGCTAATGTTTACCAAATTATAACTCTTTTTTATGTAACCATCTGTCACTCATTCGCTAACATATATATGAATCTAATAACTTACCAAAGATATTAATTAATACAATATAATGCCATCATTAATTTCAAGAGCAAAAATTCTACAAAGAGTGTTACATTCGTCCCTTTCTTCAAGACTTTTTGCTCGGTATTAGGTAAAAGATCCCTTGAATCCTTTACAATAACCATACCAACATAAATTATATAAATATTCATAAATGTAGCAGAAATCTCGAAAATCGATATATATCACCTTCTAAGATTTATGCGAAATGAACAGGTAGGAGACTCTTAAAAACCTCCATGTACTAAACCCTGTAATTATTCATGCAACATGCACATATATATGATTACTATATGATTAACATACAAGATTACATATGATCACAATCTGCGTCAATCTGTTCTAAAAAATATAAGTATCAATGAACACAAATAAAAATCAAAAATCGCATGTAAAAGCTCTCTAAAAGTTCATCACAGTACTGCAAAGTCCTATGAAAATTCACTAAACCTAAACACAGAAAACACAAATTGTCTTTTTTTAAATCTTCATGTGTCCTAATTTCAAAACACTATAACACATCACTACTTCTAATTTATAAAGTTCGGGGGGGGGGGGCTGAATGGTTAGCACGTGCGCGCTGTATCATAAAGTCTGTCATTGAGTCAACTGGTGTTGTTTCGATTCCCCGGCTGTACGTGACAAGGAGTAGGGTCGCCTGTCCAACCTCGTTGGTTATCTCCGGGTCCTCCGGTTTCCTCCCAGTGCTAAAGACCCCTACGCGCAAGCGAATTATTGAAATAAAATTAAACCATATCTTAGTCCCGAAATGACCTAGTTTGTGTCGAGTGGACGTTAAACCCCATTTCTCTCTCTCTTTATAAAGTCCGGGTTTCACTTTAAATTATGTCTCAGGAAATCTCAATTTGGTAAACTGGTAAACCATTCTTCTTGGATTTCTATTGGTCTGTTTCAGCTACCATAGTCTCAAGTTGTGGCCTGTTTGTGTGTGACAAGGCTGTGTGTGGTTGCCTGTCCAACCTCGTTGGTTTTCCCCGGGTTCTCTGGTTTCCTCCCACTGCTAAAGACCTCTACTCGCAAGCGAAATTTTTAAAATAAAGTTAAACCATACATGTTAGTCCCAAAATGACATAGTTTGTGTCGAGTGGACATTACCCCCCCCCCCCTCTCTCTCTCTCTCTCTCTCTCTCTCTCTCTCTCTTTCTCTCTCTCTCATAACATCACGACATTTTAACCCGACAATGCGACATTTCTACGCGACATTATGACATTTTTAATATTGTGGTGTCGGGTGAAAATGTCGTATTGTTGGGTTAAAATGTCGTTATTTCGGGAAGTCGTGGGGCCGGGTTAAAATGTCAGGTTGTCGCCTTATTAAGTGTGACATCACGACATCTTACCAATCAGTCACCATAGGTGGGGACCGAAAATGTTACTCTGTAGTTAAGGTAGCTAAGTCTCTAACTCAATATCCTCCAAAGTCATACACGTTGCAAAGCGCACCAAATACAAAATATGCACATAAAACATTACAGCTTCAAAAGCACACACTAATTACGGGCATATGTAGGGACTCTGTTCTTTAGGAAGTGGGTCTAAAGACGTTAGTATCTGCTAATTACCTAATTCTCAGACTACTTTTGTCCAAAAAATCGAACTTGAAATAAGTTGGGAGGTGAGGGGTTTGAGCCTCCGCCACCTCTACCCTTGGGTCCTACAATTAAGGTTACCAGATCGACTGCTAAAATCGACTGGATTATTTGACTGATTTTATCGACTGAGATATTTGGGTGGATTTATAGTCCAGGCGAGGCCACAAGAATAAGTCTTAACAAGTACCTCCTTCCCCCGCCACCCACACACACTCCACCCCCTAACTAGAAACTAGTTTGAAAGACCCGACTCCAACAGCTATGGCTATCAGCATGATTGGGCTACTCTATATTAACTTAGTTCACTGCCACCGCTGCGTAATATTGAGCGACTGATATATGACTGAAATATTCGACTGATAAATACGATTGATATGTTCGACTGTTTTGTTTTTTTTTTTGGGGGGGGGGAGGGGGTCGACTAGATTATTCGACAAATTTATACGACTTGTTTTATCGTCTGGACGAGACCACAAGAAAACGTCCCCCCCCACACACACACACACAGAGACACACCCAACATAGTTTCTCAAACTACTTTTGCCCGACAAATCGAACTTGATTCTAGTTGGGAGCGGCGGGGCTTGGGCCTCGACCTCGACTCACCTCCACCACTAGGTCATACAATGATGGCTACCAGCATGACTGGGCTACTCTATATTATCTTAGTTCACTGCCACCGCTGCTTCCTCTTGAGCGACTTGATTTATGGACTGATATATTCGACTGAATTATTTGACTGATTTTATCGACTGAGATATTTGTTTTATCGCCTGGGCGAGGCCACAAGAAAACGTCTTAACAAATACCCCCCCCCCCCCCACACACACACACACACACCACCACCACCACCACCACACACACTCCATCCCCTAACTACCATATTCCCTAACTGTATGTACGGGCATATGTCGGGACTCTATGTTTTAGGAAGTGCGGACCGCACCTAAATATCGGAATTAAAACTAGCTGGGAGGGGTGGAGCCCCTTAATTAAGTGCAGTCGTATTTATCAGTCCCATCGTATCAGTCGAATATATCAGTCGCTCAATATACTGAGGAAAAGCGTGTCTTTATTAAGCAGCGGTGGTAGTAACTAAGATAACAACATATAACCTAGTCCTCTATAAATCCCTGCACATTGTCGTTTCAATTCTGAAGCAACTTAAAATTATAGATACTATATGCATCGGACACAGACTAAAAATAAGCTATATATAGTGGTCTACTGCCATTTATCTCAGTCAATGATCTCAGTCGTTGACCCTTGAAATGAAATGAAATGGGGTTTAACGTCCTACTGTTCTGCGCCTATGCTAGGCTAATGAAGACGGGCATACGCCATACAGTGTGCTATGAGGGACATTTTGCCCGGGCAGCGGCACTATCGCCTACTCTTATATCGAATTCCAACCGCCAAGGGATCTTTTACGTACGTTCTAATGTATACACGGGACCTCGGTTTTTCGTCTCATCCGAAGGACTAGACAGCTGTCTTTGTCAGCCCCCCCCCCCCCCCGTCCTGCATCACTGACAAGGGGGAACCACGCCGGAAAATCTGGATGAACTTTTTCGGCCAATGCAGGGATCGAACACCCGACCTCCAGGCTAGCAAGCCAGCGTCTTACCCACTTAGCCACGTGATCCCCCCGTTGACCCTTAACCCTAGTTGATGACCTTACTTGCAAAGAGAGGTCTACAAATTGTTTTATGGAATTGTTATTGCAGGAAACACGCAATAAAGTTTTAGTTTTAACTATAAAAAAATAGACAAAAACGATGATAAATTATGATAATTATATGAATTAGTGCGTTTTTTATTTAAATTACACAAACTAATACCAAATTTTAATCAACCCTCGACTGATATATTCGACTGGAAAATCTAGCGGTACTTAGTTCAGCTTTCGCAAACCGGATGTAAACAACGAAATAAACAAACGATTTGATCCACGAGTGATGTTAGGACACGCTTGATGTTATACTATGAGGTTGCTATGCTTCTTTAGACTGATCCAGCAGATCTTTGATTCTTTTATTGTTAATATGGGTGTCAAGGACGCCCAGTATCCAAGCACTTGATTGGTGTAGTTGTATTATTGTTTGACTTTGCTTCGTTTTAATTTGTAAAATTTGAACTGAAGTTTATTTTGGGGGTACAGAACAGAGTATAAGGGCACCTTAGGCTGGGCTCAAAACAAGGAGTGACAAAGGACTAAAAATATGACTTCCATAGCCTCCGATAATGTGTTTGGCAGCAGTCCTGGTGGCTGTCAGTCTTTCTCACTATTTACTGACACAGAGTTTGAAAATACAGTAAAAGAGTTGGAAAATCCTCAGATTGAGGGTTGGGATTTTTTCACAGAATCAAATGATGTCAAAATATATCGACTGTATAATGAGGTTAGTTAATTATTTTTTATTTATTTATTTAGCGAATCACTGAATTTTGTTTGGTATAATTTCTATAATGTTACAGTAATGATAAAGAATTTTATAAGCATTTGAATTGATGCAGCATAACCTTAGACACATATTATACTGATACAGTAGCCTACCCTACTACAAATAACAACATCAAAATTTGTGCAGTTGTCTGCGATATCACCTCGGTGGAAGCGGACGTAAAATACAACTAACCAACAACAACATTGTGCAGCCCAGATCATCATTGGTAGTCTGGGTAGCAAAATAACTATTTTATCATCATACTGCACACAGCGATGCATCAACGTCAGGCGGAGCTAACTGTAGACAGACAGCGTAAGTTTGGGATGTTTTATCATGTAAAATATTATTTGTATTACAGTGAAAGGGGAATAACTCATTTTATCATTCCTCGAACTGCATTAGTACTGTGCACATGTGTTCATAAGGAGAATTATAATCCTTATTGGTTTTTCTTTGGTTAACGTATGTTGTCATGGTCAAACTGATACAGATGGTTTCCACAGCCCAATTGTCATTGTCAAACTTGCACTGATTTCAGAATATGTCCACCATACCCTTATCCTTGTGCACTTGGTAATACAGATAATGTTAGTGAAAACCACACATGGATGGTAGTCTAGGCAGGCTCTGATGAGTGAGGTAATTTTTAGTTCAGGTAAATTACCAAACTTACTATGGTGTAAGAATGTTACTCTATAAGAAGAAATGTAGAAGCTTTAGAATCCATTCATGAACTAGTTTTATATATGAACATCATTATATTAACGTCATTTCCTTTGTATTGTAGGAATCCGGTTTATATGAGTATAAAATTTATGGATTTCTAAAAGATGTTCCTCCTAAAATATGTGCTGATGTTTACATGGATTTAGAATATCGTAAAAAATGGGACTCCTTTGCTAAAGGTGAGAAGCTTATCATCTACACCAGTGGTTCTCAACCTTTTTTTGCCAATGGTACAACTCTGTGTATAAATTTCAAGGCAGTCAGATGATAAAACATTACTTAACTTCAAATACCATTTGAATTTAAATTTATTGTCTCAATCTTATTTTACAGAAATATATGAAACACAAGTCATTGATAAGAAACTGATATATTGGGAAATAAATTACCCATTTCCTATGTGGAATAGAGATGTATCCTTTATCAAACAATAATATACCAGTAACAATAACGTTGAATATCGATAGGGTTCGTCTTCTTAGAACCTAAATGTATCATTTAAAAACTATAGTATCTGTCGCATTCACAAGGTTTTCGGCATAGGGGAAATGACTTTGGTATGGAAGGACACGGAATGCTGAATATCAATAGAGTTCATCCTCTCATGACTCAAATGTTTCACATCAAATTTGAAAAGAATCTGTTGAAAACCATAGCCTCCATCGCATTCACAAAGATTTTAGTTAAAGAATGGTAATAACTCCAAATGGACAGTCATGCAACGCTGAATATCAATAGGGTTTGTCCTCTCATCCTCTCATGACCATAGTGCTTCATAATAAATTTGAAAAGAATCTGTTAAAAACTATAGCCTCTATTGCATTAATAAGTCTGTCAGCAAATAAGGTAGTGGTGTAACTCTTGATCGGAGTATCAAGGAATATCGAAAGGGTTCGACCTCTTATGACGCCAATGATTCCCACCAAATTTGAAAAACATCAGTTAAAAAGTACAGCCTCTATCGCATTAACAAGGATGACCCTGGAACGGTAAGGCACAGAACTCGGAAGATCATTAGACCCCTCAGTTACCCAAAGATGTTTCTCCTTTGACAATAATTAAGGGGGTTTGGATGGCCGAATGGTTAGCATGTGTGCGCTGAAGGCCTATCATAAGGCCTGTCATTGAGTCAACTGGCGTGGTTTCGAATCCCCGGTTGTACGTGACAAGGAATAGGGTCGCCTGTCCAACCTCTACACGCAAGCGATTTATTGAAATAAAAAATAAAACCATATGTTAGTCCCGAAATGACCAAGTTTGTGTCGAGTGGACGTTAAACCCCATGTCTCTCTCTCTCTCTCTCCTTTGACAATAATGGTTTTAATCAATCACGGTGGCTAAAATCAGTCTTCAAAGAGAATAAAGAAGTTGTTAAATCTTATGTACATCTCATGTACAATACATTCCAATGAAATAGAGATCTAATTTTAATTAGATTGTTGGCCACACATATTTACATCCAGATACAAGTGATATCTTCCCAGCAAAATCAGTAATATCACCACTGCCAAGCAAACAAAAACATGAGTATTCCTTAACTAGAGTTAAAAGTATGTGTTTAGTAGAGAATTACGTGAATTAAAGTGCAATAATGATAATGTTTGGGTAGTATTAGCTAAAAGTACAAGTGATTCCTCCATACCGGAGAAAAGTGGAGTTATTAGAGTAGATGATTGTGTACAGAATGCTGCTTTAACATCAGATGGTAAAAATGGTACAAGAGGTAGGCTACCGATTTATATTGGTTTATTTTTTGTTTTCAATTTTTGTAAACTGAGAGTAGATAAAGTTGTTGGGATTCTTATATACATATAAATGATAATGTTAAGTCATATTTGGCAGATTTCTATATCATGGAGATCGGGTGTTCGATCCCTGCATTGGCCGAGAAAGTTCATCCAAATTTTCTGGCGTGGTTCCCCCTTGTCAGTGCCTAGTCGTTTGGATGGGACAGAAAAACAAGGTCTTGTGTACACATTGGCGTGCAAGTAAAAGATCCCTTGACAGTTGGAATTTGATATAAGAGTAGGCCTTACTGCCGCTGTCTGGGCAAAATTTCTCTCATAGCACACTATATGGCGTATGCCCATCTTCATTAGCCCAGTTCGGAGTAGGATGTTAAACACTATTTCACTTCATTTCATTTCTATATCATGGTATTAAATGAAATATGTTATGTTTTGAATTTTGTTTTCAGCATATATGAAGTACTACGATAATCCTAAAGGTGCCATCCCTACATGGTTAATAAATTGGGGTGCTAAGGTGAGCTTGAATTGTGTCCAATTAATCTATGTGCTTAATTATAGGAATAAATTATAAAACAGAAAAAAAAAACAAGAAAAGATTGTGTTTATTTGTTAAACTGGATTTCAATACAAATAAAACATACAATTTAATACTATATTTGGCTTAATATCTAGATTGATTTTATATTGAATAGAACTGTATTAAACTTAAAGGGTCTATGGTGAAGGACTCCCACAAAATCAGGAAAAACAGATTATGTGTTTAGAAAAGGTTATTATTTGTACAATGTATTAAATGACACATAATGATTCACTTTTAACAAACAAATTGTATCCAAATAAATGAAAGTTTACTTAAAGATTTTCTGTATATTTATTTTCAGACTGGTGTACCACAGTTTTTAAGCACTATGGAAAAAGCGTGTAAAGGGTATCCAGATTATTTAAAGACCCATGGGAAAGAATAGAAATGTTTTAAAGTATTCGTAATCAAATGTTTTAGCAAGTTTTCTGTCAAATGCTTTTATTATGTAAATAATGTTTTTACCTTATTTATTAAACTGAATTGAATTTTATTAAAGTGTTCTTATTGTTTATTCCATAATATCATAATGTTTTAGAAAAGACAAAAATGTCTGGTTTCAATTCCCGAAAAGAAAGTTATGTCAACAAAATTTGACATTGAGTCAACTGGCGTGGTTTCGATTCCCCGGTTGTACGTGACAAGGAGTAGGGTGACCTGTCCAACCTCGTGGGTTTTCTTCCCGGTCCTCCGGTTTCCTCCCACTGCTAAAGACCCCTACGCGCAAACGAATTATTGAAATAAAATTAAAACCATGTGTTAGTCCCGAAATGGTCTAGTCTGTGTCGAGTGGACGTTAAACCCCATTTCTCTCTCTCTCTTATCCCATGTGCTGTTGTAACCTTGTAACTGAGTAATACATGTGCTAAGATGGCAAGGTTAAACACATTGGTTGATGCTCTGTGGTAATTAACTTGATTAACCTATTATGGACTTATTAGGCAATTTAATTCCAATGTTTGTTTTTCCTGGAGATTACAAATGTACTTTCAGAATATAATCCTTGAGTGACATTTAGCATTGAACACATTAAAAACACAACACAGTTGTCGAAACGTCGTGCTATACTTATAAACCAGTGATTGTATTTCCATATAAATAAGTTAATTTGGAGGGCACGGATTTTATTCTTCCCAATTCTAAACAACCATATAAACTACATTCTTTGCATACGGTATATCCGGGTTCTATCTCTATGTCTGTTTAAATGAATTTAAAGCAAATGGTACTACAACAGAAATTGAAAGAAAATATAATAAAAAGTGACGATTGTATTAATAAGAATACTTTTCAGTAAAACAATACACTAATCTATAAAAGCGATCGAGTACGTTGCTGCAAGTTTCAAGGGAGGTGACAACATTTATGTCCTTAGAAAGTAATAAATATTAGAAATAAAATGTTTTAAACTTTTTCTTTACTAAAAAAATGCTGAAGTCATTTACCCATGGAGGATTTCAAGCAAACGAATATACAAGACTATACAGTCTAGCTAAGCAGTCACCTGTCTTGTTATCTTTAATTCCTTTTTGTAGATCTGTACAGAAAAGTAAGACGTTAAACCCCCATTTCATTTCCATTCTGCGAAATGTAGAATAACCAGTCCGAAATTGAGAATTAATTACATGATTGATCATATAATATTACACGAGTGTTTAAATAAAGGATGGGACAAAAAACCGAGGTTCTATGTATACACTAGCGTAGACGTAAAAGATCCCTTGACAGTTGGAATTCGATATAAGAGTAGACCATAGTGCCGCTGCCCGAGCAAAATTTTCCTTATAGCACACTGTTATAGTCTGTTCTTAAACGCAACGTTTGAATAGATTTTTAGTAACACGATACTTCACTTTTTCGTAAGAAAACGGGTTATCGGGTGTGTTGAAGTAATTCTCAAACGTTACATTGGAATCTAGCCATGTTTTCTCGACAGAAATTGACTCAAGCATACACGTTTTGCCAGGTCATTATTTACAGATTTAGATTTGATATGACTCTTCATGTTGCTTACATATGGTCCCGTGGATTTGTTTTAATGAAATGTTGTGCGGTTTCTAAACGATTTGTCTGATCTTGAAAATGGTTTTCAAATTCGCATGCGAAACTACAATAAAGATCGTTAGCTATACCGTACGAAAGAAGTGTTATATTATAAGGTATAAGCATACCCTGCATAGTATAAGTACAAATATTTGTTACATTTGTGAACTTCTGAATGAGAAGTGGTATTAGAAAAAATATCAGTGACCTACGACCGTACACAATAAAACGGAAATATACTGACGATCAAAATATTGTTTTTAAAGAAAATTGTGGTTACGTATTTGAATCAATTATGCTTTTGAAAAATGCACGTTCCTCCTCATCACCTGAACAGTTGGGAACTGCTCTAGCCCAGGGGCAGAGTAAACCTTAACAGGCGTAGGTTCAATAAAATTTTTAAAACTCGGATCGATTTTGGTGCATCCTGAGGTATATTCTGGGCAAGTAACACAAAGATAAAATAGAAATATTGAACATTTTGTGTATTAGAACATAATTTTTAAACAGCCAGTCCTTTTTAAAGACAACAAATCACTCCAAAAGTCGACCAACAACCATATAAACTCAGAAGCTTTCATTGCGATATGAGGGTTAATTTCATATTTTCAAATCTAACTTAGAATCTCTCGGTCATCCAAAAGAACTTTTGATCTTGTAGAGAGAAAGAGAAATGGGGTTTAACGTCCACTCGACTAACATATGGTTCAATTTTATTTCAATAATTCAATTCGTTTAGGGTCTTTAGCACTGGGAGGAAACCGAAGGACCCGGAGAAAACCCTCTAGGTTGGACTCAATGAAGACCGTATGATACAACGCGTACACGCTAACCATTTGGCAACTCAATATCATCCAAAGTCTTCGACATTGAAAACGCGTATTATTTGTCAATTTAAATGAAAATAAATGGGGGTTTAACGTTCTACTGTTCAATTTAAATGAACATTGATGTTGTGATCTTACCGGGAAAAGATGGGCTCCTGATATCCAATATTTAAGACAAAATAAACATTTTACCATTGGTACACGAATTGCGTACCATAATGCGTTTCAACGCCATTTGTAACAAGCGACTCTAAGAACGAGACTAGACATATTCCACAAGTCATGTCAAAATATGACGTCATATTCTTATCTGGAGAGCATGCGCAATGAATACTATCGGTGGAGACTGGAATAACCAGGCGCTAGAGATTGCCATTGGATTGAGACTTCTGGCGTATTTTTAAATCACAGTTTGTATACGGGAAAGTATCTTTAATATAACAATGTTGCTTTCTATATGTTTCTTTTCTCTTTTCACCATAATTCTAACATCCCCGATTTAAGCAAAGTATAATTGGCTCTCTTTTGGTACCGCATGGAAATTCGTGTGCTTAGGTTACATAATTATATGTCTGACCCCAGGTTTACTATGTAGATTGTAGACTACTCCTACAACATTCCTATCCTCTTATGTATACTTTCGTTTTAGCAAATAATTCGCCACTTACTTGTACGACGTGTTGCTATAACCACGATATTATCGTATTATTATTATTACAACTCTTGGTGAAGTAAACCAGCACATTTATCCTCAACTCGATAATTTCTGAAGGTCAGTGTTTAGATGTTTTGAAATATTACTGGATCATCTTCCAGTTAAAACAAATATCTTTCATTACGTAAGTGTTATTCAAGATTATATATATATATATATTATTCAGGTTATTCAGATTAGTTACTTTAACTTATATTAAATAACATTAATTTATCAACATTTTAAAAAAATATCGTAAAACACACTTCATAACCGTACCAAAAAAAAAATTAAAAAAAAAAACCGCGATAAATCTACTGTATTTATTTAGAGTCTATGTTTTTATAAACCATCTTCACTCTTCCCAATAAGCCATGCTGCAAGTGTAATGTGAATAGTGTATATATATTTCATTTTTAGGCTGTCGTGTATTATCGGCCCTACTGTGGCGTCACCCTTGGAATTTTCAACGAACAGGAACAAGTACTGATTTGTATTTTCAGACCAGTCTTTATTTACATTAAAACCAGTAAGCAACTAGTAAACATTATATAGGTCGGCGATAACAGTCAAAACACAACGGAAGACGAAATCAGAGAATTGGATAATATTATAGCTGACATTTCTGTTAAATTGCGTCGTATGACTGTGTGCATGTGTGTACATAAAATTAAATGAAACAGCGATTAAAGAGAAGGGGTGCATCATTAGCGTCAACCTTATTGGTCCATTAATGACATAACTATCTTTTGTTTTAAAACTGACAACGAATTTTATTTTGTCTTAACAGTTTCTGAAACATATAATAATGGAAAGTTGCAGCGGATTAGTTTCACTTTTAATCATGGTTTTGGTTGTACTTTTATTTAATTGTTCGACCACATCGTCAAGGTCTTTGAATGAGGAGAGAGTCTGTAGGTATGAGAATATGACCATTACCGCTGGAAGAAGATTTCACCCAGAACCCTGTATGACCTGTTCGTGCTCACGTCACGGGGGCAGGGTGACCTGTTCTATTAAAGACTGTCAAAGTGAAATTAACTGCCTAAAATTTGACAAAAACTCGAGGTCTTGTTGTCCCAGATGTTTGGAATACGGTTGCGCTCACACAGATGGTAAAGTTTATCGTAAAGGCGCGACTATTGTCGACACGGACTGTATATCGTGCTATTGTCCTGAAAAGGGTGGGGAAACTGTTTGTGATGTGACGCCTTGTGAAGCTGTAGCCTGTGATAACCCTAAGAAAAAAGTCGGCGAGTGTTGCCCATATTGTGAAAACGGTAAGTGCATAGTTAAACCGGATGTTTGTAAAATCAAAGTTCGACAGGGTGCAGATTTAACATAGTAATACTCTATAACTATAAAGGGATTTTTATTTTATCATTTAAAGTAACATAAAACCTCTTCAATATCAATGTGATGAGGTGGTCTATATTATAAAACATACGTAGATAATGACAAACAAGCAGGTGAATGGGTGTGCTTATAAAATTACACTTTCTGAAATAAATTTTCATACAAGTGTCTTTTGTGTATTTTGGTAAATTCTGTTTTTTAAAAATAATTTCTTCGCTCGTCTATTTCCAGATCATCCAAATGTATAAATCCTGTTTGTTTCCCACTCAAGATATAGGCTATTACACATTACAAACCAGAATACATGTAGTAATCAATGTCTATTATATTGACTAGGCTACTAGTTTTTGTTTCATTTAATCAAATTTTGCTTTACCGTTCTGGTTTTTTTCAGATTTTTCACACGTGCCCTCACGGTCCAGACTATTTGGTTAAAGCTTTGCCTAACTGAAACGTGAAGTTTAAGTTTACAGATGTCCTGTCACTAAAGTGTTCTATGCAGAGAATTAAGACTATCGAACTCGATGATGATATTTATAATATTACGCTAGCTTATTTATATAATCTCCATTTCTATGCTACATACTAAACTCAAAGTGATAAGTTGAATATACACGGGATGCACAAAACGACCCATTTGGCGACCACGGGGCAGTGGCGAAAATAATTACCATTACGACGTTCTGCTGGTCACCTTCATAAAGACAGAATCAAGTGATATAAGAACTCATATTACTAATCGAACAACAATGTCTAAAATGCATAACTTGTGTGTACTAATAATAAAGTGGCAATATTAAAGGAGCTAAATCGCTAATATTTTGAACCTAGAAATTGGCACAAATGGGTCGCAACACATATAATAATGTAATATGAATTTATATAAACTGTTTTACATTCAATCGTGTCCGTTTTACTGCAGGTAAATTGTCATCAGTTATGTTCGGCGAAATTCGCCAGAAGTCTCAACCGCAAGTCAGTTTCTAGCGTCTGGTTATTCCAGTAAACACCGATATTATTTATTGCGCATGCTCTCCAAATAAGAACATGATATCACCGTTTGACATGACTTGTGGAATATGCCTCGCCTCATTCTTTGATCACCTTGTTACAAATGGCGCTGAAACGCATTATGGTACACGAGTCGTGTACCAATGGTAAAATAGTTATTTTGCCTTAAATATTGGATATCAGAAGCCCATCTTTTCCAGGTAAGATCACAACACCAATGCTGATTTAAATTGCAAAAAAAAAATCGTGTTTCCAATGTCGAAGATTTTGGATGATATTGAGTTACGGACTTAGCTACTTTAAACTAGGATTACACAGCAATCCTTTCCCTACTGATCCCAACAAATGTATGGCAAGCAACAACGTCTAGTCGTTCGGGTGGAAAGCTAAACCGAGATCCCATGAAGAAAATCTTTGATACTTGGAATTAGAAATAAAGAAAGCGGTCGCAGCGTCCCTGTCCTGGCAAAATTTCTCTTATATTATGAGCAGAAACGTGGGACGCTAAGCTCCATTTCATTTGATTTCGCTTTATAATGGTTCAAAATAATACCGTTTACCGTTGTGTTTTCTTCAAGATCTTAATTATAACTACAGGTCAGGTCGTTCATACAACTTTATGATTAAAACTGCTTGGCATCAATGTTCCTCGTTATCAATCAAGTATATATAGCTTTTGATGACTGCTCTGACAAACAGGGTGAGCTCTAATGAATTTCGCCCAAAACCCTCTTTTATAATCCCCTAATTTCGTTACGTCATAGACTGACATTGGCGTTATTTCCTTCCCAAATATGGAATAAAAATCCCTATACCCACACTGATCCGCAGTGAATATTTGCTTGGCCGCGACAATCACTGATAAGGATGACATTGATGCGGCTTAATGAGCTAGAAATATTAACTTTTTTCCTGCGACAAATTAAATTCTAAAACATTTTTTGTATATATTGGAAAAATAAATAAAGGCGTTTGACGTATTTGTAGGTAAAAATTATTTCCTATTTAGTGTAAATGGGTATTAAAATGACTAAAATGCAGCATTCTCTCCGAAGCAGTTATGTCTTATGTAAACAATGCACGCGTCATTCAGCCAATGATTCACACCGCGTGCTGTGACAGCACGTGTTAAGGCAGTCATCTATGACAGAGGTATTATACTAGACTCGTAATTCTCTGTGAAACAGATTGCCCTATACCCCAAAGACCGGAAGTAGAACATTACCTTATTTGGTCTACCAAACACATGTCATAAACAAGATGGTATTTGATGAATGGAAAGGACAAAACCAGTGTTTTTACCGAATTATCACTGAGTTTATATACAAACACACCAGTCAATTCCATTTGAGTGCGTGAGATATGACTGTATACACAGTGGGAATCTGATTATTAGATTAAAGATACAATATGATCGCAAAGACCATATTACTACATTCCTTCCAACGCCGAAGACATATTTTAAATAAAAACATGGAATAAAAACTATTGTTATTATGAAAAGTAAAAACCATTGAGAACGAGGAATTATTGTAAAGTAAAATAAGGTTACATCAATACAATAAAAACTTCATGTTTTTCTCTCCATCCCCTAATTTGCAGATCGAGTTTACTGACGGAATGCCAACATCATATGGCTCTGCCAAAAATCAATGGGGTCTACTTCATCCAGCTGGTGTCTCTTGAACCTCGCCGGTATCTCCCGAATTTAGTGGCTGTCTGTCGTACGCCATGAGCTCTGTTGGTTTTCTTTCTACCCTTGAGTTTTGGCTTTCAATTATCTAATTGGTCAAACATAACGTAATTAATTATAATGATTGGTTACTAAGCTAAGTGATAAACGACATGATATTCTGGTTTCACACAGAACCAGCTATGATTTGGTTTTATAAATCTTTTTATGTGTCAACGACTCACTCATTCGAGTGCGTGAGATATTATTTCTCTACAGTACATGTATGTGAATCCAATAATTAGTTAAATATATCATATAATGCTATTATTAATCTAAAGAGTAAAAAATCTGTCAATCTTATTACATGGCTACGCTTCATGTACGGGGCATGTACCCTACTGTTGTTGCTCCACTCTCGTCCAAACAAACTGAATGACCATGTTACAAAAAGAAGTCAAGAAAGTGGCTACAAGAAAGTGATAATGGATTGACCAAGAGGACATATACGACACGTAAATGTGGTACCGATTATCTTACTTTACACTGTAAATAATATTTGTGTATTTTTACCGTAAATTGACTGGCAGAAAGTTTCCAGTAAATTGACTGTATTTTAACACTGACTTGTAAATTTACACCTAAGTGGTAGAATCAGATTTACAAACAGCATGTAAATTTACAGAGAGTGTAAAATAACTTGTTCTTGTAAATTTACGTTCATTGTAAATTTACACTGTGGGTGTAAATTTACCTTAAAGTTACCTTACACTCACTGTAAATTTACACTGTGGTTGTAAATTTACCTCAAAGTTATTTTACACTCACTGTAAATTTACGTGGTGTTTGTAAATCTAAATCTAACATTATGGGGTACATTTACAAGTCAGTGTTAAAATACAGTGATATTACTGGCAACTTTCTGCCAGTGATTTTACGGTAAAAATACAATTTGAAGTGTATATTTACTTGAAATATACGTTGAATGTGTTTGTCCCCACTCGGCCAAGTAGTCCTAGGTTAGATCGTGGCGAACACATAAAGTTTTGCTGACCTTTCAGCCGAGCAAGCAAAACATCATTCGATAATGGAAAGAAATTAAATGAAATGGGGTTTAACGTCCTACTGTTCTGCTTCTTACAATGGAAAGAGTAGGAGGCATGGCACGAAGATTCTGAATAACCTATTTGTCTAAAATAGACTTATCTGACTGATATAAAAGTAAATATTTTGAACGAAATTCGATATGTGGTCGAAGCGGAATAACCGATTTGAACACTATTTGACAGTAAATTTACAATTTGTTGTAAAAATACTATTTCAAATAGCATTTCTGTTAATATACAGCTCACATAATGTAAACTGACATATGGTTGTATTTTTAAATTACGTTTGATGTAATCTTACATGTGGCCAAAGAGGGAATAACCGATGTGGCCACTATTGGAAAGTTAATTTACAATTTGCTGTAAAGATAGGTTGCCAGGCAACAAAACATACACCCACAGCAGCTAAATCGTCCGTGCGGTCGACGAGGGTTGTCGCATATTTATTCTTTTGTAGGTAATTAGGGGCATTTTAACAGAAAATTTCATACAGATGACATTATAATTTTCGTCGTTTGAGGGTTCACAGGGTTCTAAAAACTAAAACAAGGGCCATAACACTGGAAGTAATCTACAGAAATTGTTGAAATTCCACAGGATTTTTTGTTTTACTAATTCAAATAATGCATATAAATTTCATACAGATCGGGTGATAACTTTTGTCGTTTGAACGTTCACAAGGTTCAACAAAGTAAAACAAGGGGCATAACTCTAGAAGCAATTGACGGAAATTGCTGACATTCAATAGGCTTCTTCATTTCACTAATTTAAATGGTGCATATGAATTTCATACAGATTAAGTGATAACTTTTGTCGTTCGAGCGTTCACAAAATTCAATAAAGTGAAACAAGGGCCATAACTCTAGATGTAATTACCGGAAATTTGCTAAAACTGAATAGGCTTGTTCGTTTTACTAATTTAAACGATACATATAAATTTCATACAGATCGGATAATAACTTTTCTCGTCAGAGTACAACAAAGTGAAACAAGGGCCATAACTCACGGCGTAATTAACGGAAATTGCTGAAATTCAATAGGCTTCTTCGTTTCACTAATTTAAATGATGCATATCAATTTCAAACAGATCGGATGATAACTGTTGTCATTAGAGCGTTTACAAGATTCAACAAAGTGAAACAAAGGCCATAACTCTAGATGTAATAAAACGGAAATTGCTGAAATTCAATAGGATTTTTTGTTTTACTAATTTAAATGATGCATATAAATTTCATACAGATCAGTTGATAACTTTTGTCGTTAGAGCGTTCACAATGTGCAACAAGGGCCATAACTCCAGAAGAAATTAACGGAAGTTATTGAAATTAAATAGGCTTCTTCATCTCACTAATGCAAACAACATATATATCAATATCAAAACAATCAGATGATAAATGTAGTCTGTAGAGTGTTCACGTATAAAAATACAGTTATAACTTGTAAAAATACACTTTATTGTTAATTTACCAATTATTTACAGTAATTCCACGTGACCTCACTAATACAGTAAATTTATAGTATAAAAACATGCAGTGGTATTTTTACAGCGTTATTTTAAAAAAATTACATATTTTTCACTGTAATTTTACATTTATTTTTTAACAGTGATAAGGCTATATCGAACTTTCCTGGCCTCCACCTTCCACACCCACTAAGTGCTAGCCCACTTGTACCAGGTGGTCTAGTATTCGAACCCAATGTCTCCCGAGAACGTACGATGAGATTTTCCACTGCGGTTTCTCCTTGTCAGTGATACAGGACGCGGGCCTGCCAAGAAACGGTATCTAGTCGTTCATACAGTACGACAAACCGAGGCCCTGTGCCTACACGTTAGCGTGCACGTAAAAGAACCATCGGCAGTTGGCAGTCATTGTAATGGGGAAAAGCCCCCTCCTAGTACACCGCATGGTATAAATGTATGGCCGTCTCTATTAGCTATAGGGGCTAAAAACAAGTAGGACGATAAACCTCATTTCTGAGACAACGCTAACTTGGGGGCTTAATATGAAAGCTTAATAAAGACAAAGAGAATTGAAAATAATTTGAACCAGCGGTTGCCAGGCAAGATACGCCCACACTTTGCAAGAGATGGATAGAGAACAAGTTTAAAAAAAAAAACGTTTTTTGGTACAATCAGGGGCCATAATCCAGGAGATATTTGAGACATAAAGATATCAAAATCGGATAAAAATGTGACTTCTAGAGAGTCCACAACCTCGGTATTACATACTTTTACACTATTTGCGTACAAGGGGTGGCCATTTTGTCAGGCAGTTTTGGTCCGATTTTCTCAAAATTCAAACTCAACCATCATTAGCGTGTAACAGTGATGTATTCAAACGGTTTTTTAAATCAGATAAAACAAGCTAAAGGTGATATATTCAGACGGTTTTTTTTGTTTTTTTTAAATCGGACCCCAAGCTAAAAACGCGAATTTTCGTACAATAAAGGGCAATAATTCAGAAAGTTACCATCCGATATGCGCGAATATCGGAAGGGACCAAGATCTGTCGAGTTATAAACATGTATTTTAAGTTTCATCAAAATTGTGGCCTCTAGAGGATCTACAACCTTGATATATCATATATTTACGCTACATGTATTTGCGAACGAAGAGCGTCCATTTTGTCCAGCAGTTTTGGTCCAATTTTCACGAAATTCGAATTCAACCATCATTAGGGTGTAACGGTGATATATTCAAACGTTTTCTTTTTAAATCGGATAATTATTGTTACCCCTAGAGGGACCAGAAGCGACATACGCGATTTTTTGTACAATTAAGGGTCATAATTCAGGAAGTTACGACCCGATTTCGTAAGGAACCGAGATCTTTGGGTTATAAATATTCATTTCAAGTTTCATCAAAATCAGATGAAAATTGTGACTTTTAGAGTGTCTACAAGCTAAAAGCGCGATTTTTCGTACAATCAGGGACCATAATCCATGAAGTTTCGATCAGATACATGCCAATATCGAAAGGAACCGAGATCTTTTGGAGATAAACCTATATTTCAAGTTTATACGTCCACATAAGTATGTGGCGTATAAAAATTCTAATAATTTCACAGCAAATAATATTAAAATTAAATGTATTTGCTATGGCAAACATGGTCCACCATACTGAACACTTACATCAGCCAAGGAAATGAAATGGGGCTTAACACTGCTACAACTGGGTTAATGAAGACGGGCATACGCCATACAGTGTGTTATGAGGGAAATGTTTCCCGGGCAGCGGCACGATGGTGTACTCTTATATCGAATTCCAACTGCCAATAGATCTTTTGCGTGCACACTAATTACACACGCGACCTCGGTTTTTCGTCCCATCCGAACGACTAGATAGCTGTCCTAGTAAGGCCCTCCGTCCTGCACCAATGACTAGTTGGGAAGTCCCGATGAACTTTTTCGGCCAATGCAGGGATCGAACACGCGACCTCCAAGCTAGCTAGCCAACATCTTACCCACTTAGCCACCGGGGCTCCAAACAGCAAATGAAAAAAAGAACGGGAAAAGTTGAAAGTTGTGGTTAAATTGCAACAAGTAGTAGTATTTTATGGAATTGGGTGAATGAAGAAACATAAATACAAAATAGAAATCAATGAATACTTTATAGTAAAATATGTCTTAATTAAACAAAACAAGAGATAAAAAATCAATGATGAATGTGACGATTATTATTTTCATACAAAATAAAAGAAACACAAATTAGCGAATAAAAAATCAATGACGAATATGACGATTATTATTTCAATACAAAAAAAAAAGAAAAAAAAGAAACACATATAAGCCAATATTTAAAGATACATTATGGGAGAATCAATAACGAGTTGGGAATTCTCACAAAAATAGTTAAAAACTAGATAATGTAAAGGCAATTTGCTGAAAATTTCATTCAAATTGATTCACTATGAACCGAGAACAAATCGATTGAATTTCCGCCTAGCGTTGATCATCATTACTAAAGCCAGTACGATAAACAGCATAGTCTGGATTATCCATTTAATCGTTAAGTCGTGAAGGAAAGTTATGCAGTAAATCGGCTCACAATCCATTAAAGATCGCAGGCTAGCGATGCCATCTAGAGTTGATTATGGTCTGGATAGGTTAATTAATGTCTAATTAATAATTTAGATAACATTTCAGGCCTAAAGAAAGACCTGCAATATACAGATTTAGCTCTTGCATATTGTATGTTTAATGAATTAAATGAATAGAAGACATGTTTTTAAATGGATTAAGCAAAACATTCTCATCGTGATATAACAAATCTATACTCAGAGCTCCATCACTCTCGCCCTATTAGAACCAAAGTCTCAACCAATCAAATTGCTGATCTCTGCTTTGGGCATTCACCTAGTAGAGGCCCAAAGTTTGAAAATTCTACCTCAATTAAGAACGGTATTGTGTTCTATAGTCTCGACCAATCAGATTGAAGTCTCTACTTAACCTAAGCAGAAAGTGTTCGCATCGAGCTTAATCAAGGTAATAAATCTACACGCAAGATTTCACCACTCTCACTTAATAATCAATGTTATCTAGCTCCAAAGTCTCGACCAATCAAATTGCTTATCGCTCTGCTTATCCTGAGGAGTAAAATGCTCATTATCGAACTTAGTCAAGGAATTGATGTAATGAAACTATACACCAAGTTTCAGTACTCTCACTCGATTAGAACCAAATTAATCGTGCCCCAATGTTTGAACCAATAAAATTGCTTAGCTCTGCTAAGCCTAAGCAGAAAATGCTCACCTTCGAACTCCATCAAGGCATTTACCTAACAAACACTTACACCAAGTTTAAACATTCAACCTCAATTAGATGGAGAGTTATCGAGTCCCAAAGTCTCGACCAATCAAATTTCTTATCGCTCTGCTTTTAACAGAAAATGCTCATTATCGAACTTGGCCAAGGTACTGATGGAATGAACATATACACTGAGTTTCATCACTCTCACTTAATTATAACCAAAGTTATATACTGGTCACAATACTATGGAATACAATTACTGAGCGACGTTTCGACTAGGCTACTCTAAGGGCTATATCACACTAATCAGCAGAATATTCGCTAGAAGACTTTCGTAATCCTCTGTGAAACAGATTGGGGTGATGTACTCTATAATTATAATCTATAATAATTAAGTTAGATTCCCTTGAAGGTGATTAGAAGGGTATATCTAGTTGGTCAGCATTAACCAAGTATTGTTGTGTACACGTATATATTGTCTTGTTATATTTTATCATGGCTTGATAATGACTAGAGAAGCCTAGTCGAAACGTTGCTCAGTAATAAGCAGTAATTGTATTCCATAGAATTGTGATCTGTATTTTCCAGTTCGATTACTAAATGTCATTGAAAAAATTAGATCCAAAGTTATCGTGTTCCAAAGCATCAACCAATCAAATTGCTTATCTCTGCTTAGCTTAAGCTTATCTCTGCTCATCTTCGAACTCCATCAAGACATTCGCCTAATAAACACTTATACGAGTCTGAACATTCTAGCTCAAAAGGAGAGTAACTGTACTAAGAAGTGTGACAGACAGACGGGCGAACAGAACCATTTTAATAGTCCCCTGCTTTCTTCGAGAGGCGGGGACAATAAAAGAAACAGATTAATAATCACGTGGCCGTTCATCTAATAATTATTTGATACATATGATTAGCGAGTGAAAATAAATGCAGAAACACGTCCGACAATTTAATCCGGCATGTTAATCCCTGGTGGGTCAGTAACCAAATTAATATTTTCTAAATTCTACTGAGATAACAATTACTATATATATATATATATAATAGACAAGACTAGAACTATTTTTATGCTACACTAATAAAGTACTAAAGTGTGACTTATTCTCGGAACCACGCCGATTATAATACTTGCTATTATTATCGCAGTTATAACAATTTGCAATACATTTTCAGCGTACACCTGGGATCATTTGTCGGTGATACAAAACCGTGTGCGTCAAAAGTTTAGGCTGACATTGATTAGCTCCGGCCAACGGTCGGTGTTGTGAGACAATATGATAAATCACGGTTTTAATAGCGAGATATATTTCATATGTCTAGGCTTGCAAAAGGCCACCACGATTACTTCAGTATCAATCAAACAATGGTGGATTTTCGGCCACGAATATACTTAATAAACCATCGCCGATCGAGATGGAAACGACAAATTGAGATAAATCAAGAAATGACCCTTAATCTGCACGGGGTTGCAATCCGCGTTTTTCAGGTTGGAAGAAATGTGTGATGATGTTATCTACGATATCATTAAGTTCTCGCAAAGCCTCGTCTCTATCCATTCCTGTACTCTTATCAGGACAGTGTTCTGTATAATATTTGATTTTGGGCTCTGTGCCACTGGTACGTAGGGTGGAGACACAGCCGTTCTCAAATGTAAATGTTATCATTTGACTGCTGCTAGTTGGTAATTCTGGTATGTTACCAGGTTTGCTACTGTCGAAACCAGCGCCCGTCAAATCACGAACATGTCGTATTTTGTACGGACCACAAGACGTTGGATATTTGCCCTGGCCATTAAAGTTCCGCAGATGATCAAACATAGATTCTATAACGTTTTTATCGTGGCATATAAAATATGAATTATTCGAAAGGTGGTGTCCGTATTTTTCGTAGATTCTTTCCAACTGTTGATTTAGAGATGACCCGCTTCTATGCAACTGAAACACAAGTTCTGCAGCTGTCACCGCCGCCGATATTCCATCCTTATCTAGCACCTTGGTACCAACCATAAATCCGATTGCCTCTTCGAAAGCAAAAAGAACAGTTTTGCCTTCTTTCATCAGTTGAACAGATTTATTGCCCATCCATTTAAAGCCTGTCAATGTTTCTACAAAGTTAAATCCTTCGACACTGCCTATGGATTGCAATATTTTTGAAGATACGGTACTAGCCAGCATATAAACATCTGAGGCTGGAACTTCCGGGTGTTGTTGTCTAAATGTTTCCCAGCACCAACAACCAAGTAAAGCTCCAATTTCATTACCAGTAAATATTTTCCACTCACCATTTGGTAATTTCTCCGCAATGGCCAATCGATCAGCGTCTGGGTCGTTGGCAAGTATAACTTTACTGTTGTTTTTATCAGCAGTCTGCATGGACAATAATAGAGCACCCTTTCCTTCCTCAGGGTTTGGGTACTTAACAGTGGGAAATTCTGGATCTGGCTCCACCTGCTCTTTTACAGCAATTAACTCCCTAAAACCACTAACGCGAAATGCTTCTTGGATGTAATGGTAGCCAACGCCATGCATTGCTGTGTAGGTAAATAAGGGTGAATCTTTATTAATGTCTTTACTTGTCGTTAAATCTCTAATACACTCATTATATTTCTGGTAGATTTCGGAATAAGGATCTTTACATAGGTTAGAGGTTAGGAGGTCGGTGTTCCAAGAATTATCCCATGGTTTTAAATTTTCCCTAATCCCTTTGGAGATGCCTTTATCAACAGGTGGGATGATTTGAGCCCCATTTGACCAATAAACTTTGTAGCCATTGTCTTCTTTTGGATTGTGGGAGGCAGTAATCATAATGCCGCAAGCTGTGCCATAATGCGTTACACCGAATGGAACGTATGGAGTTGGGCAAACTCGGGAGAAAACATACACTGGTATTCCTTGACTCACGAGAACGGTTGATGTCAGCTCACTCCATCGTTTGCTGTTGTGTCTTGCATCATACCCAATGACAACACCCATCGATTTGGCATTTGGACACGTATCGAGTAAATATTTTGTCAGACCTTGTGTAGCTTGAATAATTGTCAGGTCGTTCATCATGGAATTTCCAGCTGCCATTCGAGATCGCATTCCCGCCGTGCCAAATTCTATCCTGCTCATTAGTCGCGTGTGAAGTTCTGTCACATTCTTTGAATCAACAAGTTGTTGTATTTCATTTCTTGTTCTGTCATTCCTATCCCACTCGAGCCATTCTTGTATCTTGGCATCTAATGCTTGATCTCCGGACAAAAAGGCCATCTTCTTACACTTTCACTGGTAACTCGTCACGGTGCACAAAATTTATGTTTAGTTACTATAATCTGCAAGGGTAACAAATTTGGTTCTCTAACAATAAAGGAAGCGTTTTATAGAGGTCGTCGTGTGGTTAAAACAACCTTCAACTAGAAACGGGTCAACGCAAATTACGAACGACCGTCACCTAGGTTTGCGGATATTTGTTTTTGTTGTAGGCACGTTTGTCCAGTCCTGAAAGGCTTTCTCCCGCATTTCTCTAATCTACAGGGTGTGATAATGAATATTTATATTACTTTTGATATAGAATATCTTATAACACTACAATATTATCTTATCTGTCGAATCACCGTGAAATCATTAGTGGTCGAGGGAACGGTTTAAAAATTGGATAATAGCTACATTTAACATTATATAGGTTTCTACGTCGCCGAGAAATGACCCTAGGCCTAACATTATAATATAATATATACTATGGTTTTCACAACTAGGTTCCAAGAACTGATAAATCCATTATAGGTGAAGACTGTGATCAAATAATTTGCATTAAAGAAGAAAACTAGTATCCTCATATAACCAGCTATCGAATAAAAGTAAAAATAAAAAAGAAAAGAAATGAGCCTGGATAACCAAATTTACTCTTTGTAAGGGGAAATTACTCCACTTGCAAGATGGCGACCGATGGCGAAAACGTGGATGTTGATCTTCACGAAGAAAATGGACAGACTACCAAAGAACCCAAGAGTAAAAAGCATGATTCTGGTACCGCAGACTTAGAGAAAGTAACTGACTATGTGGAGGAAGCGGAAATTTCGTCCCAAAGTATCGGGGATGTTATGAAAGCAGTGAGTGACCAGCAGAAATTGGAGGTGGCTGAAAAACAAGTGAAGGAAAAAGAACTCACAAAAGTCAAAATAAATAAAGATGATGTGGATATCATTGTAAATGAAATGGAGATTTCAAGAACGGTTGCTGAAAAGACTCTTAGAAAACACAAAGGAAATCTTGTTGAGGCTTTAGTGGCATTAACTGATTAACAGTGTCTGTAATTCTTCTACCAAAGCAAAGCCATTCATTGAATTGATTCTGACCATAACCATCTGATACTGTTTATGAACTGAATTAAACATCATCCCAGTCAAATTACTTGTTCAAAAATGGGTCGCAACGCATATAATATTGTAATATGAATGTATATAAACTGATTTACATTCAATCATTTCTTTTTTTTACCGTAATTTCTAATCAATTATGTTCGGCAAAATATGCCAGAAGTTTCAATCGAATGGCAATCTCTAGTGTCTGGTTATTTCAGTCTACACCGATAGTATTGATTGCACATACTCTCCAGATAAGAATATGGCATCCCCGTTTGACATGACTTGTGGAATATGTCTAGCCTCGTTCTTCGAGTCCCTTGTTACAAATGTTGGATATCAGAAGCCCATCTTTTCCCGGTAAGATTACAACATCAATGTCGATTTAAATTGACAATTCGTGTTTTCAATGTCGAAAACTTTGGATGATATTGAGTTAGAGACTTAGCTACTTTAAATTATACATTTTAAGTAACGTACCTAGTTTTATATGTCGTTACTACACAGTGTACAAAAAAATGAAAAATTGTAATGAACTGAACAGTATCATAATCAAGGACATGATTATTCGTAATTAAATTAAATATATTACTTGGAACTTCTCTATTATTTATCTAAGAACAAAATGTCCAGTTTCTATTATAGTTTATTGTACGTTCCCTTTTTATATTAACATATGAATAAAACATAATTTTTACACCTGTCATTTATTTCTATACAGTATATTTACATGTCTTTATTACATACAGTTTATTAGATACATGGAAGATTGGAAGTTCATTCCATAAAAGTTGGCAAGATCATCAATATGATTGAATATTGGAATCTTTTCATCTGGATGTTCACTTTACAGCAATTAAGACAAAGGCATCTTGACTGTAATTGACTAAAAACAAAAATATTAGAAAATATTCATTAGCAACATGGATTACAAATTAAAGTTCACCATTATTCTCAAGCAGCAGCATAAGCTTTTATCTGTTTTGGTACATTTTCCAAAATTGTGAACTTTACAAATCGATGTGACTGCCATTATCTGTTAATTTAGCTTTGAATATTTGTTGATTTCAACAAATTAATTTTAAAAAATATTTTTCCAGAGCCAATAAATATGTTTATCAAATGTCATTAGTTCTACAAGGTTATATCTGTGGAAAATAGCGATTATACTTAGCTTTTTCACAAATACTATATACCAGTATCTATTGTTATGAAAACAAAACCTTAATATTCTCAAATACATGTACATGCCTAGAATTATTTTAACAAACCTTATTACAGAATGGACACTCTCCATAAATTGTATTAAAACTTTGTCTGGTGGAAGGAAGTGTTCTCAACCACTGAAAATATATTATGACCTTGTTGTTACTAGTATACATTGAACATGTATCATCAGGGTGCTAAAAGAGTGACAGAACTACATTGGGGTTATTAGCTCCGATCTGTTTCCCAGTAAAAATAAACTTCATAATCCTTCACAGATTACATTTAAACATGCATAATGTAAGATTTAGATAAAGAGCTGACAGTTCTCGCTATAATAGTTAAACAGCGGCTGCCAGACAGGATACGCCAACATTTTGCAAGAGATGGATAGAGAACAAGCTAAAAACGAAAAAGATTTTTTGTACAATCAGGAGCCATAATCCAGAAAGTTATGGTCTGAAATGCACAAATATCAAAAGGGACTGAGATATTTGGAATATAAAGATATGTTTTAAGTTTCATAAAAATTGTGACCTCTAGAGGGTCCATAACCTTTGTATTACATACTTATACACAGCCATTTTGTCGGGCAGTTTCATTTCGATTTACCAGAAATTCCAATTCAACCCTTATTATGGTGCAATGGTGATATATCTAAACGGTTTTTAAAATCAGAAACTGCCTGAATTATGGCCCCTGATTGTACGAAAAATCACATTTTTAGCTTGTGGACCCCATAGAGGTCACAATTTTTATCCGATTAAAAAAAACGTTACAATATATCACCGTTACACCCTAAGGATGGTTGAGTTTGAATTTCGTAAAAATCGGACCAAAACTGACGGACAAAATGGCCGGCCCTCGTGTCATCTGATTTTGATGAAACTTGAAATGCATGTTTATAACCCACAGGTCTCGGTTCCTTTCGATATTCGCACATATCGGACCATAACTTCCTGAATTATGGCCCCAGATTGTACGAAAAATCGTGTTTTTAGCTTGTGGACCCCATAGAGGTCACAATTTTTATCCGATTTAAAAAAATGTTTGAATATATCACCGTTACACGTTAAATGACCACCCCTCGTTTTCAAATAGTGTCACAATATTGTGTATCAGGGTTGTGGACACTCTGGAGGTCACAATTTTCATCTGATTTTGATGAAACTTAAAATGCATGTTTATAACCCAAATATCTTGGTTCCTTTTTATTTTCGTACATATCGAATCATAACTTCCTGAATTATGGCCCCTGATTGTACGAAAAATCGCATTTTTAGCTTGTGGTCCCTCTAGAGTTCACAATTATTATCTGATTAAAAAAACGTTTGAATATATCACCGTTACACTGTGATGTTTGTTGAGTTCGAATTTCGTGAAAATCGGGCCAAAACTGCCGGACAAAATGGCCGCCCCTCGTACGCAAATAGTGTAAACATCTGGTATATCAAAATTGTGAACCCTCTAGAGGCCACAATTTTGATCTGATTTTGATGAAACTTGCAATATATGTTTATAACCCAAAGATGTTGGTTCCTTTCGATATTCGCGCATATCGGATCGTAACTTCCTGAATTATGGCCCTTGATTGAACAAAAATTCACGTTTTTAGCTTGTGGTCTCTGTAGAGGTCACAATTTTTATCTGATTTAAAAAAACGTGTGAATATATCACCATTACACACTAAGATCTTGTTTCCTTTTGATAATCGCGGATACCCGAACTTTCTGGATTATGGCCCCCGATTGTTCGAAAAATCGCATTTTTAGCTTGCAGATTCTCTAGAGGTCACAATTTTTTTCCGATTTTAAAAACCGTTTAAATACATAACCATTCCACCATAATGAAGGTTAATATTGTATTTCGTGAAAATCAAAATGAAACTGCCCGCCGCTCTTTGTACGCAAATTGTGTAGAAGTGTGTAATACGAAGGTTGTGGACCCTCTAGAGGTCACAATTTTTATCTGATTTTGATGAAACTTTAAACATATCTTTATATCCCAAAGATCTCTGTCCCTGTTGATATTTGCACATTTCAGGCCATAACTTTCTGGATTATTGTCCCTGATTGTACAAAAAATCAAATTTGTTTTTAGCTTGCTGGTTAAATTAAATCATTAACCGCAAATCTTATTTAAATCTAGACCAGCCAATGACATTGAGGGTTGATTATGGTCTTGGCAAGTTAATAAATGTCTAATTAAAAATTTATATAACATTTAAGGCCTAAAGAAAGACCTGCAATAGGCAGATTTAGCTCTTGAATAATGCCCCTTTAGTAAAACTTGCTAAGATGGAAGCTAATTATCCCTGCCTCACTACCAAAATAAATAGATTACACTCAATAATTACTTGCACATTTATCTTTTATAAAGCATCAAGTAGAAAATTCTCATTATCAAACTTAGTCAAAATTAGAATCAATTGTTTATTACTCTGATTAACCCAAGTGGAAAATGCTAGGTCAAAATACATGAAAACCATGTTTCATCACTCTCATTTCGATGCAAGTTATCTTGTTGCAAAACATCAACAGAACAAATTGTTTATCTCTGCTTTATCTAAACAGAAAATGTTCATCATCCAACTCAGTCAATACTCAAGACATGCATCTAATGAAGCAAAGTTTCTGAATTATTGTAAAAATTTGAAGTGAATTTATGGATAAAACGATGTTGTAGTAAATCCAATTCTCACTCAAATTTTCCCCAATATTATTTTTGTATTTATTAAACATCATATAGTTTCTACATATTCCTTTGTAAATGAAAACCAGCGGCTGCCAGGCAGGATACACCCACATTTTCAAGAGATGGATAGAGAACAAGCTAAGAAGAAAGAGATTTTTCCTACAATCAAGGGCCATAATTCAGGAAATTACAATTCGATATACGCGAATATCGAAAGGAACCAAGATCTTTGGGTTATAAACTTACATCTCAAGTTTCAGCAAAATCAGATTAAAATTGTGACCTCTATAGGGTCCACAACCTTGATATACCATATTATTACGCTATTTGGAAACGAACGGCGGCCATTTTGTCTGTCAATTTTGGGCCAATTTTCACAAAATTCGAAGTCAGTCGTCCTTAGGGTGTAACGGTGATATAATAATACGTTTTTTTAAATCAGATAAAAATTATGACCTCTATAGGGTCCACAAGCTAAAAACGTGATTTTTTGTACAATCAGGGGCTATAATTCTGGAAGTTACGGTCCGATATGCGTGAATATCGAAAGGAACTGAGATCTTTGAGTTATAAACCTACATTTGAAGTTTCAACAAAATCGGATAAAAATTGTGACCTCTATAGGGTCCACAAGCTAAAAACATGATTTTTTGTACAAACAGGGGCCATAATCCATGAAGTTTCGATCAGATACATGCCAATATCGAAAGCAGCCAAGATCTTTTGGAGATAAACCTATATTTCAAGTTTCATCAAAATTGGATAAGAATTGTGACCTGTAGAGTGTCAACAAACAAATTGTGGACGTATAATTATAATTTTAGAGATCTTTCTACCAATAAATGAGTTGCCATGTGGACAAGTTAACCAAAATAATTGGTCTACTGTACATGCAGTTCCATGTGACACAGATAATTGCTACATATGGGGTTGGTTGTTATAGTCAGTGGAATGTTACATGTATATCAAAATTATAAGCTAAGATGCAGTGTAAACTTTATTTTTGAAGTCAGCGAGGAAAGGCAGAACAATTACCAGCATGACCTAATACTGAGCAATGTTTATAACCGTAGTTACTTCCCTTTGGCTAAAATATACTCTTCAAAAAAAAGAAATGCATAATTACACCTGTCGTTGGTATACCCTCACTCTGCCATCGCCTTATTGCAACAGGAACCTTCAGTCGTCACTGAACCAAACTGTTCTTCAGCGTTGCTGTGGCCATACCCTGTGTGTCTGAACCTGCTGAAGTCTGATTTGACGGTGTCAGCGTATTTCAAAACAACAGCTCGTAATTCGGTTTTACGTAGGCTTTATGGACTGACTGGTCTGAGATCCTATGCCGTCCAGGAATTTCTGCTGCAATAGAGGTTACTGTTGTGAACCGTTTCCGCAAATGATGTAACCAGATATGACGATCCAGGGCAGGTGCGGTCACTCTTGTTTGGCCTAAGCTTGGGCGGTCACGTGTTGAACTTCACTGTCGGTACCTATCCCATCTGTCTGGGATTCACCTGCTTGTAACCGACTCATAGCGTTTTTGCGTTGGTCTTCGTTCAGAGGTGGCATCACTTAGCTCATTGAGTGTTTACATGTGCAACTGATTATGAAACCGAGAACCCCAGGATTTTTAAAGGCCTTAGACTTGGGTTTCATTCAAAAAGCTTGCAAAGTTGTTAAACTCATGTGTTTTGGTGCAATTAAGCGAAAACAAATTTCGGCATAAAGTATGCCAGTCACAATTAGTGACCCTACATTTAAAACCAATAATGAATTTTTATTGTCCCCCGCCTTTCGAAGAAAGCAGGGGACTATTAAAATGGGTTCGTCCGTCTGTCGGTCCGTCTGTCCGTCCGTCTGTCTGTCCGTCACACTTTTTGGGACACAATAACTCTCTTCCTAATTGAGCTAGAATGTTCAAACTTGGTGTATGTGTTTATTAGGTCAATGCCTTGATGGAGTTCGAAGATGAGCATTTTCCGCTTAGGGTAAGCAGAGATAAGCAATTTGATTGGTTGATGCTTTGGGACACGATAACTCTCTTCCTAATTGGGCTCGAATGTTCAAACTTGGTGTATGTGTTGATTAGGTCAATGCCTTGATGGAGTTCGAAGATGAGCATTTTCCGCTTAGGGTAAGCAGAGATAAGCAATTTGATTGGTTGATGCTTTGGGACACGATAACTTTTAATTGAGCTAGAATGTTCAAACTTGGTGTATGTGTTTATTAGGTCAATGCCTTGATGGAGTTCGAAGATGAGCATTTTCCGCTTAGGGTAAGCAGAGATAAGCAATTTGATTGGTTGATACTTTGGGGCACGATAACTCTCTTCCTAATTGAGCTAGAATGTTCAAACTTGGTGTATGTGTTGATTAGGTCAATGCCTTGATGGAGTTCGAAGATGAGCATTTTCCGCTTAGGGTAAGCAGAGATAAGCAATTTGATTGGTTGATGCTTTGGGACACGATAACTTTAGTTCTAATTAAGTGAGATTGATGAAACTTGGTGTATAGTTTCATTACAGTAATACCTTGACTAAGTTTGATAATGAGCATTTTCTGCTCAGGGTAAGCAGCAATTTGATTGGTTGATACTTTGGGGCACGATAACTCTCTTCCTAATTGAGCTAGAATGTTCAAACTTGGTGTATGTGTTGATTAGGTCAATGCCTTGATGGAGTTCGAAGATGAGCATTTTCCGCTTAGGGTAAGCAGAGATAAGCAGAGATGACTAAGTTTGATAATGAGCATTTTCTGCTCAGGGTAAGCAGAGCGATACGCAATTTGATTGGTCGAGACTTTGGAAAACAATAACTCTCCTACTTTGATTGTTAGACTATAAGTAAAGATATACTGTTTGATTGTTCAATACTTTGTAAAAGATAATTTGTGATAAATTTATATGTGTCCTCTAATTATTTTCCTTTTCGGCGGGGGACATCAGCCTCACTGTTGGCTTGTTTATCCTTACATAATGACATTAAAAACAAGTCAGTTTTATGGAAACAACAATCCTGTTCAAATAAAAAAAATGAAAAATGGGCTGTGCATTTCTGTTTTTGAAGAGTATATTACAATGTGGGTTTACTTGTCTGAACCACCAACTGGGCTAATGAAGATGGGCCAACCCCATTTTACATAGACAGCGGCGAAATGGCCTACCCATATTTCAAATTTCAACTGTCATGGGTTTTCGTCTCAACTGAATTACTTGACACTATCCTTGGCAGGCCCTCCAGCAGGGCTCACACTGGCTTTCAATTTTTTTCCGCCAAAACAACTGGAAATTTTATCTGCCAAATATGTGTGATAAAAAAGATAACATCTAACGATTTTATGTCTCAGCTAGGCTTATTAATATTCTAAAACAATTACCGATATATACAATACAATATACAACAACTTTGGATTTAATAAGATCCTTTTTTTTTTGGCGACTTTAGTCTATTTAAACACCGTACTGCACAATATATTTTCAGTATTTACATGTCAGATCTCATTCAAGGATTGCCAATTTTCTATAAATTTATGTGTTGTGTATACATAGGCCTATAGTTAGAATGATATAAATTTTGATTTTATTTGTAAGAGAGGCTTACAATTATACCCGTCGTTCACCTTTAGAGCATTTTGGCGTCGGTAATATGATACATATGGCGAAATGATTTCTCGCTCTAAAAATCGTCGCTATTCAACTCTTTCTTACGTTTTCGACCAGAGGTGATGATATGATTTGAAATAATGATAACCGATCGACATGCTTGTATATGCCGTATATGAAGCCACAGTTCAACTATCAAAATATTTAATTCTCTTCGAAAGGATCTGTCGGCCATTTTGATTACATGTATAACCATTTTTTTAAACACGAAACGAAATATCAAATAATCACCGCTGAGATTAATCAGTAGGAGTACATAATGACTTAAGATAGGCTTTATATACATCATGGCAATTATCAATCAACTAATCCAAGACAACTGATTAGTATTAGTCATTGACGCTATCCGGATTATCAGCCAGTTGATTAATTTATAGTATTCAGCCAAGTGATTGACACTCGATCAATTAATGGTTAATCCAGAATAAATACGATTAGAATTTTAAGATTTTTTTTGCCAGTTCTTAAAAAGAATCGCCAGTACCGCAAAACATTATCGCCAAAATCAAATTTTAACCGCCACTCTCATATTTTTATCGCAAATTGCCACTTTGGCGACCGACAGGGTGAGCCCTGCCCTCCAGCCTGCACCACTGACAAGAGGAAACTGTGCTAGAAAATCTAGAGAAACTTTCTCAGCCAACACCAGGATCAAACCCGGGACATACTTACTGATTCATCCTGCCTCCCAAAAAAATCAATAAAATACAGAAAACATTCTGTAAATGAAACATATCAATCCATTCAAAGGCATCAATCAAGTAAAAACATGATATCATAGCTCAAACATTTGATTTCACATCAGATCTGTGTCATTCAGTTACAATTCCACACTTCTATTGCGGCATCTTTTTTTTATATCCTAAAGAAAGTAAATAACAAAGATCGAATTGATCTTGATACTTATACCTCATATAAACATATCCTATGAAATGGTTGTCCACATCGTTTGTCATCACATACAATATCTGGTGTAAATTGTTCTAAACGGTAGCAATAACAAATACCACATTCTACACTAAAATCCTGAAATCAAATCAATTTAATACACGAATCAACATTCATTCATCAGTATTACATAAAATGTGATTAAACTGATAGAGGAAAATAGTACCAAAGTACTAAATTCTGATATATATATATCTTTAGCTTGCCTAACTTATTCCCCCCAACACCTGGGAAAGCCGTTACAAGAACAGAAGTATTACCATGGGTGGAATATTTTTAAATCTCCCAATTGCTATGCAGTTTGTAGTCCTAGCCAAATGATTCAGCGGTATCAATTATCGCCGAAGTTCATCTAGTGTGTCCAGTGTCATTCAGCCGTATTTCTATTCTGCCAAATGACTTGCTTGATTCAAACGTTTGATATATTTGGCCAAATATATTCGCCTAATGTGTCTGGTTTGCCAAGCAATTCGGCTAGTCTGTCTACCACTTAATTATGGAGTTAATTTACTGCAGGTGGGTAAAGTATCAAAGTAGCCGGCTAATTTTTTCACAGTGGAAGGATTGAAAATAGTGCTGCAGGCGTTCGAGCTGAGCGTCGTAGGCACGAAATAACCTTGCGGGGTTCGGGGCATGCCTCCCAAGAGAAAATTTTGCATTTTGGCATGCAATATGATGCAATTCAATCGTTGATTTTACACCACTTTCACAAATCTATACACAATGGAGAATGAAGGGCAACTTTTTATTTCAATTAGAACCTATATCAGGTAAACATTTTTTAAATGTAAAAGTTAGCACAAGATAATTAACTTGTGAAAAAGTTTGAACACTCAATTTGGTGCAGTCGCAGAAAATAGATGGATCTAAATATAAACGATGTATTTATGAACCACTTTTCTCTTTTCTAATATAGCTATACCCGGTACATCAAATCAATACATTGTGAGCTATTTTGAAACTTAATTAATTCTTGATAAAAATGTCCTGTAGAATGCAATCTCCGGTCGTCTAGAAAGATACTTTCACCTCAGCTATCTTCGTTATTTTCGCTGACAAATAATAACCAAGTATTTATATTTAACAATTTGTCATATGAAAAAGAGAGAAATGGGTTTTAACGTCCACTTGACACAAAGTAGGTCATTTTGGGACTAACATGGTTCAATTTTATTTCAATAATTCGCTTTAGCAGTGGCAGGAAACCAGAAGACCCCGAGATAACCCACGAAGCTGGACAGACGACCATACTCCTTGTCACATACAACGGGGGAATCAAAACCACGCCAGTTGACTCTATGACAGACTTTATGATACAGCACTCACGCACAAACCATTCAGCCATCCAACCCCCCTCAGATGAAATATAGCCATCACAAAAAGCTAAGTAGGCGGTGAAATTCGCCAGACACTTGCTCTTAATGAAACCCCTGAGTCAGTAGTTCTGCTGTGTGGTCAGTGATCTTTATTTTGTGTCCATTGATCCAGGGATTAGATTATGTGAGGAACAGCTACAGTATTTGGAAAGTAGCGTTCATCAACCTTTCAGTATACTGTGATTTGATAAGTATTTTCAAAATTCAGTCAGGCCAATTTGTATAATTTCATATTTCATAAGCCTTGAGTATTTGATGGAAGAAAAATGAAACCAGTCTTACTTCTTTTTTTGAGTTGGTTGGAGAGGGAAATTTAATATCAAGAACTGTCTCTAGATTAACTAATAAATGTCGTGATATGTCCCTGAAATAAAGTAAAATCTGTAAATTGTAAAATTAATGTGTGTAAATATTATACAATATGTCTATCAATAGTTGGGGATCACGTGGCTAAGTGGGTAAGACGCTGGCTCGCTAGCCTGGAGGTCGGGTGTTCGATATCTGCATTGGCCGAGAAGTTCATCCAGATTTTCCGGCGTGGTTTCCCCATGTCAGTGATGCAGGACGGAGGGCCTGACAAGGACAGCTGTCTAGTCGTTCGGATGGGACGAAAAACAGAGGTCCCGTGTACATATTGGCGTGCACGTAAAAGATCCCTTGGCAGTTGGAATTCGATATAAGAGTAGGCCATAGCGCCGCTACCCGGGCAAAATTTCCCTCATAGCACACTGTATGGCGTATGCCCGTCTTCATTAGCCCAGTTTAGGAGCAGAACAGTAGGACATTAAACCCCATTTCATTTCATTTCATTTCTATCAATAGTTAAGTCGAGTTAGGTACTTTATATGTTCCTTCCCATTGTAGAGGAAACATGCACAGACAATCAAACTTTATTTTAATATTCAAATAATAGATGTAAGGAAACTATTGAATTTAGTTTTATTTTTGCAAATTAATTCATCTGAAAAACAGTAAAGATTAAATTACCATCTGTATAAATTCTGGTTCAGGTTTTCTTTCAGTGGATTTATAATTTGATCAGCACCTAGAAACACAAACTCCGGAAAAACCTTGGGTTGTTTTGGATCAACAGTTATTTGTACAGAAGCATTTGTACCTTAAATATAAAATATCATCAATAGTGTGAATCAAAAAGATCTGTCTCATTGTTTTTCTCTTATTTGTTGAATTTTATGCTTATTTAACACTGATTTTGTGTGAAGATATACAGAACACTACATCTGATTTCACTTCATGTACATAGACCTATATACAGGGATCAGGATCTGTCATGAAATAACGTGTTTACAGAATTAGCCTCCTGCTTAAAGATACATTGTCCCGAAAGTATTTATCAGGTGGTTATTTCCAATAAAGGCAATAACACCCCAGATCAACCCAATTCAAAACTTTATTTTGACTTAAATTTATGGATTTATCTCCCACAGAATAGCATGGTTTACATACTTAAAGGATGATAAAATTGTTAGAAATAGTTATATTTTCTGATGGTAACTATATAATACATGCACATCAACAAAAATCCTTATTTTTCCTGTGTTTTCAAGGTCCCTGAAAGATACTAATTAGCTTCTGAAACCGTCTCAAGGGTATGGCCAATGAGGTCACATTTCCAATATGAATATTTCTTACACATTTTGGACAGTTTATTGATTTGGATACTTATTTTGGCTTGAAGTCTTACCATTTGGAGGATTTTTCACTCTAACATTGTAAAAAAAAAAACAAAGGTTGCCAGGGAAGATACGCCCACATTTTGCAAGAGATGGATAGAGCACAAACCCCCAAAAAAGAAGCGATTTTTCATACAATCAGGGGATATAATCCAGGAAGTTGTGGTCCGATATGTGAAAATATCAAAAGGAATCAAAATTTCTGGGATATAAACATATATTTTAATTTTCATCAAAATCAGATGGTCCACATCCTTGGTATTACATACTTTTACACTATTTGCATGTAAGGAGTGGCCATTCTGTCAGGCAGTTTCGATCTGATTTTCGAGAAATTTCAACTCAACAGTGATTAGGTTGTTACACTGATATACTTTCTTAAAATCGGATAAAAATTGTGACCTATAGAGGGTCCACAAGCTAAAATCAAGATTTTTTCGTACAATCAGGGGCCATAATCTAGGAACTTACGGTCCGATATAAGCGAATATTGACAGGAACAGAGATCTTTGTGATATAAACATATATTTCAAGTTTCATCATAATCAGACAAAAATTGTGACCTCTAGCGGGTCCAAAACCTTGGATTTACATACTTTTACACTATTTGCGTTCAAGAAGTGGCATTTTGTCGGGCAGTTACTGTCCAATTTTTACAAAATTCAATCTTTTTTTAAATTTTCATTATTAGCCTTTATGCGAATAATTTCTTTTCTAGTCTTCCAAAATAAATTTTTTAATAAGTCGATTATTCTTCGGCAGATGTCTGAGTCTCTCTATTTATTAAATTAATTCTGCTGATGGAGTCCCGTCCACTATCCCAGCAAAAAATGGTGTGTCAAGAAAATCATCTCTTCTTTGATTGGCATTTAGTAATTGAACATATTAACACAAGGTACAATTTTATGGATACACAATTACTGAGTTTGATACTAAGCGACATTTTGACGAGGATACTTGATAAAGACGAGAGTATCCACATCGAAATGTCGCTTAGTATCAAACTCAGAAATTATGTATCCATAAAATTGTACCTTGTGTTAAGAAAATCATCGTATGATTTAATAGATTTTATTGGACTTTGCCTTACTTTTACCAAACTTCCTAGTTTTGGTCCGATTTTCACAAAATTCAAACTCAATCAGCATTATGGTGTAACAGTGATATAAATGAGGGCTGCAACCTAAAAACACGATTTTTCATACAATCTGGGGCATAATCCAGGAAGTTGCAGTCTGATATACATAATTATCGAAAGGAACCAAGATCTTTCAGTTATAGACATACATGTCAACTTTCATCTAAATAAGATAAAAATTGTGACCTCTAGGGTGTCCATCCACAAGCTAAAAACGTGATCTGGGGCCATAATCCAGGAAGTTTCAATCCGATACATGCCAATATCAAAAGGAACCAAGATCTTTTGGAGATAAACCTATATTTCAAGTTTCGTCAAAATCGGATAAGAATTGTGACCTGTAGTGTGTCCACAAAGAAATTGTAAATGGACGGGCAGCGGCGATGACAATATACGTCCGCATGAAAATGGGGGCGTATAAAAAGTATTTCTCTTTTTTAATGAATTAAATGGAGACAATATGGGTCGTGGGACTAACCAATAGCTATTCTTCTATGAACTGCTGCATAAGTGGGTTTTTCGGGTTCTAAAACCCATGTACAGGTATCAATCTCTTCCATTTCATCCCAGAATTCTTCGTAGTTTTTCAGCGTAGATTCAAATTCATTAAATAAGCTAACAAGGCCATCCTGAAATAATTATTATTATTGTTCCATTTATATAGCGCTTCATTACTCATGAGTGTTTCTAAGCACATTCACAACAAAACAGTTCAAAAACATTTTTGAAATAACTATGTTTTTAAGTTAGCCTTAAAGCTCTGGATGGAAGACGACTCTTGAAAAGTTTTTGGAAGATCATTCCACATTTTAGCCACTCTGATGGAGAAAGCATATTCACCAGAACGTTTATTATATTTAGGAATCCTCAAAATGCTACGATCACCTGAAGAATGAAGGTTGGATCGCCAAGGAGTATAGAAATCAAGAGTTTTTTTAAACATACATTATGCAAGAGCAAAATCTGCCTATTGCAGGTCTGTCTTTAGGCCTGAAATGTTATCTAAATTAACAATTAGACATTAATTAACTTATCCCGACTATAATCAACTCTCAATGTCAACGCTAGCCTGCGATATTTACTTGATTACGATCAGATTTGCTGCTCAACTTTCATTCATAATTTAATCATCAAATGGATAATCGAGACGATGTCTTTTATCATACCGACTTTAGTAATGATGATTGAGGCTAGGCCGAAAATTCAATCGCCAAAATCGCTGTTCAGAGTGGATCAATTTGACTGAAATTTTCAGCAAATTCCCATTACATTATGTAGTTTTTAACTATTATAGTAAGAATTGCCAGCTCTTTATCTAATCTCGCATAATTTATCTTTAAATAACAGGGTGCAGTTCAGAATAAATTGATTTAACACATTTCCAAGAGCTTTAATTTGAACCCTTGCTCGAACTGGAAGCCAATAGAGTTTCTGTAACTTAGCTGATGTATGATCAAATTTTTGTGTTCTAGTTATTAGACATGCACCATTGTTCTGTGCTATTTGTAGTCGGTTTAAAGCTCTTTCTGGTGCTCCTAATAGAAGTGAATTTGCATAGTCCATATGCGATGTTACTAATGAATCTCTAACAAAACTCTGGCAAGCATCAGTATTAAGATTAGAGTGTATTCTCGAAATAGCTCTCATTTGAAGATGCATTTTCCGTATGATACTATTGATTTGGGGAACTGGGGACATAAATTCATCGGTCACATAGCCAAGATTCTGAATGGAATCCGCTTTAAACAATTTAGTGGATTGTGATTTTTATGATATGACCAGAAATTCGGATTTGTCTTCGTTAAAGGACAATAATGGTGTCAGTCATTATCACATATGTGATAGAACTAATTAAACACGTTCCAAATATAATTTTAACAGAGATCATTGGAAGGAATTATTAGTGAGCAGAAATTCGCCCATGTATTTGTTATCACTCGTCACATCAGTCAGTTATATAGAGGTATGACTCGTGTTTTCCTTTGGCGTTCGTCACTTCCGATTCTGGAAACCTGTATTACTCAGCTATCGTAGCAATGATCTCTGTGTTAAAATTATATTTGGAATATGTTTAACCAGCTCTATCACATACGTGATAATGACTGGCACCAATATTGTCCTTTAAGTTTTAGCCTATTTCTGGTCATCCATCCTCGAATGTATTACTCAGCTATCGTAGCAATGATCTCTGTGTTAAAATTATATTTGGAATGTGTTTAACCAGCTCTATCACATACGTGATAATGACTGGCACCAATATTGTCCTTTAAGTTTTAGACTATTTCTGGTCATCCATCCTCGAATGTCATTAAGACAAGATGCTAGTCTACTGATAGTATCCTTGGAAACAAGATAATTAATTACCAGTACAAGATATCTAATTTTTCTGTCACACTTTTACCAAAGTGTAAATGAATTATATATTTATATCAAAATTTTACAATCATCCATAAAAAAAATAATAATTATAGATTCATTTACAATAAAATTATATACCTCTTTATTCCAGTGGAAAAGGGATATGCATGGTAGATATGTAGTGGTGACAGGTGCAGCATTTATACACTATAAAATAAACAAGTCAATTGATTAATTGTACATTTATCTTTTTCAAAAGTATTGATTAATCAAACAGATTATCTATACTAAGTCTAAGCATAAAATGTTCACGATCAAACTCAGTCAAGGTTTTGAAGAACCTGGTAGTGAAACTATACACTAAGCTTCATAACTCTCCATCAATTAGAATCAAAGTCATCTTGTCCCAAAGCATCGACCAATAAAACTGCTGCTTAGCTATGCTTAGCTTTAGTGGGAAATGTTAATCATTGAACTCAGTAATGAACATCTACATCAAGTTTAAACATTCAACCTCAATTAAAAACAGCGTTATGTTCCAAAGTCTTGACCAATCAAATTGCTTATCGCTACTTAGTAGAAGCAGAAAATGCTCATTATCGAACTTGAAATGAAATGGGGTTTAATGTCCTACAGTTCTGCTCCGAACTGGGCATACGCCATACAGTGTGCTATGAGGGAGATTTTGCCCGGACAGCGGCACTATCGAATTCCATCTGTCAAGGGATTTTTTACGTGCACGCCAATGTGTACACAGGATATCGAACTTAGTGAAGTTATTGATGTAATGAAACTATACACCAAGTTTCATCACTTTGACTTAATTAGAACCAAGGTTATTGTGTTCCAAAGCATCAACCAATCAAATTGCCTATCTCTGCTTACCCTAAGCAGAAAATGCTCATCTTCAAACTCCAAAAGGCATTCAAGTAATGATTGCCTACAACAAGTTTGAACATCCTACCGCAATTAGAAGGAGAGTTATTGCGTTCCAAAGTCTCAACTAATCAAATTGCTCATTGATCTGCTTACCCTGATCAGAAAATGCTCATTATCGAACTTAGTCAAGATGTTGATGTAATTAAACGATACACCAAGTTTGATCACTCTCACTTAATTAGAGGGGGGGCACGCTGGCTAAATGGGTAAGACGCTGGCTCGCTAGCCTGAAGGTCGGGTGTTCGATCCCTGCATTGGCCAAGAAAGTTCATCCAGATTTTCGAGCGTGGTTCCCCCTTGTCAGTGATGGATGATGGAGGGTTTGACAAGGACAGCAGTCTAGTCATTCAGATGGGATGAAAAACTGAGTTCCTGTGTACACATTGTGTCTCAAAGCATCAACCAATCAATTGCTTATCGCTGCTCATCTTCGAACTCCATCAAGGGATTCACCTAATAATGGCCTACACCAAATTTGGATATTCCAGCTCAACTAGAAGGAGAGTTATTGTGTCCCAAAAAGTGTGACAGACAGACAGATGGACAGACAGACAGATGGACAGACAGACACATTTTAAAAGTCCCCTGCTTTCTTTGAAAGGTGGGGGACAAAGATATAAATGTGTGTTGCAGACGCAATATACATATTGAATATAAAATATTTTTTTATCTTTTTATAATATAGGCCAATAAAATAAATGCTGAATTTCATTCACAGAAATAATAAGAATTTTCTTATTACCCCATGAAACATATCAATCTCGCCTTATAAATAACAACTATGACTTTTGAAATACTCCCAAAGTCTACCAGTTATGAAGATTTTTTTGTTTTAAAACCCAAACATAACAGAATTAAAATTGAATATAGTGGTTAAGATCAAATTGTAACCGAGTTATGCTATATAAACCAATTTGTTGCGGACCCACGACTGGACTGACAAACTTAATAGCCAGGTTATAGTGTAAACTCATGACAAATTATACCGGCTGTATTAGAAAATAAATATTGCCACGATAATTTAAGCCACATTTTCGGGCATTTTAAACTTAAGTACACTTCCCTGAATTTGCATGAATTGGCATCAACCAGCATTATGATTAAAAACCTACAAATAATATTTGTGACACTGGCCGCTCACAATTTCACCTACTGTCCCCATGGCACATTGTACCATTAATCAGACAGACCTCCAATCTAATAATAATATTAGTTGATCATTATTATTTTTTGTCAGTTTTTGTCTTTGACTGAATCAGAGCAATAGAAATCCAATCCTGGCTGGAGAATTCCATAAGTGATTGACAATCTCAGGGGCCTGGCCTACATTGAACGTTATCAGGACATACCTGGGAATTTAACTTTATATTCAATAAATGTTCTCTCTGTTGACTGTCCAATGCTTTTAAGGTAACACTATGAAAACTTGTATCTATGGCAACGAGTCTGAAAATGTAAGTGTAAGTTCAAATTAATTACTTAGTTTGTCATGACTAAAACTTGGTTCCTACATTAGGAAAAGGTTCCAAAATAGTAAAAACATTGCATGTGGTCTATGAAGATTGATTATAGATGTCGATATAGGCTATATGCTATTAATAATTTTAGTATGCGTTGCTTAATTTTTGAGGAATAATGTTTATATTTCTGATCTACAAACTTGAAAGATAGAGATGCGGACATATTGGTATAACTCACTAGAACAGATAGAACAGCTTGTAGTTCTTGCTATCATACAACGGGGTTCCCTACATTAATTGTTTTGAGTGAGGTGGCTGTCTATTTTATTTCTTGCGGGGTTGGGTGGTCTAACTCATGCGCTTTTGATCATTGATTTTAACAGTATGTTATTCAGATAATATTCATACATTTTAGATCATTGATCCAAGTGGCATTGTTCTGATCCAAAGCTTGTAGTGACAAGGATTAGGGTCAACTATTCCACCTCTTGGGTTTTCTCAGGGTCCTCTGGTTTCCTACCACTGCTAAACACTGCTGTGTGCAAGTGAATTATTGAAGTATGTTACTCCAAAAATGATTTGGTTTGAGTCGAGTGGAAGTTAAACTCCATTTCTCACTCTCTCATTCATTTCTTTTGTTTTTTCAGTTTTTGATGGAGGATTATAAGCAGAAGATTGAGAGTAACTTACTTGTGCCATCCTATTTTTTCTATCTCAGTAACAATATGACTTGTTAAATTACATGTGATATCTGGTGATTCCTCATACTTTATCTTACTTTCCTTTAATTTAATAAAAAGACGATAAAATTAACATTAAACTTGTTTCTTTACATAGACTTCAGTTATTACTATTAGCCAAGACTTCAATTTTGGAAAGATTTGACTATAACAAACAATACAATTTTGTATGCTGGAACTTAGCTTGAGCCAAGGACATGACATTTAAAAGTTGGTGAGTAATCTGAAATGCATCACCAAGCATGGAATTGAGAATTGAACAGCCATCTGCAAAATGACACTCTGCAGTTATAGTCTGCAAAAGTCTACCTTCCAAAACAATCACTCTATTATTAAAATAGTTCAATCACACAGCCAATCACCTTCATCCACATCACAGACACTCAACTGCATATTTTCATATTCAATGACCTCTTTACGAAGTCAGCTCTAAATTCTTTAAAGTTCTTTAGTCTATCTTGAAATATTTGATATACCGATATGAAAAGTGTGACCATAATTCAGCCAATTACAACAAGTGTCCTATTCTCACTGTAGGTGGACACCATAATTTATTTCATTAATCAATCGATTCAAAACAAATTGGTACTTCACTTCAGAAAGTTGAAATTATCACTCGATTAGAGGAAAGTAAGCAAAGATATATTTTTAGAAATTTGTTTGTAAAGGTTGCATTTTACTTTAAAATTTGTCCTGTAATTTTTGTCTACATTAGCCCAGGCGGAGCAAAACAGTAGGAGGTTAAGCCCCATTTCATTTCAATTGATTTCCTGTAATTTTATATTCAATTATGACAAATTCATCATTTGACACTTAACTGGTTACATGAACAAATAAAATGCATTTGTTTAAAAATTCACTTATAAACTACAAATATATGACACTAATGGGAAGATGGGAAGATGGGAAGAGTGCCTTACAACTGATGTGTGTCAGATAAATAGGCAAAAATGTCCAGGTGTACATAATGATAATATAATGACATGTATTATTATGTATAATCAAGATAAGCATCATGGATGTATGGTACTGTGACTGTGAAATGAAGACTGATCACTGAACCAATTCAAAAGAAATACAACAACATTTTGCAAGAGATGGATGGGGAACAGCAGAATCAATAGGACTCATCCTCTCATAGTCCCAATTCTTCACACCGAATTAAAGTTTTAATGCGGAACAAAATCAAACTCATTCAAGATCTTTTGATCCTTAACATACTGTTGAAGTTTCATCGGAATCGGAAGAAATTGTAGCCGTTGGGGGGGTCTACAAACTTCATACACATTTCAAAATTTGTGTAATAAGCAGGGATTTTAACCTTAGAATGGAAATCTAACTCATCCAAGAACTATTGATCCTAAACACATTTTAAAGACCACATAAGATGATAAAACTAGATTTTATGTATTTACAGCAAGTGGTTACTATATAGACATTGCGGCAAGTTCACATCAATCCGGTTAAAATTATTCGACATATTAATGTTTAAGTATCGGACACCCAAAAAACGCTTTTCAATTTTTCGATTACACCTTTAGTCCAGTTGATTGGCTGGTGACGTCACAGGGACCACATACAGTTATCTATACAATATATCACTGTCTATACGCAACCAGTTGACAAGTGTTTATTGACGGTCCAATTAACACATGACTGCCCTAATCATAATCTCTGAATTATCGTCTTGCACTGTTATAGATTAGACATTTGTGATTGAAATATTTTAGAGTGAATTTTAAAATGCTGTGTCATGCCGTAGATCCATAAGCTGCCTTTGTTTAAATGAAGACGATCCAAGCATTTCCCGCATTTACCGGTAATTTGGATAACCCCATAATACTTGATATCCCAAAGTTTTTCTATAAGTATAGAAATACAAATGGTGCCAGTCATTTATCGATATATATTCATTATTAGCTATATATAATAATAATAACCATTTCTATACACAAAGAACAACTTTTATCGTAACTCCATTTGAAATTCACAGCAAATATGGATTTTTCCAATGACTAAGCATAACAATAGATCGCCCTCATTTCTCAGCCAATCAACGCTGGGAATCTTAATACCATGTATGGTTCCATGCATACTACAGGTGTAGTAACTAAGGTTAAATTTTGGCACGAAATTTGCAGGGGTTCATGGACATGAATATCAAATACACATGATCATACATGGAGTTCCTGATGTCATTTGATGAGTGATTAAACTGTCAATGTAATTGTAAAATACCTTATAATAATAAAGAATTTAAACGATGTTAGACATTATAACCTAATCTTATCACAAACGTTTATCCATTCAGATTTCATATCAAGTCAATTAAATGTGGTCTAAATGCGAATCAACAAATAATTCAAGGCTACTTTATTACAAAAACATTGGTGAACAAAGCTAACTGATCATTGGATAAATAATAATTATAAACCAGTGGTTGTTAGGCAAGATATGCCCACATTTTGCAAGAGATGGATAGAGAACAAGTTAGAAACAAAAGGATTTTTCGTACAATCAGGGGCCATAATCCAGAAATTTATGGTCTGAAATGCGCAAATATCAAAATGGACTGAGATCTTTGGGTTATAAAGATATAATTTAAGTTTTATCAAAATCGGATAAAAATTGTGACCTCTAGAGGCTCCACAATCTTCGTATTGCATACTTTTACACAATTTGCGTACTAGGAGCTGCCATTTTGTCGGGCAGTTTTGTTTTAATTTTCCCGAAATTCAAATTTGACCTTCAATATGGTGGAATGATGATATATTTAAATGGTTTTTAAAATCAGATAAAAAATTGTGACCTCTAGAGAATCCACAAGCTAAAAATGTGATTTTTCAAACAGAGGCCATAATCCAGGAAATAACATTCGGGTATTCGCGATTATCAAAAGTTTCATCATAATCAAATAAACATTGTGGCCTCTAGAGGGTCCACAACCTTGATATACCATACAGATGACATTATAATTTTCGGCGTTTGAGGGTTCACAAGGTTCTAAAAACTAAAACAAGGGCGTAACTCTGGAAGTAATCTACAGAAATTGCTGAAATTCGATAGGCTTTTTCGATTTACTAATTCAAATAATGCATATGAATTTTCATACAGATCGGATGATAACTTTTGTCATTCGAACGTTCACAAGGTTCAACAAAGTAAAACAAGGGCCATAAATCTAGAAGTAATTGACAGAAATTGCGGACATTCAATAGGCTTCTTCATTTCACTAATTTAAATCATGCATATGAATTTCATACAGATCGGGTGATAACTTTTGTCGTTCAAGTGTTCACAAGATTCAACAAAGTGAAACAAGGGCCATACCTCTAGATGTAATTAACAGAAATTTGCTGAAACTCAATGGGGTTGTTCGTTTTACTAATTCAAACAATACATATAAATTTCATACAGATCGGATAATAACTTTTGTCGTTAGAGCGTTCACAAGATTCAACAAAGTGAAACAAGGGCCATAACTCTAGATGTAATTCAATAGGCTTCTTTGTTTTACTAATTTAAATGATGCATATAAATTTCATACAGATCGGTTGATAACTTTTGTCGTTCACAAGGTGCAACAAAGTGAAATAAGGGCCATAACTCCAGAACAGAAGTTATTGAAATTAAATAGGCTTCTTCATTTTCAAAACAATCAGATGATAAATGTAGTAGGTAGAGTGTTCACAAGAAATTGTGGACGGATGGACGGACAGGGGCAACGGCAATATACGACCACATTTCCATGTGGGCGTATAAAAACTAGATAACGTAAAGGGAATTTGCTGAAAATTTCAGTCAAACTGATCCACTCTGAACCGAGAGATTAGCTTTTGAATTTTTGACCTAACCTCAATCATCATTACTAAAGTCGGTACGATAAAAAACATAGTCTCAATTATCCCTTTCATGATGACATGAATGAAAGTTGAGCAGCAAATCGGATCCTAATCCAGTAAATATTGCAGGCTAGCGTTGACATCGAGAGTTGATTATTGTCTGGATAAGTTAATTAATGTCTAATCAATAATTAAGATAAGATTTCAGGCCTAAAGAAAGACCTGCAATAGGCAGATTTAGCTCTTGCATAATGTATGTTTAATTCTAACATATATTTATATATTTTTCATATTTCATTTTAAGATCTATTTCAGAGTAATGAAGTCAAATCCACATGGAGAAAGAAAGGCACTGTACGATGGCGACAGGAAAACAAGATTGGCTACCCTGACAACGGACTGTCATTTACAATTCGCATTTCAATCATGTTTGACTTTTATGATACACTTTGTATGACCACATCTTTTTACTCCTGTACTCAGGTAAATTAAAACCACTATACTCTTCTGACGGAAATGTATCTCAAATCGTTTGGACGCAGTGCACCCGATGATAGAGAGACTCTATCAAAAAGTCACTTTTTAAGATCGCTGTCGAAATTATCGGTGCTTTAAATTTACATGATTATTACCTGAAACCATTTCACCTCTTAAAAGATCACATTTTAATCATTTCTATTGGTTTTATCGAATTTGTAGCGCTGTCGATAACAATTTCACACCAATCTTGTGGTTTTAATCGGAAGCCAATTATTGTGGGTTTACTGTCAGCTTATTCTGATTAAAATGACACAGGGATATGGCTACAGCGACTGTCTTTGTTATAACATTATAAAACAAATTCTAAATTGGATCAAAAATTTAAATAATTACATAACAAATTATTCCGTAGTCAATTGTTTTATTTAATTAGGGGATTAAGGAATCAGTCAAGCATTAATGAATACACACGCCAGCTGTATATAGGTAATTAAGGAATAAACATTCCGAATATGCATTCAGTCACTGTGACGTCACTGGCATATGAGGGGATTAAGAGTGTTTTCGATAATTGGCAAAGTCGTTTTTAAGGGAGGTCTATTTTTTGCAACTTTAAGTGAAGATAGCTTAATTAATTTTAATCAGATTGGTGTGACCTTGCTGTAAAATGGATATAATAACCATCGGCTATATGTACCAAAACGTTTCTCGCCCATCTTATGTGCCCTTTAAGTTTCATCTGAATCGGACAAAAACTGTTGCCCTTTAGTGTCCACAAACGTTGTACAAATTTCACATGTTGTGTTAAAAGCAAGGGGTATAACTCCAGAACAAAAATCGAACTCCTCCAAGAAAGTCTGATCATTAACATATAATATAAGTTTCATCTAAATCGGACGAAAAATTGTCACCTATGGAGGGTCAACTAACTTCGTACTATTACACATTTTGTGTAAAGGCAGGGGGTATAACTCCAGAATCTGATGCCATCAAAATGGAACTAATCCAAGAACTTTTGATTCTTCGCACGTTTTAAGTCTCATCTAAATTGGACAAAAATCGTGTCTCTAGAGGGTCCACAACTTTGGTATCCGCAAAGGGATTGGGGAGAACAATGAAAATCAATAGGTTTCATGTCCTCATTTTCTTAATTCATCACACTGGAAAGTCCACAAACTTTGTTACACATTTTGCGTAAAAGGCAACATCAAATTCATCCCAGACCGTTTGATCTTAAACATTTTAAGTTATATCTAAATCAGATAAACTTATGTTTTAAGTTTCACCTGAATCGGATAAATATTTTGACCTCTGGTGAGGGCCACAAACTTAACATAAACACTTCGTAAAAAGCTGAAAATTTTTCAAAGTGATCCAGAGCAATAATGATTGAAATACATTATTGGGTGACAATTTACAATCACATTTCAACATAGGCTAGAGTCAGATTTTTCAGATCAGGTTAGCAATGACAAAACAGATTTATACTGTGCCCACTTCTACTGAGCACACAAAAATCAATGAAAGTGCATTGTCCTTGAATCAATATTTTTGTAATCGAGAGAACCATTTAATTTTCCACGATTTATGGCATAGATTCCACACTGATCTTAGAAAAATCAATTCAAAATAATGGTCTGTTGCAAAATAAACCTTACAAACCTATTAACATATCCAATAATAACCAAAGTCTATATGACAAAACAAACATTTATTCATATGAATCACCACCCATTTTACCCAATAAATTTATAGATAGAAAATCAAATATCATAACAAGCACCTTAAACATGAACACAATGACTGAAAAGTAGGTATAGAAGACAGCCATCAGATAGCTACAACTGATCACTTAACAACGCATAATAAAACCCTGAATATTCCTCAGTTAGCTGGAGCAGAAATAAACATAGGGAATTAATACCCCAATAATAAGTCAATATTGAGCCAACCATCAATGTATTGATTGTTATATCATTAATATAGATCTTATTGTCGAGCCGATAAAAGATTTTACATGTTCCTAGAAAAATGTACGCAATTCCACACACTACAGGAATGTGTTATTGACATAGTGAAAAAGTATACCCACAATATGACGTACATAAAAATATACTTTACGTCAAATTCTAATGGAGGCCCTTGTTAGTTCATAAAACTAAATTGTAATTTAAAAGTTTATGTTCTTTAGAAGATAGCCAAGCAAAAAAAGAAAATACACCCACACAGCAACCATGCCTCAAAAAAAGGATAGCCACAAACTGCAGCTTATCCGAGAGCATACAGAAAACTGATCACTTTCAATCTGAACTAGAACTGCGTAAAAGCTGTATTGACGTGTATCTGTACATCAGGTCACGCCTTCTCACGTCAACAATCAAGTTACACCATGAACTATTGAGTATAGTAACATCCATAACCAATTGAAGTGGAAAAACTTGTCATTTTGACGTCTTAATAAAACTGGGAGTTATACTTCAAGACAAAACTTTTTGATATTAGTTGTAAGTAGACGTCAGGGTCATCATATATGCAAAGGTCAAGGGTCACTGAATGGTTATGTCACCAGACAGTAGATAAAAAGTCGAAAAAAAATTCAATGTGAAACCGGAGGTAAATGAAATCGAAATTCAAAAATTGGCTCCTTAATAATTGTTGCCATTTGGAGAAGGTTCAAAACAAAACCAGCGGTTGCCAGGCAAGAGATGGATAGAGAATAAATTAAAAGATAGGTTGCCAGGCAACAAAACATACGCCCACAGCAGCTAAATCGTCTGGGCAGTCAACAAGAGTTGTCGCATATTTTTACTTTTGTCCGTAATGAAACATTTATAATACACTAAAATCTGATTAAGAGTAACAACCCATTAAGTAATTATCAGAAAATCAATAGAATTTGTTTGGCCCATGCTGACGTTTAGTAAACAAAACATTTAATATGAAAATCAATATACTTGTTAGTCTTAAGACCTTAAACTCTGCGTATCAATCTAAAGTCAATCGAAATGATTATATAGAGGTAACTCATGTGACACAAACATGACCTCTCTTCATCGATTTTTTTTAGCCAGGGTATTCCCTGACAATTGCAATGTTTTGAGAAGGATTTGAAGAAAAATTATGATAAATCAATTAGTTTGAATATGTTTTTAGTCCAATTATATCATCAAATCACTCAGTTTGTACCCGGGAATGTATCTTTAAGTCAATCGGATATTAACTTTAACCTCGAGAGTGTCCACTAGATTTTTCAAAGTCATCAAGGACCATAACTCTGGCAGTAATTATCGGAAATTGGTGAAAATCAATAGGATTATTCGTCCTATGACTTTAAACACTGTGTATAAATTTAAAGTCAATCAGATATTAATTTTCAAAATTATCAAGGGGCATAACTCTGGAAGTAATTATTGAAAATCAGTTAAAATCAATAGGCTTCTTCGTCTCATGACCTTAAACACTGTGTATAAATTTAAAGTCAATCGGATGTTAACTTTAGCCTCTAGAGTGTCCACAAGCAATTGTGGATGCCAGTCAGACCGACCAATGGACGGACAGGCGCAACAACAATATACAACCACATTTCAACATGAATGTATAAAAATGAACGCGATTTTCTGTACAATCAGGGGTCATAATACAAGAAGTTATGGTCTGAAATGCGGGAATATCAAAAGGGACTGAAATTTTGGGATATAAAATCAGAAAAAATTTTGTCAGGCAGTTTCATTTAGATTTTCCCGAAATTCGAATTCAACTTAATTATGGTGGAACCGCGATATATTTAAATGTTTTTTTTAAAATCTGATAAAAAATTTTGGTTTTTCATACAATCAGGGGCCATAATCCAGGAAGTTATGGTCTGATATGTGCAAATATCCAAAGGAACTGAGATCTTTGAGACATAAACATATATTTTAAGTTTCATCAAAATCAGACAAAAATTGTGACCTCTAGCGGGTCCACAACCTTGGTATTACATACTTTTACACAATCAACGGAGGTCCGATTTTTACGAAATTCAAAATCAGTCATCATAAGGGTGTAACGATGATAAAGTTCAATGATTTTTAAAATCGGATAAAAATTCTGACCTCTAGAGGGTCAAAAAGCTAAAATCGCTTTTTTTGTACAATCAGAGGCCATAATCCAGGAAGTTAAGCACGAATATCGAATGGAACCAAGATGTTTGGGATATAAACATATTTTAAGTTTGATCAAAATTGGATTACCAACAATTGCCAGGCAAGATACACCCAGATTTTGCAAGAGATGGATGGAGGCAAGGACAATATACATCCACATAAAAATTTGAGCGTATAAAAAGGTTTTTGAAAATCCAAATCAAAAGGGCGACTGAATATTGATTCGAAGGTTTGTAAAATCCAATATGGCGGCCAAACAGTTGAAAATGTTATGGCACAAGGTCTCTAAAAATGAAAGATAATATCTGGGGCTAACACCACCATATGTCATTTTTTGTCTTTTTTTAAAATGGAGAGAACTATTCATGTTCAGGAAAAATCGGAAGGCGTTGGTAATTTCCAGAAGGTCACATAAGTTATTAATATGCCCTTTTGAAGGCATCAATGTGTTCCGTATTCCTGCAACGGATTTCAGAATATGCACCAAATGACTTAATTTATCGTTTGTCATTGACATTTTACCTGACTTCAAAGTCTTACACTTTTTTGAAAAAACTTTAATTTTATGAAGTCACTTTATTGACAAATATTTTTAAATAAGGCAAAATTAAAGAAGTTGAAAATCTGACCTCATCTTCAAAGGGGAGATAATCGGAAAATTTTTGTTGACAGTTTTGGCTTAATCCTGTTATCATTTTTAAAACTTAAGTAATTCATTCACCATCGAATTAAATACCTTTCAGATAGTTTAGAGTTTAAGTCTGTAGAACATGTACTTTTTTCAAAAACGCGAGGAAAAAAACAAAAAAATAATAATCCAAACAAAAACAATAGTTTTTATACTACGTAGTTTATAAAAACACTTAAGCAGTGGACACATTAGCCGAATCATTTGGCTGAATCAATCGGCGCCGAATTTTATTCGGCCGAATGGGTGGGCACACTAGCCGCTGAATGCTTCGCCCGATTCACTTTTCACGTCACATGATTAAATGCTTCAGCGAAGCTGACACACCAGGAGAATATAATTCGGCCGAATATGTCAAACATGTTTGATTCAGGCGAATCATTCGGCCGAATGACAGTGGACACGCTAGCGAATTTTGATGCCCATTGATTCAGCCGAATCATTCGGCTAGTGTGTCCTCCGCTTTACGAAAACAATACGTGTTTTGACTGTTTTGTACGGAAACATGTAATTATGCTACACTCCTATAAAACTGTGAGATAATAATAAATATATAGTACTTACAACAATACTGATTACTTCTTTCAGAAACGTGTTCAAGTCTTTGCAGTGGACCAATCTCTGAATAAATATATATAAAGATTCTATTCCTAATTCAAGTTGTTGATATAATTCTTTCAATGAACTGTATAAGATTTTAAAACTGTCCTTTATGATTATTTATAATATTGATCACAAAATGATACAAGACAGGGTAATAAACTGTGGTCAAGCCCAAGGCCAGGTAATTTTGGGAAATCGTTAAAATTTGATTGGTTTGAGAGTGTAACATTTAATCTGTAGTAGTGTTCAAGAAAAAAAATATAGATGGATGGAGGTGACGATAATATATATCCACATCCAATTTGCTCCCTACAAAGAACAAATCTTTTGGAACATGCAATGTCACAGGTGATGGTGAACGATAATGCACACTGACACAACGTGCACAAATATACCTGTCGAATGATGGGCATATATTCATCTATAATTTCTTGTAATTTCCATTCACATACGATTTCTGTTTCACTCAGGTTGCTTGAAGGCACTGTCAATTTCATTCTAAATTCATTTTGCTTGGAAAAACAAAAAGAGAATCTTTAAGGATATATGATCCTTTAATTAGATCATACATATTCAACCCACAAAACTTATTTTTATCTGAATGTATAATATTTCTAATGACCAAGAAAAATAAAATTTACCTAAATTGTTATAAGAAGACCACAATAAATTAAATAAGTCAATCATTACACACCATAAACCATTGCTTTGTACTTTAGCAAAGTAACCACGTTCATGCTAGAGTAGGTGCTTAGTGCACTAACCCACTAACTGCACTTTCATACACCTAGTACTTTCATCACTATCGTTCTTACCGGCATCTACTCGTGATCTTACAATTAGTGGTAATTTATATGTGTCGTTCATAATGGCACCCACATTAAATCAACAATGATGTTGTTTTTATCTTACTGTGAAAAGCTTGACTTCTGATATCCAATATTTAAGACCAAAAGAATTGGCACACAAATCGAGTGCCATTTGTGTGAAGTAACTCGACGAACGAGGCCAAACATATCCCATGTAGGAGAATACTACCGGTGTAGCCTGGATTAATCAAACGCAAAAGATTGCCATTCATTCGGACTTCACATTTTTCGCCGAACAAAACTGATTAGAAATTACAGTAAAAACTGAAGCCATTGAATGTAAATCAGTTTATCATATTACATTATTATATGTGTTGTGACCCATTTGTGTCCATTTCTGGTTGCCAAAGAATAGTGATTTAGCTCCTGATTTAGAATTTTCTTCACTTGATCGAAGCATCCGTCAGATATATCGTTTTTCACAACAAATATATCTGTTATTATGACCAATGGTTTATACTGCATCATACATCAAAACTTTTCAGATTACTATCAGTCAACTATTATATAGTCTGATAGGGGGTATTATTTTCAGAGTGAGTGATTCATAAACAGTTATGTTAGTACCAAGTCCTGTTTAGATGTTTTCTACTTACACCAATCGTCAAATATCCATCATAACATCGACCAGTTTCATCTTGTGGTACAAGACATGGGAAGGATGATAAATCTATGGCCATCAATTTTCAGGCCAATAACTACTCAGCAGTACTATTAACTCTCAATATCATCTAAAATCTTCGACACTGAAATGACAAATTATTTGTCAATTGAAATCAACATTGATGTTGTGATATTACCAGGAAAAGATAGGCTTCTGATATCCAATATATTTAAGACAAAATATACATTTTACCGTCCATTGGTACACGAATCGTGTAGGCCTACAATGTAGGCTACCATATATGGCATAATGCGTTTCAGCGCCATTTGTAACAAGGGACTCGAAGAACGAGACTAGACATATTCAACAAATCATGTCAAATGGTGACGCCATATTCTTATCTGAAGAGCATGCGCAATAAATACTATTTGTGTAGACTGGAATAACCAGACGCTAGAGATTGCCATTCGATTAAGACTTCTGCCCTGGCGTATTTCGTCGAATATAATAGATTGAAATTAGAGTAAAAATGGAAATGATTGAATGTAAATCAGTGTATATACATTCATATTACAATATTTTCATTATTAGTAATATTAGATCTATAGACTAGTATAGGAGTATATGTTTTGCGACCCATTTCAATTTGTGTCAATTTTTAAGTCCCAAATTTTAGCGATTTACTTATTTAGCTCCTTTAAATTAAGTTTTAAAACATAGTTAGCGTATTACATATTAGTCATCAATTCAATCAGGATATCTCAGTTTTATTGATTTATGTTATGTGCTTTCTTAATGAATCGATTATCACTATCAGTCAGTTCATTAAACTGTTTTGAGTTAGCTTGTTTATTCCCGCTAAAATGGAAAGTAGAGCTTCCGTGTTTATATAGTCTTGGATACCAAGCCTGAAAATCCCTTGAACATTTTCACCACAATCGCCTGTTTATAAACTCCACTAATATCTTAATTCAAAACTAGTTATAGTACGCAAACATGGAAATGGGATCGTATATTGCCGTCGCCCATAATTTGAGGTACGATTGTACGAAGTGAGGTACGAATGAACTAAATACTAAAGTCGGCTACGAAACAGGTTACGAAACAGCCTACGTACCCCTACGGACTACATTTAAATCGTCTAGTGATTGTTTTGAAATTGATAATATGCGCTGTTTACATCAGTGATATGAAAATGTCTTATATCAGTAATTTCCGTTAATTTCTTCTGGAGTTATGGCCCTTACGTTTCACTTTTTTGAACCTCGTGAACGCTCTACTAACGAAATGAAATGAAATGGGGTTAAAATTTACCGTCCTACTGTTCTGCAGCTCCTATACTGCACACGCCGTGTGCTACGAGGGAAATTTTGCCCGGGCAGCGGCACCATCGCCTACTCTTATATCGAATTCCAACTGCCAATTAGGGATCTTTTACGTGCATTCCAATGTATACATCCGAAGGACTAGACAGCTGTCCTTGTCAGATGTCCTGCATCACTGACAAGGGGAAACCACGCCGGAAAATCTGGATGAATTTTCTCGGCCAATGCAGGGATCGAACACCCGACCTCCAGGCTAGCGAGCCAGCGTCTTACCCACTTAGCCACGTGATCCCCCGCTCTACTAACGACAAAAGTTACCATCCGATCTGATGCATCATTTTTTTACTGAAACGTTGAATCCTGTTGAATTTCAGCAATTTTTCCAATATGATCCTTGTTTCACTTTGTTGCACCTTGAACCTTATGAACGCTCGAATAACGAAAATTATGATCTGATTTGTATAAAATTTATATGCACCATTTAAATTAATTAGTGAAACGAAGAATCCTATTGAATTTAAGCAATTGCCGTTTCTTGGCCTTTTTTTTCTCACTTTATTGCACCTTCGGAACGCTCAGGCTACCTCCCACTGCTAAAGACACGCAAGCAAATTATTGAAATAAAATTGAACCATATGTCAGTCCCGAAATGACCTTGTTTGTGTCGAGCGGACGTTAAGCCCCATTTCTCTCTCTTTCTCAAATCATCCCAGCAGAATACACTTAAATTAGCGGGAAAAGAACAAATCCCGACAGCATTTCTCAATTCTTCGGCATTCGTCGTTTGCACGTTTCGAGACCCAAAATAAGGAGCCGATGATGGTGATCAAAGAATATGATGTGTCATCAATTTAAAAAAAAAAATGATGAATGATAAAAAAAGAAACTTCATATTTTAAAGATATACGACGTTAGTCTAACCACATAAAACAACGGGAGAATAAACCCGTTTCCTTGTAATACATAATAAGAAAAGAACTTGAAAAAAATATATGTAGCCTAAAATAATAAAATCTGCATGTATAGATTAGAAACGTACCGTTATTCGTGAGCGTGTGCTAATCAAGGACATATTATATAATATATAAAAAAAAAACCCGTAGATTTATGTTTAAAAAAAGGGCAAGGTGTCGCTTGCTTTTTTATAGCTTGAATATGCGGCCACGTGTTAAAAGATCGAAATGTTGTCGTCGCCTATGTCCGTCTATCGGACCGTCCGTCCTCAATATCTCAGCGACCTTTACGAAAATTTATAGTCTAGTACGGTATGCGTAGCCAGGGGGTTGGGTTTGGGGGGTGGGGTGGCTCACGGCGACAGCCCCCACCCCCTCTCACCTCAGGCCCAGTCCTAAAAAATTAAAAGCTCGGTATATTACATATTATGGGTCGCTACATCTGACATTTGTTCACGACGTAGGCGATCGATTACATTATATATGTTATGATTTTTCCACTATTGTCGTCTTATATTATCTCTCACAAAACAGCCGCCCTTCACATAAATCCTGGCTACGTCACAGAGGTATAAAAATATCGTACCTATATCAATTTTAAATGTTTTCTCTAAATTAGTTTTCGAGTTTTAGATCCAGAATGTTTTTAAACTTGAAATTTTATAACGCATTTTACCGTACTTATACCTCGCTTTTGAGAAAAGTAGTGCCACGGTAGCTCGATCAGTGGGTAAGGCATGGACCTTAATTTTAGGTCCGTGGGTTAAGAAAATTTCTCGGAATTGTCTGATGTGTTTTCCCAAGTCAATGGTGTAGGGCAGTGCTAGGCGGTGCACCTGGCAAGGAACGTCGTCCAGTTGTTCGGGTGAAATGGAAAAAATGAGATCCCATGTAAACATTGGTATATATAGTTGGAATTCGAAATAATGTTAGCGCCGCGGTCCGGCAACGGTCCGGCAACATTTCCCTCGCCATAAACTTCATTGCGTATCCGTCTACATTATATGAACACTCACATGCGCCAATTATTGGTGAAGACAAATAATAGGTTGTTAAACTCCATTTCATTAGGGTTTCATTTCTGATGACTTTATTTTAATGTATGCTTATAACTATTATGTCCAGCTTGATATAAAACTGAAGAACCCTACGTTTGTTAAAATCTCTGAACTACATTTGAGGGATTTGGGAATCTCTTGCAAACTACAATATTTTGAAATTGAAAATTGATTTCATAAAAGGAATATTTGACTCAACATGGTTCAATTCAGTTCATTATTTATGAAGATAAAAGTGATGATAGAATGATAATGATATATGAAAGTAATATAATGAAATTCTTTATTAAGACTGTTTATTAACGGTGAATTCATGATTATATCATCCCATCAACATATTACTTGATGTACATAATATGTATTTCTGTATAGGCCTGTATGTGATTCTGTTTAAATTTACACTTACACGTGTATGCTGTACCCTTTAACAGGCGTTTTGATGAAATAAACATTTTGTCTGATCTAAAGTATAGATGATGTTGTTGTTGTTTGTTTTGTTGTGTGTGTGGGGGTGGGTGCGTGGGGGTCACTCATAAGAACATGTTTGATGAAATGAAATCAAATGGTATAACGTCCCACTGACGGTACTGTTCTGCTCCGACTGAACGTGTTTGGTGTGCTAAAAAAGGACAATGACACATGCCAGTTGAGTTGTGTTAATTCAATTGAGCTGTAAATCAATAGATACTGCGCTATAAAATTAGCGATGAAAACTAATTAATGCGTACGCTGGTCACAGTTTTGACTAATAATAGGCTACATGATTATGTTTGTTAGCAATAATCTTTCAGTTTCAAACGGTTCCAGTTCATAAGCAATTTTACGCGTTGTCATAATTTTCTTGTCGGGTTAACCGAATTGTATTATCTTAGCAGAGCATGATATTCGTAGCTATAGTAATCCAACCAATCAGATGTCAGCATCATTTCGGCCCACAAGTTTACCATGTCTATAAAAAGATGACAGATGTGCCAACTTAATGCACATATGCGAACGAATCTACTGGTTAAAACATCTATTTATATTTATAAGCGGGAGTTGAAATTAAAGAGAACATTTTACACAGAATGTGCGATAATTCTAGCAAGAATAATGCGGTTACTTCAGATTCAGAACTCGAAGCAAAACTGAGGCAGCTGACGATGTTGAAGCATTCCAGTACTAATGGTCAGGCAAGAGGCCTGTTGAACTCGACTAACGGGGAATCCAGTCAAGATCAGGGGAAATTGAAAGTAGCGGTTAACGGCAAAGAGAATGATTCTGAAGAAGAAAGGTTTGACGATATTTCCACACATTTCAAAAGTATTTTAGAAAATCTAGGCGAAGATCCAAGTCGACAAGGTCTTCTTAAAACCCCACAAAGAGCTGCCAAAGCTCTGATGTATTTTACAAAAGGATATAAAGAGAATATTGAAGGTAAGTTAAAGGAGCTAAATCGCTAATATTTGGGACCAAGAAATTGACACAAATGGGTCGCAACGCATATAACAATGTATATAAACTGATTTACATTCAATCGTTTCTGTTTTTACAATAATTTCTAATCAGTTATGTTCGACGAAATACGCCAGAAGTCTCAATCGAATGCCGATCTCTAGCGTCTGGTTATTCCAGTCTACACAGATAGTATTTATTGCGCATGCTCTCCAGATAAGAATATGACGTCACCGTTTGACATGACTTTTGGAATATGTCTAGCCTCGTTCATCGAGTCCCTTGTTACAAATGTTGCCGAAACGCATTATGGTAAACGATTCGTGTACCAATGATAAAATGTTTATTTTGTCTTAAATATTGGATATTAGAAGCCCAACTTTTTCCAGGTAAGATCACAACATCATTGTTGGTTTAAACTGATAAATAATTCGTGTTTTCTCTGTCGAAGATTTTGGATGATAATGAGTTAGAGACTAATTAAGCTACTTTAAACTGAAGTTTGGCGTTTATTTGTTCCAAGTCAACTCCGGCGGTGGCACGATAAATCTAAATTGACCCAAATTAATGTACCAAAATACATTAATATTTCAATTTGACTTTCACCAAATTTCTCAATTTGAATGTTACAAATACTTGTATGCCATGTTCGGTATTTATGGGTATTATTCAGGAAATGTGAAAGATATGACGAAAATAAGATGTAAATTGTAATAAAACACCTGTTACAGACAGCCTGTAAATAAAAAATAGGGAACAGAATGAATACATCATTAAAGTATCTGATGGTCATTTGAGGGATTTTAATCCTCTTCAAACTACAGTATTGTGAAAGTTAAATCTCTGAAAAGAATATCAGTTCAAATCAATTCTGTTCAATATTTACAAAAATTTGATTCACAGAAAATCATCTAATCAAGACAGTGGCACTTATCTATCTAAAGATTTAATCCAAGCCTGGAGATTATATCTACCATTGATATTTTAATGTTGTTCTCTTAGTTAAACATTAAATAATCATTGTGATTACATTAGCATGGGTTAAGCTGTGAAAAAAAAGATATTTTTATCTGAAAAATGAAAACAATCTGATTAAAATACAGATTTATATTTCGTTCGTTTTTTTTTTTATACTTTTGATGGCCTACACTACATGAAGATCTGACCAGTTGTAGTGGAAGTTTGCGTCAGGTGTCATATGAGCGGCTTTTCACCTTATGACGTCAGACATTGATTAATCAATCAACGTTGAAGTTTCTAGTGGTTTACCCAAAGTTCTGTGCACCTCATGCCAAAAAACTTGCCGTAACAGACTGTTTCAATGGCTAATCCCTTACATCATCCAGAGTGTGGGTTATATAACAACTCTTCAAGATCCTAGTGTTGTAAAAAAACAAATAAAACAAAATTTCGATCTAACTACATTCAATATATTAGAAGTTAAACATACATTACGCAAGAGCTAAATCTGCCTATTGCAGGTCTTTCTTTAGGCCTGAAATGCTGTCTAAATTATTAATTAGACATTAGTTAACTTATCCAGACCATAATAAACTCTCGATGTCATCGCTGTCCTGCGATATTTACTGGATTAGGATCCGATTAAATCATGAAATGTATAATCGAGACTAAGATTTTTATCATACCGACTTTAGTAATGATGATTGGTTCAGAGTGGATCAATTTGACTGAAATTTTCATCAAATTCGCTTTACATTATCTAGTTTTTAACTATTATAGTGAGAACTGCCAGCTCTTTATCTAATCTCTCATATTGTATCTTTAAACAACAAACACACATACATGTACTTTTGAAAAACAACTACTAGTGTACTGTTTTCCATAAGTACATTATGTGTTTTTGTTGTTGCTCTATCCAATTACTAAATGCCAGTTTAAAGATTTCATTAGAAGTTCTTTAATGTTGAATAATACACACATGTAGTTTTGATATTATCAAGAGCAGGATGCAACATTCCTTGTGTGAAAAACTGGATAAAAAAATTACAATTGAGAATATAAATGAATTTTAAAAAAATGAAATAAGTGTGATAACTAAGATGCTAATGCACTGTACTTCATGAGAAACAGATTCTGGTCTGCTTTACTACATATTATGCCAAATTCCCCCCCCCCCCATCACCCTCTTCAAAGGAAATAATAGTTATGATTCATTTACTTATTGAAAATGGATTTTATAATATAATATGATAGTTTAGTGTACAGGTGTGGTAGGACAGGATAGTAAACAGGATATGATTACAACTTGCTTATTAGGGAAACTTGTTATATGTAAGGAGCTTCTCATCAGTTTACATGTTCTTGTCAAATTTTATTTATTTCCGATACCTAATTTACAACATGTATGGGTTGTGTCCTTCAACAAAATGACTGCTGTGTTGCCTGACAACCCATCTTTCACTAATCTGCAAAAATGTAGTGTTCAAGGAAATATCGAAAGTGTAAAACAAGCTGTTCAATGGTCACAGAAAAATTGGTAAACTGCACCTTGATTTTATCATTACCGGGCATATGTTTATGGTTATTAGTAAATATTCATTCAAAAAGTGTTGTTTACAGATGGCTGGCTGTTTGCACCCCCCACCTCTGCCCCTCTCTCTCTCTGTACTGTACTGTACTGTACTGTACTGTACCGACATAGGAAAGAAAAAAAGGGTGAACCTAGTTACAATTGTTAAACCTATTATTTTGCAATACACAGAAACACATTTCTATATTTTAATATCTGTATGCTAAAAGGAAATATTTCAGTGTAGTTAGGATTTTGTTCAATTTGATTAGTAAACGTTTTATGTTTTGGTAGCCAAGGGTGCACTTAAGCAAAGAAGTGAGCACTTTAGAGTTTTACTATACTGCGGTGAGTAGGGGTGATGATTTTCCGTTTCAGAAAATAGCAAATTCCGTTTTAAGTATTTTTAATTCCGTTATTTTCCGTTTCAGAGCTGACCATATTCCGTTTTTTCGAGATAAAATGTTATTTTATGAATAAATGAATAAAACATCTTAAAATGCCTTTTATTACAAAACGGATCATTTTAAACCAATGATAACAAATGTTGAATTGTGAATGACTTGTAATGTTCAATGACTAGTTATTCTTTAAACCTGTTTCCCGAATTAAATAACAGAAAATTACATCTTGTGAGCTCGTTTCATCTTTTTAGCAGACGAAGTCATGTTTCTCAGCTGCTAGGTGTAGTCGCGATTTATCCAGACATCTTCATAGTTAATGTTTCTTCGAGAATAAGGGCTGGATTCACAAGGCTACGGTATATTTCTGATGTCACGTGGTTAATGCGGATAAACACGAGTCACGAGCCCGGCAGTAAAATAAGAAGTAAATGAAACGATTTTTACTTTTATGAAGTGACAGAAGTTTTTTTAAAGACATATATATACATTACAATGTTTAATTCAAGTTAAACTACAGAGTAATTTTATAATGGGATACATGAAAGACGGGTTTTCGTTTCGATTAAAATTATGATTCCTAAATGATGAAATGAAAGTAGCGAAATACTAAAATAGACAGTAACAAAACCACGCGATATCATTCAATATTTCCGATTTTTATGAATAAAAAGATAAAATACTTGGATAACTGCAAAATTATTTTGAGTTTGTGTTTAGTATCAGCAAATATCGGCTTTTCCGTCTTTTTCCGTGTGAGATTTCAAATTCCGTTTTGAGTGGACAATTCCGCGATTTCCGCGTTTTTTCCGCGATCACGGAAAATCATCACCCCTAGGTGAGATAAATGAGTTTAAAATGATAGGAGCTGCAGTGACAGTACCTCTTTAGTTTATTGATAGCCTTCGAGGATAGCCTTCTAAATGATAAAAACATACAAATATATTCTATTAGTATATCATTGTTTCAGATGGTCAATTTTTGCAGCACTGATAGCTAAAATATCTAAATCTGACTTCTATTATCAGGATATAGAGTGATCGAAATAGCACAATGTAACATTGCCTGTTTGGCTGGACTGGACTGGACTTGACTAATTACTATTACCGGTACTGTTTCTTTTCGTTTAATTTTCGTTTTGTATGGAAGATTCAGCCTGAAGATCTGATTTCTGCTCCTGTGGTCCAGTCTATGAAAAAAAAGGCATAAACGGACGGATCAATTTATGACAATATCATTAGATATATAATATTTCCATAGACTGGAGGCCATTCTAGCGTGTGGCGTACATTGTATGACCAATGTCTAGGTCATATGTTATTTTATTATTTTTATACGCCCACATTGAAATGTCGTCGCCCCTGTCCGTCCGTCCGGCGGTCCGGCGTCCACAATTGCTTGTGGATGCTCTAGAGGTTAAAGTTAATATCCGATTGACTTTAAATGTATACACAGTGTTTAAGGTCATGAGATGAAGAAGCCTATTGATTTTCAGCGATTTCCGATACTTACTGCCAGAGTTATGGCCTTTGATCACTTCAAAAAATCTTGTGGACACTCTAGAGGTCAAAGTTATTATCTGATTGACTTTAAATTTATACACAGTATTTAATGTCATGAGACGAAGAATCCTATTGATTTTCAGCGATTTCCAATAATTACTGCCAGAGTTATGGCCCTTGATCACTTCAAAAAATCTTGTGGACGCTCTAGAGGTCAAAGTTAATATCCGATTAACTTTAAATTTATACACAGTGTTTAAGGTCATGAGACAAAGAAGCCTATTGATTTTCAACAATTTTTTATAATTACTGGCCCTTGATCACTTCGAAAAACCTTGTGACGTTCTAGAGGCTAAAGTTATCATTTGATTGACTTCAGATTGATAATTACTTAATGAGTTGTTACTCTTAATCAGATTTTAGTGTATTATAAATGTTTCATTACCAAAAAAAGTAAAAATATGCGACAACACTTGTTGACTGCCCGTACGATTTAGCTGCTGTGGGGGTATGTTTCGTTGCCTGGCAACCTATCTTTTAATTCTGTTTTAAATTTCAAATCTATATTTTAATATTCATGAATGCTTGGTTAGTCATTAAAGGCAGACATCAATAAACCTGTCAATAAAATTATGACAGACTGGCAACTAAAGTGGTTGATCTGTTAAGTTACTTCTAACTATTGTTTTAAAATGCCTAAGTCTTAATCCTTCAATAATTATATGTTGATGTCAACACTTTCTAAGTAACTAATTTTTATAAATAGACAAATGTATAAGATGATTCAGTTAGTTGGAGAGACAAGCTTAGGGAACCTATATACTAGTTTGAGATCCGATACACAGGAAATTATAAGTTGTAAAATTGTTGCTGTTAATTATTTGCTCCTGAAATAAAGTGTTGAAGATCCATTCCAAGAATCTGTATTCATTTCTGATACTTAGAGAACACACGTCGACGATCTGCATTCCCTGAAAGTCAAATGGTGTTACATTGTATCATAAATAATCATTTAACTCGGGTAACAGTATTTTGACACATGAGATTTATTGATGAATATTTTTTCTATGTTTAAATGGTGATTATTATAAGTTCTAGATTTACAAATTTTCCTTACCTAACAATAGCATTGTTGAAATAAATGTTATTAATTAAGTTGACCTGTATGCTTTGGGTATGATATCAAATTTAATAAAAAAAAATTGTGCATGTGTGTTTCAGGTTTTCTTTCAGTTCATAGTTGAAATGTCTCTTTGAGTGCCATTTTCATTTCAAGTTCCACACATTAAACATGCATTATGCAAGAACAAAATCTGCTTATTACAAGTCTTTCTTTAGGCCTGAAATGTTATCTAAATTATCAATTAGACATTAATTAACTTATCCAGACCATAATAAACTCTCGATGTTAAGGCTAGCCTTCGATGTTGACTGGATTAGATTCCTATATGCCGCTAACGGTCATTGGTAATTAAATAAAAAAAAGTGGATAATCGAGACTATGCTGTTTATATTAATAATTTAAGTAATAATGACCGAGACTATGCAAAAATTTCACCCGCTACTTTCTCAGCTCATAGTGGACCAATTTGACTGAAATTTTCAGCAAATTACCTTTACACTATCTAGTTTTTAACTATTATAGCGAGAACTGCCATCTCTTTATCTTATCTTCCATAATGTATCTTTAATAGAGATAGTTCAACAATACAGATTGACAATAACCGAATGTTTAGTTATAGTTTCTAAAAAGACATACATTCATGTATTCAGGACTTTAATAGGTTATTTTTATTTTGCGCCCACATTGAACTGTGGGCGTATATTGTCGTCGCCCCTGTCTGTTCGTTCGTCCATTCGGCGTCCACATGCTCTAGAAGCTAAAGTAAATATCCGATTATACACAGTGATTAAGGTCATGAGACGAAGAACCCTATTGTTTTTCACCGATTTCCAATAATTTCTGCCAGGGTTATGGCCCGTAATCACTTTGAAAAATCTTGTGAATGATCTCAAGGTTAAAGTTAATATCCGATTGACTTTAAATTTATAAACATTGTTTAAGGTCATGAGATGAAGAAGCCTCTTGATTTTCACCGATTTCTGATAATTACTGCCAGAGTTATGCCCTTGATCACTTTGATATCTGATTGACTTTAAATTTATACTCATTGTTAACGTCATGAGACAAAGAAGCCTATTGATTTTCAACTATATCCAATAATTACTGTCAGAGTTATAGTTTTAATTTATACACAGTGTTTAAGGTCATGAGATGAAGAAGCCTGTCAGTTTTCAATGATTTCCAATGATTTTGGAAATTGATATTAAATGTTTTGTGTGCCAAATGTAAGAATAGGGCAGAACTAGAAGCCAAATGGGTTGTTACATGTAATCAGATTTTAATGTGTTGTAAATGTTTTTATTTCTGACCAAAAACAATATGCGATAACTCTTGTTGACACCCCGGACGGCGTATATTTCGTTGCCTGGCAACCTATCTTACTTCTTAAATTACTGTCCTGGATATGACCTCCCACTACAACTGGTCAGATCTTCATGTAGTAGAGGCCAACGAAAGTATAAAACACGAAACGAAATCTAGATCTGTATTATAATCAAATTGCCAATCAACAATATCAACATTGTATAAAATATTACACATTTTGTATTTCTAAATATCACACTAAAAAACTATGTATGGAATAACAATTACTGGTTTCTTAACATCCAAGGTTTTCAAGATGGTACTCTAGTGATTGTCAAGCAAATATGTACAGAGAAGTTTTTTTATCTATAAAAAATGTAATTAAAAATACCCCCCAAAAAATGGACTTCTTTTTAATTATGCTAGTAAAAGATTACTGGCTTTCTAGAAAATCAGCAATTTTAGAATCCTGTATATATTACTACTGTGTGTGTATATAGTTCCTTATACTTTAGTCCCACGCATAGAACAAACAAACATGGTCTAAATATCAGTCAATTTACTGGTTAAACAAGGATGCCAATCTTTGTAAACAGTGAATTAATTGGTATGCGGCCCATTTCATGACTATGGTAATTGAGGAATAATTTGTAATTCTTATTTCAAGATGGTAGCATAGATTGTCTGTAATAAGCCGAGACTTTAAATCAACCCATGGTATTTGTTTCCTATTCATGAATTCCTTTAATATTAGATTTCTTCAATCACAGTCTGTGTGGGTTCTGCTTTGATTTTTTTCTTTTCCTTCTCCATTTAACATCAACTTATACAATGTAAGCTTACTTCATGTACATTGTGCTGATGTCAAATAAAAACTGCTCATTTAAGGCATGAAACCTAGTGAGGTAATTCTGTAAAACAAGGAATTAATGCCACATGAAGAAGACAGACATGGGTTGACATTAATACCAACTGTTGTAGCACAGTCCTTTTTATACGTCCACATTTACAATGTGAACGTATATTGTGGTCGCAATCTGTGTGTATGGGTGTGTGTCATCTACAGGCTGCAATTCTTAACTGATCGTCTTGAAACTTTACATACTTATTCCTTATACCCTAAGGATGATCCTAATGTTTTTGGTGCATGCCCGACCCCCAGGAGCAGAGCCACACCCATTTTCGTATTTATTTGTTTGTCGTCTACAAGCCGCATTTCTTAACGGATCCACGGAAACTATTCATACTTATTCCTTATATCCTAAGGATCATCACTATTGTTTTTGGTGCATGCCCATCCTCCAGGGACAGCCACACCCATTTTCTTTGAGTGTGTCGCCTATAGGCAACAATTCTTAATGGATCGTCTTAAAAACTCACATACTTTTTCCTGCAGGGGCGAAGCCCCGCCCACATTTTGTGTTTTTTGTCTACAGACTTGAATTATAAATGGATCATCTTGGAACTTGGCATATTTATTCCTTATACCGTAATGATAGCAACTATTTATTTTGGTACATGTCCCAACCCCCAGACCCACGTTTTTGTTAATTTTTTGTCTGTAAATACTCTACAGGTTGCAATTATTAACAGATTTTGTTCAAATTCAGCATATCAATCATTTCAACAACAGAGTGGTACCTATTTATATTGTTCCATATCCACCCCCCAGAGGCAGAATCACGCCCAATTTTTGTGTTTATCGTGTTTATCATCTCAATATTTATTCCTTGTACCGTAAAGACCGCAACTATTTTTTTTTGTGTATCCTCCACCCCTAGGGCGGTGTCACACCCACTTTTTTTGTTAATATTTAGTCTATAAATTTGGCAAAACAAACCCAACGCCTAACCTTCTTTGCCTCTTGTCATATTACAGTCATTGCAGCCATTTCATATTTCATTCTCTTCATTTTAAAAAGTACCATACCAATCAAAGCAGGAATGTGGACATAAATTGCCTTGTTAGTGATGCTCTTGTTAAAATGTCACTCAACTCAACACAAATGAGATCTTTGTGGGTCTAACACATAGTACAATTTTATTTCAATAATTTGCTTCCAATTAGGGGTCTTTAGCAGGGGAAGGAAAGCCAGGAAACTGGAGGAACCCAGAGAAAACCCACGAGGTTAGGCAGTCAAACAAATTTAGTAGCAAAACTGTGCCACTTGATTCAATGTTTTAATGATGATACCTTGAATCTGATTTAATAACAACATAACGTTTATGTTAATTAACTTTCAGATGTTTTAAATGATGCTATATTTGACGAAGATCACGATGAAATGGTTATTGTTAAAGATATAGAAATGTTTTCTTTATGTGAACATCATTTAGTGCCTTTTATGGGAAAAGTAAGTAAAATGAATTGAATAGTAGCCTACAAACAGACCCAGATCTGGAAAGTTAAAGTTGATATTGCTCAATCTGCAAATAAGTTTCCTAGTCCTGACAGAGAAAATATTTTCACATTTTAAAGGAGTTAGTAGGACATGCATGAGTAATAGCTCGACAGTGTTATACATGTACATACATATCTATGTGATCAACAGTCCAATCTGATTAAAATACAGGTCTATATTTCGTTTCCTTTTTTTTATACTTTCAATGACCTACACTACATGAAGATCTGACCAGTTGTAGAGGGAGGTTATGTCAGGGGTCGTATGAGTGGCTTTTGACCCTATGACGTCAGACATTGATTAATCAGCATTGACGTTTCTTGTGGTTTACTCACTGTTCCGTGCATCGTGTGCCAAGTAGTTGCCGTAACAGATGGTTTCATTGGCTAATTCCTCACGCCATCCAGAAAGCATGTTATATAACAACTCTTCCCAGGTCCTAGTGTAGTCCTTACAAATAAAATGAAATTTTGAACTATAAAAAACAAAACGAAATAGGATCCGTGTTTTAAGCAGATTGTCAACAGTCATGACAGTAAACTAGAATCAGCAGCTGCTACATGTATGTACTATTTAAAAACATATTATAGAGATCAAGTTTTATTATTTATTGGATGAGAATAAGGAAGTTCCAGAGTTAATGACCCTAACAGATAGGATTGTGGATAAATGTACATTAACATTATTATACTTGGTTGAAAGATATTACCCTATTATAATCAACAGAGTTGACTTTTTGACTTTTTACTCAATTTGGATCTTGATCTTTCTCAAAATATCGTAACGATAAATGGAGAAAAAGAATCATAAGATGATGAATCTTATTACAGCACATATGACAAAGCTGCTTGTGGGCATATGTAGCCTTGCCTGGCAAGCTATGTTTTATTTTACACAAATTGGAAACACTATAACTTTTTTGAACGGCAGGGTTTCATATGAACTGTATTTCAGTACTTCAAATAATTTTATTCAAAAACATTTTCTGTTTTTTTTTTCTTTTTAGGTTTCCATAGGATATTTACCAAATAAGAAAATTCTGGGTCTAAGTAAATTAGCAAGGTATGTATCTCTATACATTTAATTATATATTTTACGTAAGATCAGTAAATATTTGTTTTAATAAATCTTTTATAATGTAACAGTTGTTGGATATGATGATTTAGATTTGATAATGATATAGGATAGTGGATAAAATATATGTAGTAAAAAGATATAATTAGTGTAGCAATATTAACATGGGATAGTGATGGAGGTGTAGTGGGTGAGGCATTTGTATAATATTGATATTTCTGGAGGATGATTTTGGTAGGATAGGATAGTGGGTAAACATAGATGATTTTTATGAAACAGTCCTTTACAATATTGTGAATAGAACTTTGATGTTCAGCAGCATATTTAGAGAAGGGCCATTGGGTCACGTCCTTTCTTTTGAGTGGTTAATCTTATTGAAAACGGTTAATGTGGTTTTAAGTGTGTTTAATTCCAAATAATTTGTTTTTGGGGGGCTGTACCCCACAACTCCCCCACCTTCAATATCAATGTAGGTAATTAAATCATTTTGTGCCTCCCTTTCAGTTACTGTTTATGCCACTGTTGTCAATACATCAATTATATTTCTGTTATATGTTTATCTATAAATAAGATATAATTTTTGTTAAATGTATCTTAATGTAAAATAGTTCGCAGTGATGTCATCAGCATTGGTGTACACAACATGTTTTTGTCTAGAAATGGAACTAAAATAGACTTGAAAATAATATTGTCTGGTAGACTAAAAGAGGGTAGAAAGACAGCCATTAAAAGCTTTAAAAGCAACTTGTCACATTAACCAATCGAATGTCTATTATACGTCTACAGAATTTTAAGTCATTTCTACGAACTAAATATAGTCAGCCTTGGTCATTACACGAACTTTCAATTTCCTGATTTTGGTGACTCTTTGAAGTGAGTACAATTGTGGAAGTGAAAATCAATAAAGCGTTATTAGTGATCAATAAATTATTGCATAGATTTATAACTGCCCCCAATCTGCCATTCTGGTACCACTTATAATTTGTCACAGTTGGCTTTGAAAGAGAAAATCTTTAACTTATGTAATGTTTATTGAGAAATGTCAAGGGTATCAATTAACTTTAACTTTATTGATTGCTTTTGATTTTTGTACTGTCAAGTCATGGGCTTCTCAGGATGTTCAAATATTACATGAATTATTGATTTTGTCACTTCATAACATATCTAAACATCTGCATTGAAATATTAGTACGTTCAGAGTAATAGTATAATAATTATAAGTTATTTATCTTTTAACAATTGACTCAAAAAGAATGATTAAACATGCATTATGCAAGAGCAAAATCTGCTTATTACAAGTCTTTCTTTAGGCCTGAAATGTTATCTAAATTATCAATTAGACATTAATTAACTTATCCAGACCATAATAAACTCTCGATGTCAAGGCTAGCCTTCGATGTTGGCTGGATTTGATTCCTATATGCCGCTAACGGCCGTTGATAATTAAATCAGAAAAAGTGGATAATCGAGACTATGCTGTTTATATTAATGATTTTAGTAATGATGACCGAGACTATGCAAAAATTTCACCCACTTCTTTCTCGGCTCATAGTGGATCAATTTGACTGAAATTTTCAGCAAATTACCTTTTCACTATCTAGTTTTTAACTATTATAACGAGAACTGGCATCTCTTTATCTTATCTCCCATAATGTATCTTTAAGGAAGGTCAACTATCTATGACCTATGCTCTTTAAATGAGAGTTATTGTTCTTGAAATAAAATTCCTGTCCCCTTAAAAATTTTCTATACAGATTTCCTGGAAAAAAGTCATGTTTTGCTATTCTATATGAAGCTATTTTTGGCATTGTTGAAATAAAAGTAATTTTAAAGGTCATGCTTCTAGAACCTATTATTATATGGAACTTCTACACTGAAGTACCAAATTCAATGAGCAGACTGAATTTAAGAACACAAAAGAAGTTTATATTTGGAAACATAAGATTTAATATGTACAATATTAACCAAGAATAATGAGCTGCTTACAAGAAAAATTACTTAATAAATTAATTGAGGAGTGATCTCCTTTGAAAACTGAACACAAAGATAATGTTTAAAAGATGTACTGTCTACATGTAATATATACTTAAGAGATTTCAAACAATGCTGTTTTTGTAGAAATTTTATACATAATTTTTCTACAGCAAATCTATATTACAAAACATTAAGACTAAGAAACAATAAAAAAAAAAAAAATTGAAAAAAAAATGTTTCGAAGAAAGCAGGGGACTATTAAAATGGGTTTGTCCGCCTGTCTGCCTGTCTGTCCGTCACACTTTTTTTGGGACACAATAATTCTCCTTCTAACTGAGCTAGAATGTTCAAACTTGGTGTAGGTGTTTATTATGTCAGTGCCTTGATTGAGTTGAAAGAGCATTTTTTGCTTAGGGTAAGCAGAGATATTCAATTTGATTGGTTGATGCTTTGGGGCACGATAACTTTAGTTCTAATTAAGTGAGAGTGATGAAATTTGGTGTATAGTTTCATTACATCAATTCCTTGACTAAGTTTGATAATGAGCATTTTCTGCTCAGGGTAAGCAGAGCGATAAGCAATTTGATTGATCGAAAATTTGGAACACAATAACTCTCTTTCAAATTGAGGTAAAATGTTCAAACTTGGTTTAGGTGTTGATTGGGTGAATGCCTTGATGGAGTTAAACGATGAGCATTTTCTGCTTAGGGTAAGCAGAGATAAGCAATTTGATTGGTTCATGCTTTGGGACACGATAACTTTGGTTCTAATTAAGTGAGAGTGCTGAAACTTGGTGTATAGTTTCATCAAATCAATACCTTGACTTACAGTAAGTTTGATTATGAGAGCATTTTCGGCTCAGGGTAAGCAAAGCGATAAGCAATTTGATTGGTAAGACTTTGGAGCTCGACAACTTTGATTCTATAATTGAGTGATAGTTTCGTGTATAGGTTTATTACATCAATACCTTAACAAAGTGTGATGCTGAGCATTTTCTGCTTAGGCAATTAAAGTAGAGACTTCAATCTGAAAGTTTGATGCTGAGCATTTTCTGCTTTGGCAAAGTAGAGACTTCAATCTGATTGGTCAAGACTTTAGAACACATTAACTCTCCTTCTAATTGAGGTAGAATGTTCAAAATTGGTGTAGGTGTCTATTATGTGAATGCCTTGACATAACTTGGGTTCTAATTGGGTGAGGGCGATGAAACTCTGAATATAGATGCATTATATCAATACATTGACTAAATTCGATGATGAGAATTTTCTGCTTAGGCTAAGTAGCGATAAGCAATTTGATTGGTCAAGACTTTGGAACATAACAGTTCTGCTTTTAATTGAGGTATAGATATTCATAAGGCAAATGTCTTGACTGAGTTCAATGATTAATATTTCCCATTAAAGCTAAGCAGAGCTAAGGAATTTCTTTGGTCAATGCTTTGGAACAAGATAACTTTGATTCTAATTGATGGAGAGTGATGGAACTTAGTGTATAGTTTCATTCACTACCAGGTACTTCAAAACCTGAGTTTGATCGTGAATATTTTATGATTAGACTTAGTATAGATAGATAATCAATTTGATTACTGGATACTTTTTAAAAAGATAAATGTGCAATTAATTAATATGTGTCATCTGGGTTTTTTTTTTGACTTCGGCGGGAGACATTAGCCTCACTGTTGGCTTGTTTGATCTGTTAATAAATTAAATTTTAACTAAAGATTAACTAGTTATGAGCCTATATTGAAATTTTTTCGTATATTGTTGTCACCCACCGTCCATTGTCCACAAATGTTTGTGGGTGATCTAGAGGCTAAAGGAAGGTATCGTCTGATTGACTTAAAATGTAACAACAGTGTTTGTGTTCATGAGAACAATTTCTGATAATTAATGTTGCAGCTATCACCCTTGATCAATTTAAAAAATCTTGTGAACGCTCTAGAGGCCTAGCTTATCATCCAACAGGCATGAAATTTATGTAGTGTTTTGGTTCATGGTGACGAAATGAAATGAAATGAAGAAATGGGGTTTAACGTCCTACTGTTCTGCTTTCATTGTCTAATCCAGTTGACGTGAAATTTACAGCTAAAGTTATCATCTGATAACCAATTCATGTTTTGTATAATTAATGTTAGCACTACGAAGAACTAGAAACCAATCATGGGCTATTTCTCTTGCACTCTCTTGTAAATGCTCAAATTAACTACAAAAGAATAAATATGCAACAGCACTTGTAAACTGCTAGTGCTACTGCTAGGATGACTTAGGTACTGTGGACATATAAATGTATGTTTCATTGCCTGACAACTTATTGTTTTTATATCTTTATAGGTTACAGCATATGTTAAAGATACATTATGTAAGATTTAGATAAAGAGCTGACCATATGTTCTTGCTATAATACATGTACATGTAGCTCAAAAATAGATAATTTCATTCAAATTACTTCATTCTGAGCCAAGTTATCACTATTTGTATTTTTGACAAGATGTGTGTGCATACATGTAGTTGTAACCAGGGCACTGGCATATTCGAGACTTAGCCTCGCTTTCCTATTTTTAAATTAAATTTTTAAATGGCGAATCGTTCTAATCTAGTTAAAATTTTGAGTATCTGATGCCATCAAGAGCTGATTATGGTCTTGTTTTGTTAATGTCTAATTGATAGTTTATATAACATTTCAGGCCTAAAGAAAGAACTGCAATAGGCAGATTTAGCTCTTGCATAATGTATGTTTAAGATAAAGGTTTCTTATTTATGTATTTATTTATGGATATCTGTAGATAATGTCACATTAAACAAACTCATCTAATAAATTGATGTCTTTTAGATTAGGAAGAACCATATTGGTTAATTTGATAGGAATATCTGTGTATTATCCTCTTCATAAAAAATTCATGTGTCAATGTCATTAATATGTCTGGTACTGTACATGTAAGTCAATCAGACTTAGTGAAGAGTAAATTGTCATTTCTAGTAATTAATGTGTTCTTCAATTAGATTTGGCCACAGACGGTACAAGTAAACAAAGAGGAAAAGTAGTTATGTGACTGCATTAATTTTGATACATGAAAAACTGGATAATCTCAAATTAAGAGGCCTATAAATATATTTTAGAGATATTTAGGCCCGATCATATACATCATCTGTTTATTTAGTTTAATTAAATTACTGTAGGAAAACAAGTGAAAAAAACCTACTGTGTAGAAATTTGCTCTGTTGGCAACAGTTTTCTTCATATCCATTTCATATTAATACACATTGTCTAGATAATACAATATATTATTACAGTTAGTTCTGATTATTATGGGATGAGGAGGGGCATATTATCTATATAAAGACTAAAACACAGAGCTCCCACATCAGGCTTACTCACATTAACAAATCATTCACAAGAAGCATACAACTGAAGTGCTTTGTAGTGCTATTGATTATTAAGTCATTGACTGCCTGCAATGTTCTCTTTTGTCTACTATCCTGGCATTTGAATAAATGGGTAATAACCTATGTATTTAATTATATGTCAAATGTCAATGAAGTTTGTATACTATAGACTTCACAAGTTGGCTTTATTTAGAAATATATATTATCTTTTCAGGATAGTGGAAATTTTTAGTAGAAGATTACAAGGTAAAAAAAAATACATAAATTTTTTTTTACAAATTATCTCACAATTATGGTCAAAGTTTAGATATATAATCAAATAATTAAAATTTGGAATATGAATGTGTCTTGTCACTGAGTACTGTGTGGTTTTATACACCCACATTTAGTGTGGATGTATATTGTTGTCACCTCAGTCTGCCGCTCCAGCGTCCAACTACAATTTATTATGTACACTCTACAGGTCAGAGTTCTTTTACAGATATTTTTATACGCCCACATTTTCATGTTCATCTTGACGCCCATCCTTCCGTTTACATTTTGTTTTTGGATACTTTATAGGTCACAAATTTTATTTGATTTTGAGGCAACTTGAAATATAGGTTTATATCCCAAAGATCTCGATTTGGCATGTGTCAGACCATAGCTTCATGGATTATGGCCTCTGTTTCTATGAAAAATCCTGTTTTTAGCCTGTGGTCACTCTAAAGGTCACAATTTTTATCCGATTTTGATGAAGCTGAAAATGTGTGTTTATAAACCACATATCTCGGTTCCGTTTGATATTGGTGCATATAGGATTGTAACTTCCTGAATTAAGGCCCCTGATTGTACGAAAAATTACGTTTTTAGCTTAGGGACACCCTAGAAGTCACAATTTCATTTTAAAAACTGTTCAAATATATCACTGTTACACCATAATGAGGGTTGAGTTCGAATTTCGTGAAAATCAGACCAAAGGTCCCAAACAAAATGGCTGCTCCCTGTACGCAAATAGTGTAAAAGTATGTAATACCAAGATTGTAGACCAGTGATGGGATTTCGCCCGTATATTCCGGACATGTCCGATGCTGCTTTCAAAATGTCCTAAATTATCCAACCAGGAATATGCCCAATTGAACATCAAGGTATGGTGAATAATATTCAAAATTCCAAAATTAATATAGTGTACTGAGTGTATATCTACCACTCAACCTGATTATAGTTGACAATAGAATGGATTGATTAGGTAATTAAGTCATCAACGTATTTATCGTGTTATGCCGTCTATACACCTACCTTGATTAACTAGTTAATCTGCCTTGATTGGCTGACTTAATCCTTTATCGGACAATTCATCAATCCAATCCTGACAGAAGTCATTGCTTCCCCTTTTGTCAGACTATATATCAATCCAATGAGAGTGATTATAAACTTAATCTATGTGATTGACCTGTGATTTCTCTATTGTCGTATGATTTGATCTCCTTGATATCAGCCGACAACACATTAATATTAGTAATATATGTCACATATCCTAATAGCATATAACACCCCAAATCAATATACATTGTATCCGATAACTTGTCTGCGATATCACTTCGGTGGAAGTGACCGTTAAATAAAGCTATTTCACACACACACACATACCTGAAAAATACTAGACAATGCAAGCTCTGTTTCTGATGACACACGGTTATAGTACAATAACTGAAGTAGAATTCTCGTGAGACGTGTGAAATTATGAAATGAATATGTGACAAATTTCACACGTCTAATGTCGGAGAAAATGAAATGAAATGGGGTTTAACGTCCTACTGTTCTGCTCTGAAATGGACTAATGATGATGGGTATACACCATACAGTGTACTATGAGGGAAATTTTGCCCGGATAGCGGCACTACAGCCTACTCTTATATCGAATTTCAACTGCACGCCAATGTTTACACGGGACCTTGGTTTTTCGTCCCATCCAAACGACTAGACAGCTGTCCTTGTCAGGCCTTCCGTCCTGCATCACTGACAAGGGGAAACCACGGCGGAAAATCTAGATGAACTTTCTCGGCAATTCCAGGGATCGAACACCTGACCTCCAGGCTAAATAAAGAAATAAGTACGTTAGGAAATGTTGAAAAATGTGATTGTTTAGCAGATGGTGTCACTTGGTCGTTGTGGTAGAGCGACGTTTTCGGATGTCATTTTTTAAAATTCTGTATATAAATTGAAACGGAGTACAAGATGAATGCCGAACTTCTTCTGAAAAATGTATTGAGTTATGACCTGAAAAATACAGTAATTTTAGAGGAATTTGAAACCGGTACAGGTTGGCAGTAGTCGGCACGCTACATTCTTTCGTATTACGACATCACATAATTTTGTAGGAATATTACTGACATAAATTTGAATGCCATACGGGAATTAAATATGAAAAATAACGAGGTGCATCTATTTGAATATTTTGTTGACACATGATTTTTGTGTGTGGTCTAAAAACTGCCTGCTTAAATAACGATAACAGTTATGTCCGTTTATTTTTATACGCCCACATTGAAATGTGGTCGTATATTGTCGTCGCCCCCGTCCGTCCATCGGTCCGGCGTCCACAATTGCTTGTGGACGCTCTAGAGGCTAAAGTTAATATCCGATTGACTTTAAATTTATATACAGTGTTTAAGGCCATGAGACGAAGAAGCCTATTGATTTTCAGCGATTTCCGATAATTACTGCCAGAGTTATGGCCCTTGATCACTTCAAAAAATTTTGTGGAAGCTCTAGAGGCTAAAGTTAATATCTGATTGACTTTAAATTTATACACAGTGTTTGAGGTCACGAGGCGAAGGATCCTATTGATTTTCAAAGATTTCTGATAATTACTGCCAAAGTTATGGCCCTTGATCCCTTTGAAAAATCTTGTGGACGCTCTAGAGGCCAAAGTTAATATCCGATTGACTGCAGATTGATACACAGAGTTTAAGATCTTGAGAGGAACAAGTATATTGATTTTCAATGAATTTTTATGACTTGGAACAGCTAAATTCATGATACAGTATTAAAAGTTTTGTATACAAAACGTTAGCATGGGGCAGAACTTTATAAAAACCAAACAAATTCTAATGGTTTTCTGAGTTGTTGCTCTTAATCAGATTTAAGTGTATTATAAATGTTTCATTACCGAAAAAAGTAAAAATATGCGACAACTCTTGTTGACTGCCCGGACGATTTAGCTGCTGTGGGCGTATGTTTCGTTGCCTGGCAACCTATCTTTGGTAAAAATGTCTGACAAGAAAAAATTTTGACATCCCATCACTGTTGTAGACCCTCTAGGGGTCACAATTAGCGCATATCAGATTTTAACTTCCTGGATTATGGGACCCTGATTGTATGAAAAATCGCATTTTTAGCTAGAGGTCACAATTTTTATCAGATTTTGATGAAACTTTAAACATCTGTTTACAATGTATATCCCAATGATCTCGGTTCCCTTCGTTATTGGCACATATCAGACTGTAACTTCCTGGATTATGACTCCTGATTATACGAAAAATCACCGTTACATCATAATTATGGTTGGTTGTGACTTTCATGAAAATCGGATGGAAACCGTCTGACAAAATGACTGCTCCCTTTATGCAAATAGTATAATAAGCATGTAATATCTAATTTTGATGAAACTTATGTGTTTACATCTCAAAAATCTCAGTTCCTTTCGAAATTGACACATGCCGGATTGTAACATCCTGGATTATGGCCCCAGATTGTACGAAAAATGGCTTTTTTTTTTAGCTTATTCTCTGTCCATCTCTAGCAAAATGAGGGCGTATGTTTATGGCAACTGTTCAAAATTCATAATTCATTGATCGTGGAGTTATCTTTCAGTTTATGTTCAAGCTTGTGAACATGGTACAGGAAAGAGGGCTTAATACAGGGCTTAACAAAATGTTCCATGAAGTTATTACTGAGCTGATAGTTCAAGTATATACGTGTGATAAAATTATATTATAATGTATGTTTGTTACAGTACAAGAAAGATTAACTAAACAGATAGCTGTTGCTATAACAGAAGCTATATCTCCTGCTGGTGTTGGGGTAGTCATCGAAGCAACGTAAGTTATAAGTTTAAATAAAAATTTTGGATTTGAAATGCAGAATGTTGTATTGGTTCTTTCTGGAGAACTTGTGTTTACATGACGTGTTAAAATCAAGGACAGTGTTGTCCTCCATTTATCCATATGTCTGATGTTCATTGTCACACTCTCTTTTCTTTGACTGCCATGTTTATGTTACTGTACATGTCCAGATATAGATCCAAAAATATTTGAAAAGGGCCTCCCCATGATCGTCAAAAAAACTCACTAGAGAAGGGCTATTTGCCTATATACAGTAATTGTGATTGACTGCCATGTTTCTCTATAATTCCAAGGTATCCTCACCACCCATTGAATTGGGTCTGTTCTGCTCCGATTGGGCTAATGAGACTTTGTAATTGTAATTGAGTGATAGTGGTGAAACTTTGTGTATAGTTCGATGCTGAGCATTTTCTGCTTAGGCAAAGTAAAGACTTCAATCGGGTCAAGACCTTGGAACACAATAACTCTCCTTCAAGTATTTTCTAGTAATTGGGGTCTATACTCTCCATATATAGGCCTACCAAATTTGCCATACTTTTATTGGAAATAACTACCCGGGACAATGTATCTTTAATGGAGTGAAACTGTAAGACTAAGGACACTGATAAAACAAAAATACAGTCTCCTTATTCTTATATAATCCCCCCCCCCCCCCCCAACAAACTGAAGTCGTTGAAAACTACTCTATTTATATTTGAGACATCACATAGAATAGAGCATGGTGTGTTTAAAAAAATATGATCACAAAAACTCACTAGAAAAGGGTTGTTTGCCTAACTACGGTAATTGTGATTGTCTGCCATATGTTTCTTTATAATTCCAAGGTATCATGAATACTCATGGCCATTTGCACATCATTTAAGCAAAAATTCATAGTACCATAACAACTCTTTGGGGATGTGTAATTTTAAGATTAAATAAAGAAAGAGTTGTATTATTTTTGTGTTTTGTTTTGTTTTGTATGTGTTTCAGTTCTCTCAATGATGTTATGATGTCTAGGTATTACTGTTTATGTTCACTATTTATTTTTGCCTATTCATTAACAGTTATCAGTTTTGTCTAATTATGGAGCATGTAGTGCAGTACTTAACTACCCAAGCTTTTGTTGGTATAATTATGTTTAGATACCTTTTTGAAGAAATTCAAAATTCCAATCCAATTTTCACATGGGGTTGGCCGTAGGTCCTTAAATTCCATTCTGTATAAGTGCCTGGATAACCATATCTATATATTGCAGTCATGTTGGTAAGTTATCATTGTGATTGTCAAGCCACTCATACAACTAAAAATGAAGTTCTTACAGTTGCAGTATTGTAACTCTGTTAAGCAAATCTGACAATCATTTCTGCTGTTCAAGCAAAATCTCCCTCATTACTACATTAGCTATCTATGATGATCTATATACTAATAATAAAATAATAGAATGGAAACAGGTAGTGTGTTATGACCCGGTGACTGGCCAACAAATAATGACATGGTTAATAAAGCCCACTTTTATTTATGGTGTCCTGTGAATTCTGAAACTGCTACTTTATATGATAGAATAGTGTAATTCTTCAGAATAGTCTCCAATGGGATAAATTTATTTAAATATACCATACAGTGATTGCATGAGCTTTGTTTAATGGCTTTGGCAAGCATCGTTGCGGATGTTATGATAATTAACTTTTGTTTTATTTCCTTTTGGGCTTCTATGCAATTTAAGTTTTTGATTTTATCTTTCCTGTTCATTTCAAATACTATTCAAATAAATGAAAGTTTTGTGAGTGAAAGAAAGGCAATTTATATGCATATCAGAGGAACATCTCTTTAATGTAATATTCTTCTCACTGATATGGTTGTGCAGGGTTGATTGATATCTGTTGGATCTGTTCCATCTAATTCAGAGTGTAAACACAACTTGTAACTTTCGTAGAATTCAAGCAAATACTCTTGTTTGATTTTTTTTTCCACTTGAATTGTCAAGATATTTATGTGAAAAAATGTAGTTTTGGACTTCAAAATTCACAAACTGTTTTGAACTGATTCTGCTTTTTTAATCACTTTTTCTATTATTCAGTCAGCAGTCATGTATTTCCTTTTAATTGCGTTAGTTGTTTAGCTAGTTGAAACAGCACAGATTGACTGGACAGTTGAGTTGAAATTTACTGCCATGACATGTTAATGTAACTAAATGATACTATACTATTGTGCGGACATAAAATTCTTTTTTTCTACTGCATATTATGTTTTATTACGTTTTATTAAGTGATGACATTTTTTTATGTTACAGTCATATGTGTATGGTAATGAGAGGTGTACAGAAGTTAAACAGTAAGACAGTAACAAGTACAATGCTCGGTGTATTCCGAGAAGATCCAAAAACCAGGGAAGAATTCCTCACATTAGTTAGACATTGAAAATTATATTTATAGCATTTGGAAACAAATAAATGAGCTTAGTGTACACCATGATATCTCAACCATAATAGGCCTAAATTGATAACTAACTTTAATGTGTCAGATATTACAGGGATTTTTGGTACTGTTCTTTATACATACATTTGTCATAATTGTCCCCCACCTTTCGAAGAAAGCAGGTGACTATTCAAATGGGTTCGTCCGCTTGTCTGTCAGTCCATCACACTTTTTGGAGGACACAATAACTATCCTTCTAATTGAGCTAGAATGTTCAAACTTGGTGTAGGTGTTTATTAGGTCAATGCCTGGATGGAGTTCGAAGATGAGCATTTTCTGCTTAGGGTAAGCAAAGATAAGCAATTTGATTGCTTGATGCTTTGGGACACGATAACTATAGTTCAAATTCAGTGAGAGTGAGGACACATGGTGTATAGTTTTATCACATCAATACCTTGACTAAGTTCCATAATAAGCATTTTCTGCTTAGGGTAAGCAGAGCGATAAGCAATTTGATTGGTTGAGACTTTGGAACTCGATAACTCTGCTTCTAATTGAGGTAGAATGTTCAAACTTGGTGTAGGCGTTCATTAGGTGAGTGCCTTGATGATGAACATTGTCTGCTGACGGTAAGCAGAGATAAGCAATCTGATTGGTTGATGATTTGGGGCACAATAACTTTGGTTTTAATTAAGTGAGAGTGATGAAACTCTGAGTTTGGATTCATTATATCATTATACCATGACTAAGTTTGATGATGAGAATTTTCTGCTTAGGCTAAGGATCGATGAGCTTTGGAACATAACAAATGTGTGATTAATGAATATGTGTCATCTATTTGTTTTGTGATTTCGGCGGGGGACATCAGGCTCACTGCTGGCTTGTTTATTATGGAACATGTTAACAAAGTTTTTGTCAAATGAATTGTTGTTATTTACATCCTGCTGTTAAAGACATACTTCCATCAGCCCCCCACTAGTCATATTCCTGAACTTTATGAGAGACATTCAATATTTCTGAAGTTGTTTCTTATCATCTGTGGTGGTTATATACAATAAATATATAATGTATTGTTTTAATTTACAAGTAAAAAATTAGAGATTTAAACAGGCATCATGCAAGAGCTGAGTCTGCCTATTGTAGGCCTTTTTTGGGCCTTATGTGCTATATAAACTATTAATTAGACATTATTAACATGACAAGACCATAATCAACTCTCAATGCCATTGGATAGGCCCGATTTCAAGTAGATTAGAAGGTTTGGCCATTTAATAATTTAATTTAAAAATGGTGAAACAAGACTAAGCCTCTAAACAACCAATGCACTGGTTACAATTAATGCACAGATCTTGTCAAACCTTCAAATATCTTCACTCAGAATTAAGTAATTTGAATGAAATTTTATATATGTTCATATTGTATTATCTGTTTTAGAACTATTATAGCAAGAACGGCCAGCTGTGTATCTAAATCTTACATAATGTGTCTTTAAGTACAAGTATTTAATAGATTTGAATGCACCTAAACCTGCATGATATAATATAAATAAACCTACATGTTATATAAAAAACCCTACATGAAATGATAGAAATACCTACATCTTATAATATAAAAAAAACCTACAAAAGGGATTCTTTTGCCGTTATTTTATACGAATGGCAATATGATTCTCGGTGACAAAATAAAATAACCATAAACAAGTCAAGTTATATAAAGCCATTTTTTGTGGTGGTTTATTTCTTTTTGAAATTTATAAGAAAAGTTTTGAGTACATGAAATAAATTGGGGTATTCATGATACATTAATGTCATAATTTTCTTGACTATCTTGTTTTTACAATGAATAGTTCATTTGATGTATTCAATATATTTTTAAAAAAATCTTTTATCATTTAATTTTATCACATATTTTAATTTCATCACACAGGATTAACAAAATTTCCTTATAAATACAAGTAGTACATGTCATTTCTTAAATATTACACTTAAGTCTTATTAGTATTGCAGAGGAGGAAACCGGTGTTAATGGGATTGTTCTTAGTGTAATTAAATTTACAGGGAGTGGCAACAGGAATGGGTAGGGATACATTTACACACCAAAGGGCATTTAAGATTATAATTATAGCTGCCAGTGAAAATTATGTTATAAATTATTCAAATAATATGTTATTAATTAAATTTGGTGTTATAAGTGTTGTTGTTATAAAATATTAAAGATTTTATTGGAATATTGATATTAATTATGTATTATAATATATTGGTTGTGGATCAAAGGGGTATTTATACACATTGGTGGAACTAGATGTATCTCACTAAGCTTTAGGGTTAAATGACACTTCAAGTCATTTGACCAGATTAGGTCAGGGCATTGGAGAGTATGGTTTTAAAACAATTACTTGTTTTGAATACTATTGGTAAAATTTGAAATCAAAATCAGTTGTAGACAAATTTATTCATAATAATAAGACTATTGGAGCTCTGTACAATCCTTTTTTCTTTGGAGTACGATAACTAGCTTATTGACCTGATATAAAAGACTAATTTACTAAGCTTTGTGAATATTCTGTTTGTATTTATTATGATATGCATAAGATATTATAATTAATGTAGTGCTAATATGTTAAACATAATACCATAAACAGAATTTAAATTTGATAACTTTTTTTTTAATGTACTTCATGTATAGGTTTAGTATCTGGCTTGAATGGTGTAATGGTGAGAAGCATCTAGAGTCATACAGAATGATCTTTTGTGAACATTCCATTGTTTTATTTAATACTTTAAATGATGGACCATGCCATCTTACAGGCATAAACAGCCCAATTTATCAAATTGAAACTTTCCATATAGATCAGTTTTGATTTATGAAGGGTATACAGGTACATATTTATGATTTTACTTGAAATGCCATAATATTGTCATGAATATTTAATAATTTGTATTTTACAATGTTTTAATTCATTAACATATACTGCCACAACTGTTTTTATGATATACATTATTATATTTAATGAAATTATATTTATAAAAAACATTGTGCAATAGAGAAAAATTCAACATGCGTTTTGTATGTCTGCAATAATTTAAGATCAGGGTCCTGTTTCACTAAGTAGCGGAAGTATAGTGTACTTGAAAGTCTGTACTTGCCTAAATACTTATGCTAATGTTGTTTAGTGAAAGGCAGCCCTGTTTTTGTCTAGTCTTTTTTTGTGTATAACTTATGACTATATATTTATATATATACAAACATGTTTTTAAACTTTGAAATTATCTTCTAATGTGCACTGTGACATTAATTGTTTGACAATTTGTTATTAAGATAGTACAAGTACCAGTGAATTGAGTGAATTATTGTTTTTTTGTTGAAAACTTTTATTAGTTCATGGAGTGTATATACATTACCATTTATAAAGGTCTGTATGACCAATATTAAGTTACATATAGTATTTATGGAAGAGCAATAAACATGTTAATCATTTCGAAATTGTTAAATGTAGTTTCTGGGGAGTGGATAACTTTGATCTCTAGCACTTTTTATACGCCCACATGGAAATGTGGTCGTATATTGCCGTCGCCCCCGTCCGTCCGTCCATCGTCCACAATTTCTTGTGAACACTCTACAGGCTACATTTATCATCTGATTGTTTTGAAATTGATATATGTTGTTTGCATTAGTGAGATGAAGAAGCCTATTTAATTTCAATAACTTCCGTTAATTTCTTCTGGAGTAATGGCCCTTGTTTCACTTTGTTGCACCTTGTGAACGCTCTAACGACAAAAGTTATCAACCGATCTGTATGAAATTTATATGCATCATTTAAATTAGTAAAACGAAGAAGCCTATTGAATTTCAGCAATTTTCGTTAATTACATCTAGAGTTATGGCCCTTGTTTCACTTTGTTGAATCTTGTGAACGCTCTTATGACAACAGTTATCATCCGATCTGTTTGAAATTGATATGCATCATTTAAATTAGTGAAATGAAGAAGCCCATTGAATTTCAGCAATTTCCATTTATTACACTGTGAGTTATGGCCCTTGTTTCACTTTGTTGTACCTTGTGAATGCTCTAACGACAAAAATTATTATCCGATCTGTATGAAATTTATATGTATTGTTTAAATTAGTAAAAGTTTCAGCAAATTTCTGTTAATTACATCTAGAATTATGGCCCTTGTTTAACTTTGTTGAATCTTGAGAAAGCTTGAACAACAAAAGTTATCACCTAATCTGTATGAAATTCATATGCATCATTTGAATTAGTAAAATGAAGAAGCCTATTGAATGTCAGCAATTTCCGTCAATTACTTTTAGAGTTATGGCCCTTGTTTTACTTTGTTGAACCTTGTGAACGTTCGAACGACAAAAGTTATCATCCGATCTGTATGAAATTTATATGCATTATTTGAATTAGTAAAACGAAAAAGCCTGTTGAATTTCGACAATTTCTGTAGATTACTTCCAGAGTTATGGCCCTTGTTTTAGTTTTTAGAACTTTGTGAACCCTCAAACAACGAAAATTATAATGTTATCTGTATGATATTGTCTATTAAATTCCCCTAATCACCGACAAAAGAATAATTATGTGACAACCCTTGTTGACTGCTCGGACGATTTAGCTGCTGTGGGCGTATGTTTTGTTGCCTGGCAACCTATCTTTCAAAGTGATCAAGGGCCATAATTCTGGCAGTAATTATTGGAAATAGGCTTCTTCATCTTATGACCTTTAACACGTGCATAAATTTCAAGTCAATCAGATATTATACTTTAGCCTATGGAGGGTCCACAAGCAAATGTGGATGAAGGATGGACGAAGTAACAACAATATACAACAACTGGTCAAGGGCAATAACTCCAAAAGTAGTTTCGATCCTCACTTGTTTGAGACAAGGAGTAGGGTCGCCTGTCCAACCTTGTTGGTTTTCTCCGGTTTTAAATAGGATTCTTCATCTCAGTAATGTTAACAACATATATCAATTTCAAAACAATCAAATGATAAATCTAGTCCAGTGTTCACAAGAAAGTGTGGACAAACGGACCGTCGGATGGGTCCCAACCGAACGGCAATATACAACTACATTTCCATGTGGGCGTATAACAAAAATGGAGCAGCTGTAGCTCAGTTTTTTAGACACTTGCTCGCAAACCTGGAAGTCCCTGTATCGATCCAGGCGTTGGCATCTAGTCATTTGGGTGGAATGAAACAAATGAGAACCTGTGTACTCCTTGGCGTGCACATAAAAGAACCCTTGACAGTTGAAATTCAATTGCTTTCCGGGCAAAATTTTACTCGCAGCAGACTGCATGCTGGTCCACATTATTGGAGCATTAAACCCCATTTTATTAATTCTTTAACTAAAATAATAGGCATCGAATTGGGTCGTAGGACCAATGGGTATGGCTGATGTCAACCTATTATCACCATTCAAAATGAAGTATACAGTAAAAATAACACTGAAGTCATATGTTGGAATAAAATATTTATATTTTTCCAAATATCCCGCAAATGCAACATACTGAATTGTAACTATGAACAGACAATGAGAAACTTGATAACAATTATCTATATAATATTTCAATCACTCACTTATAAAGAACATGACAGAACATAGAATAAACAGATAAATTTAAAACAAACTGTCTAGATACAAACCTTTATGATAGTTCATTCACATCCACAAAAAGCTATGGTCTACACGTATTAACATATAAATAATGACTTTAAAAATAAATGCAAGTAATACAACCATGTTCTGACCTATAATAAGTACAAATACAACAGCGACTAATATGTACAATTTATTTATTTACTAATTAGAGTAGTTTTTGGCAGTATAATGTATTTATGTGATGAAAATGTTATGAAATATTACTTATTTCAGCATGTGAATTTACCATCAACAAAAGTTTGTATCTATAAAAAACCTCTCAAGAAATCAAACTGCAAAATTTCATTGGTTAAATATTCAATATGAAATTTAGTACTTTGTCTAATTATGTTTAACATCCATTATATATCTGCAAGAATATTTAGTTGACAGATTTTTTTAATACTATAAAGCCTTAAGTGTCAAGACAAAAATAATACTATATAGCCTTAGTGTCAAGATAAAAATATTTTAAATACTGCAGAGCTAAGTATATTTAGCTAAGTATATTTTGGTGGTTTTTTTTATGTAACTTGCCAAGGACTGTTTTTCTCTTTTAAATATGAACTAATTTATAATCAATCATATACAGTGCATGTCAAAAACATTCGTCAAATTTATCAAAATTTTCTGAACTGACATGGATTGATGCTTGTTTGCTGTTCCAGATATAACATACAAATAGTTATAGCTTTTTATTTTCAAATAAAAAAAGGATGTGAAATGACATACAAATATCTAATAGCACATTCAAATCATAAAGGATACATGTATAATATGAAACATAATTAGACAAAATACAAATTGTTTCAATAAACATTATTTTAAAAAACTCTCTTAAACTAATCAACTAGAATGGAAATTCCAACTTTCTAATAAAAATGATTTAACAGTAAAGAGAAACAACATAGATACAATTAGTTGGTATGTTCTCAGTGATGAGATTCTTCTTATTGGCAGTTATTGAAGCTGCTTTATTTTATTTAAAGAAGGACCCTTCTTTGTTTATTCTACAGCATATTATTATGACGTTTTTTAAAATTATACTCTTGCATGACAGTTGGTGGTGAAAAGTGTCAAAAATTACATCATTTCCAAGGTAGAGTTTCTGAAGCTTTCGAATGAAACACAATGCATTGACAACTGAATTTAGTTCATTTGAGTTCTAACAGTTAAAGTTTTAATAAGAATAAGCATCTAATATATTTTTCAAGTTATTATTATTATTATTTAGTGTAAAAACATCACACGCATACAAAATGCTACAAACAAAACTAAACACAGAATAAAAACGGCAACCAAGCCTTTGTGTACCAGCACAATATATACGTATATACACATATATATTTCTCAACTAATTAATTAACCAAACAAAATTACAAATAATCATAATAATTACATCTGCCACCAATTAATCAAATGAACATTCAATAATTGTTAATGAGCTAATCAACAAACTATGGAAGTTGCAAGATTTCTCAGAATCCTGTCACTTTAAAAAGAGTAATAATAATAATAATATATATAAATTACCATACATGATACATAATTATTATCAAAGAAGTAAAATGATAAAAATAATTTTAAAAGGCAACTGAAAATAAGTGAAACCCCCACATAAAGCACATGGTCAAAGAGATATTAATTATTCAATTAATTAATTAAAGCTATAAAGTTTTTACTAGCATATTATAAACTACCATTTTTTTTGTATCAAAAAGGTGAATGATAAAATGAAATGAATGAAATTTATTTTTTTTTTGTATTGATGGTGGAAAGATAATGTACTTTTAGTGAAAGAAAAGATTCTTAAGGTTATTGTTTCATGATCAAACAGATACTGAAAATGTGACCATGAATCAGATATGTCCAAATAGTAAACTTAACATCCTATAGTACTAGTAGTATTATTTGACATTCTAGTTTTGAATTCGCAAAAAATAGTAAGCCTTTTAAAATTTTTTCAGACTTCCTTGTACAATTATTTAAATGGTATTTAGTAATTGAACTGGAAATACACAGTTCACAATTCTATGGAATATAATTACTGTTTATTACTGTACGAGGTTTTAATTACTAGTTCAACCGTTGCTCATTAATAAACAGTAGTTATATTTCATAGATTGTAAACTGTGTGTTTCTGTGTTACTGTGTTTTTGATAGATTTTTGATAGATACAGTGTAACCTCTTATAAGGTTACCACATATGAATGGATCAGGAAGTAACACTTTTTTGATTCGACAATTATTTATGCTTATATTTGTTGGGACAAGTAATTTTCAATACAATAATAAACTGAAAATAAATAACATACATATAGGAGATTGACATTAACTGATTGTCACTGTACCTGCAGTAACTAGCTATAAAGTAATATACATTGTGTTGTTTTAGGCCACTAGAAATAATGTCTACTTGGAATGCAAGAGAGATGAGTGGGATGAAGGGAAGGATGACAATTAATCATGTACATGTTTATTATTCAATTATTTACAAATCAATATTAAAAGATTTTGTATATATTATCCTTTTTTTAGCAGCACTTTGTATAGATCTCTTTTGTTGAAGACTTAAATTTAAAAATAATTTTCCTCATGCACATTTTAAAAATAAATGTCCACTGATACACAACAATTATACATGTATATTTCAACAATTAGGCATTATGCTTTTAATTTTACACTTTCATTATAAGAAACATATTCATAGATTATGTCGGGTATATTTAATGATAGATGTTAAATCGCCATACTTTGCAAGATTTTTAGACAGAGTATTTTCAAATCATGACAAGTATTTCAAATCATGATGTAAATTAGGAAATCACAATGTAAATTAGGAAATCACAATGTAAATTAGGAAATCATGATGTAAATTTTTGAACTGCAATTCTAATATATAAGTTGTGATCTATAACTTTTATCAGGTAACATGAAAAATATTTCATGCACAATTTGTATGACTGGATGACAATAATTTCAGATTAGATAAACGTATCCTCAACTTTAAATTTAAAATTAAAGTTAACTTGGACAGTGTCAAAAATCAAATTAAGAACCACGAAAAAAAGGCTCCTGCTTTGTCGTACATCCTAAAGACATTGTTCAAAATATTTATCAGTCAATTTACAAAGATAATACAGATTAGCATTATTAACTGACATGCTGTAAATTACACTTCATGTCTACAGCTATGACAATTTCATAAACAATATGGACGGAAATATTTACACAAATTTAACCCGAGGTCATTTACCTAAAAACTTTCAACAGGCTGTATGGAATTCTTCACTCAAACTAATATAAAATAATAACAAATAGAATTCTTAAACATTATCTTATCTTTATAACCTGTTGTTAATAGATAAAATATGAATTGAAATAGACGTGCATCGGCAGTCTGCACATTGAGCCAAGAACACCAAAATGGTGTTGTTTTCAATAAAAGATGTAGAAGTAAGCATAAATATCAATAATTCTTATTTAATATAATTTCTTAATCAATAGTCTCAATTATTTAAAGACTACTGAAGGTTGATTTCAAGAATTTTTCTTTTAATTTATGGCAAGGGGGGATAACTGATTTTTTTATTTCCTTCCCCACATCATTTCTTCAACACACTTTAATTGATTTCTTCATTTAAAATTTTCTATCTCGAGCAAAGTTAATAACATGAGCAGTCAAATGGTGAAAATGATGATGAAGAGGATGATAATGTAAATATTACAATGTATGTAGATACATCGGTACATATATAGAAGTTATAGATATACTGGAGTACATTCATTAAACCTTCCCAAAAAAAAATTCTACATACTGATCAATATTTAACATTGTTGATTTATCTAGGTGCAAAACGTGATTTTGTTTTTATAAAAAAATCTTATAATAAGAGATGTATTACTCTGCTGAGGAAAAGTTAGCACAGAGCAAAAACATTCCAAAACGCTAAAGGCATTGGCAGAAATTAGCCGCACTTAAATATATACAAATATATACAAAACAATTTGGCCAAAATATGTCTCTCTTCAAAAAATAAGCAAACATCTCGTAGGTTAAAAATACAGAACTTCTCATTGTTAACCATAAATAAATCGGCACAGATTAAATATCTCTCTAATATAAATCGGAATAATACCTACATCTCTGTCTAATATATAAAAGCAACAAGTCATCTGATACACACAAAAACAAAATGAACGACCATTGACTGTAATTCCACATTCTCTTTCATCTGATCTCGAAAGATGTTAGTTAACAAAATAAAAAGGGTCAGATTATGCTGAGAAACAGAAATCATTTCACTAATCCTTGTTTACAAATCCCAGTACGTCTGGCTATCGTAGTCACAAGTCATAACTACAACTCTAAAACAATCTTGGTGATTTGTTCATTAAACGCAAGAAAAATATCCGAAACTATAACATTCCCAGTGTGTCTCTTTCTGAAATTTGCACCCTGGAACATGCAAACGATTGATTAATCAATTATGCATAATTAACACAATCTTCTCTGTGTACCAATCAGAATAATATTAATCTCATCTGTAAATTTTACACAAATCCCAAAAACAATAAACACTTCCATTTGTTCAATTTACGACATATTATATATCTATATAATATATTTTGGTTAACACCAACTAAAAATCTTACCAGTGAAATTTCTCTACCAAAAAAGTGTAAATACAATTAGTAAGTCTAATAAATCAAGTAATTGATTCTAAATATAAATTTTCAAATTTCATTATATGTACAAAGAGAGAACATAATACAGGATAAATCAAGGCACTATTCATTAACATTACATATCAAAAATCACACACTGATGAATTAACTATAATCATCTATTCACTTTTTGAAAAGTTTTGTTGAAGACTGGAGTGTATGTAATCTCTAACTATTACAAGACAGAGATAACAAAATAATATGTCGTCTTCTATAATGACTATACGAATTAGGCAGGTTAACACAATACAATATCTATATACAACTAAAAACAACCTGCGATTAGTATCACTACTTACATATCTGTAGACAGTATAATGTCACATACCTCAAAATATTAGTCAATTTTGTCTCAAGATATTTTATGAAAATAACTAATTATGCATTGAAATTTTCAGCAGCTTTAAAGTGGACACTCACTGTCCTATAACTATTCACATCTTTAAAATATTTTGTTGGGTTTTTTTTTTTTGTTCTTGATACAAGAAAACACAAATCTATATGTACATGTCTGTTAAACACTATTATTACAATCTTGACATCTCTTCCATCCATTGTAATAATATCATGGTATGTCTGTGTTTTAACAGTGATATCATTTTCCTCTTGGTTTTTATACACTTGTACCAGTATCTATTTATACATAAATTGATTTACTTTCTAAAAAGTTGAACTTTTATCTGCGCCATCTGAAATATTGAAAATATCATATTGATAAAATACCTTTATATAGCATCAAAGGTTTAAGATACAGATACAGACTCAAACCCAAGTACAATAATGAGAAAGTTTAACCTTTGTATTCCAGGGTACTGACAAATATAGATGGCACAAAGGGGAGGGCAAAATAAGTGCTATTTTTTCCCTGGTGGGAGGGGATTTTTCTCTATACTACTGTCATGTGTCCAATGAATGGTAGTCAATATAAATCTTACCTAGACTACCCAGTGCATGTTCTGTCATACTGATACACAGTGAATCTAAACTAGCATTTATTTCTGTATCATTAGATGCCATATCACCAGCTGTAATAAAACAAATATCAACTTTTATCTTTAATATATTCTGTACGGAAGTATGTAGGACTGTGTGTAATGAAGGTAAAATGTTAAAACTAAATATATACAAGTTTAATGAACAACCTGAACAGTATCTTTTTGGACCAGGAACTGATCCCCAATCGCTACTCACGCTGCAGTTGTTGCTCTAGCAATTCAAGTATAGTTGACACAAACCTTTGTATGCTTGTTCCTTTGACAATTGCGCATCAATTGACAGACTTTGATTTTTGATATGAGGTCACAATTGGTAGATGGTGGCCAAGATGTCATGCTTGGTTGTTTTACCCGAAATTTTGAGATATTTTTAAGTTTGAATTTCCATTTTATATACAGGTCGGGTGTGACAACAACTAACCCAGTGTGTCCACATTAAATCTGGGTGCATGTATATAATGTTTGCAATAATAAATAAGATCAGACATTTTGAAAATATGAGTTCTATAAATATTTACCTGTAAGTGAAACTGATAAAACCTGACCTCGCACAGGTGCTGAATGAGTTCTTGTTACTTGTTGTTTCATCTGCTGTTATAAACAAACATAAAAAAATATCATAATATATACATATGTAAATTTTATTATTTTTTCTTCAAGTCAATTCTGTAAATAAACAAGCCAACAGTGAGGCTGATGTCCCCCGTCTCTATCTCAAAATAAATAGATGACATTCATTAATTTAAATACTTGCACATATACCTTTTTTATATAGCAATCAAATTACGTATCACTCTGCTTTGCCTAAAGCTCATCATCAGACTTAGTCAAAGTACTGTTGCAATGACACTACACGCCAACTTTTACCACTCGTCCTCAATTAGAATCAAACTTATCGTGTTCCAAAGTCTTGACGCAAAATTTTGCTATCTCTGCTTAGCCTAAGAAAATGCTCATCATCATTCTTAGTCAAGGCATTCAAATAATGGACATCACACTAAGTTTGAACATTCTAGCTCAATTAGAAGCATTGTTATTGTGTTCCAAAATCAGATGGACAGATGTACGAACCCATTTTAATAGAACCTGCTTTCTTTAAAGTCGGGGGACAATTTTTTCCTAGCCAAAAAGACTTTTTGGTAACAACAAAATTCTATCTAACCCTACACAAAACTTTATCTAACAAAGATATTCTGATAAATTTTTTCTAGTTCTTATAATTGTCAGTTATTTAACTGACAATAATGGGATCCAAAATTTACTTGATATGCTTTTGTCTTGAAATGAAATTGTATGAAACTCACCTCCATAACACCAGGTTTCATAAAACTGGGATTAGCTGAACTAATACGTGATAACGGTGTATGATTGTTACTAGTTGTACCACCTTGTATAGAACGACGTGATGATGTATTCCATGGTTGACCATATCTAAACTGATTAGATGGTGGTTTACATCCAGATCTAGAATATAATATTATAAATAAATTATAGGCAACTTTATTTTATATATTGTGACATCATAAAACTATTCTTCTGCAAACCATTCCACTGGTAAAAGCATTCAAAATTTACTTCAAATTATTGCATTAATTCCTTACAGGCAAATTTTTGTATTTTGATTACCTAAGATCGACAAGACATTATCATTTTTAATGAACACAGACAATTAGTGATGACAACCCTGAATTAATAATAGAAACTGCACGTAATGTAAACTTCAAACCAAACTAAACATACAAGTAACGGATGTGACACAATTTATGGACATGTTGAAGAATGGTCTTTGATTATAGTCTGTTTTTACTGTGTATTTTCAGGTTAAATTCTTTGAAATACCTAATTTTATGGTTTGTAAACTGACTGACAGGTAAATTCTCCAGCCCGTCAATTTTAGTCACAATTGACAAATTCCAAGATAATTTGTATTGTTACTAATTATAAAGATATGGTGCAACCATACTCGTGGATTTCTATTAACTGTCAGTCCTCTAGAGAATCCACAAGCTAAAAATGTGATTTTGCGTACAATCTGGGTCCATAATCTAGGAAGTTATGGTGTTACATGTGCAAATGTCCAAAGGAACTGAGATCTTTAAGATATAAACATATATTTTAAGTTTCATCAAAATCGGACAAAAATTGCGATCTCTAGCATGTCCACAACCATGGCAGTTATCAGGGAGCATAATCCAGGAAGTTACAGTCCGTTATGTGCAAATATCGAAAGGAACCAAGATCATTGGGATATAAACACATGTTTTAAGTTTCATCAAAATCGGATAAAAATTGTGACCTCTAGATTGTCCACAAGCTAAAAACATGATTTTTCGTACCATCTGGGGCCATAATCCATGAAGTGACGATCCAATACATGAGAATATCGAAAGGAATTGAAATATTTGGGAGATAAAACTATATTTCAAGTTTTGTTAAAATCAGATAAACATTGTGACCTGTAGAGGGTCCACAAACAAACTGTGGACGGACAGGGGCAACGACAATATACGTTTACATAAAAATGTGGCCTTATAATATTAGATTAAATAACCATATAGACTTTAATAAAACTTTCAAATCTCTTCTCAACAATATCAAAATGAATATGCATTCACAAACAAAACAATAAAAGTCTATGAAGATCTTAAAATAGAAGTATAAATTTACAAATAAAATTGGCAATGAAACGGATGAAAGAAAGAAAAATAACTATAAAACCATACAACAAATCAAACTTTCAACATAAATTTTCTTAAATCACCTGTAGGCAGCAAAACTACAAGCAATGGCTGCCTGTTTATAATTAGCATCTCTGGCTTGCTGAACACTTTTAGGTGTTATTCTTGTAAACTGGCTGTTGTTATTAGGCCTAACACAAGGCAGAAAATTATTAGTTGAAGACCACAGAGAGGAGATTTATAAGTGTGTGTCAGTGATGGGATTTTGCCGTATATTCTGGACTTGTCCGAATCTTTTTTCCAAACGCCCAAAATTGTCCAACCGGGAATATGCCCAATCGGACATCAAGACATGGTGAATAATATTCAAAATTCTGAAAGTAATAATTTACTGATTGTGTAACTACCACTCATCCCGATTATCGTCGATAATACACTGGATTGATTAGGTAATTAAGTGATCAACGTATTTATCGTTTTATACCGTCTATAAATAACCTACCTTGATTAACTACTTAATCTGCCTTGATTGACCGACTTAATCCTTTGTCGGACAGTTCATCAATCTAGTCGTAAACAGAAGTCATTGTTTCCCCTTTGTCGGAATATTCATCAATCCAATAACTGTGATTATAATTTTAATCCTCGCGTTACCTCGTGGTTTCTGCATTGTCGGACATATATTTAATCGAATTGATGTGAGCCGACAATATGTATAAACTATAGATGTCACATATTGTAATAGACATCAATAGACAGTCATTATAACTTTCAATATGCTTCGATTCAATATACATTGTATCCGATAACTTGTCTGTGATATTCCTTCGGTGGAAGCCAAAGTTAAATAAAGCTATTTCACACACACGCATGGTTCTAGTAAAGTAACTCAAAATGAAAGTAGTCATCTCGCGCGAGACACGTGAAATTAAGAGATTTAAACGTGCCGAATCTAATACGTGGGGTTTATGTTTTTAAAAAAATAAATAAACACGCCAAGAAATGTTGACGACTATGTCAATTGGAATAAGGTTAGTTAATTGTTTTAGTAAAGTAACTCAAAATGAAAGTAGTCATCTCGCGAGACACGTGAAATTAAGAGATTTAAACGTGCCGAATCAAATACGCCTGATGTGAGAGAAAAGATTCTATTTTGATGGCATATTGTCGGATTTATGATCATATTTTGAGTGGGGTTTATGTTTTTAAATAAATAAATAAACACGCTAAGAAATGTTGACGACTATGTCGATTGGAATAAGGTTAGTTAATTGTTTTAGACGATAGCGCGTGCTAGAGTCGAATGCGATTATTTAGCTGCAGTTGGTGTCCCTCGCTCGTTTTTGAGCGACGTTTACTACGAAATAAATGCTGGTCTTTGCTGAAAAATGTATCGAAATATGACCCGAAAAATACGGTAATTTGGGGGGAATTTGAAACAGGTACCGATCGACAGTAGTCGTCACACTTTCATTCTATGGTATTACGATGTCATGTAATTTTGTAAGAATATTATTGACATAAATTTTAATACCGTACGGGAATTAAGCATGAAAAATAACGAGGTGAAGATATTTTTTTATTACGTATAAATTTGAATATTTTGTTGACACATGATTCTTAATTGTGGTTTGAAAACGTCTGCTTAAATAACGATAAGAGTTATGCCCCTTTTTTTCGGGAAAAAATGTCCGACAAGAAAAATTTTGAAATCCCATCACTGGTGTGTGTGTATGTAATATTGATTAAAACTAACAGGAATTAAATTTTACATTTTTGAATTCAGTGACCTTTGTGAAAAACAAAAACACCCCCAAGACAAATTCAATGCATGAACAGTAAAAGGAGTTATGATCTTTAGATTTATAAATAGAAACTCAGTATTAGGATGGTATGATAGCAGAGCCTTGCTTTATTTTATTGATCTTGTAAAATTAAAGAGTTGTATCTATGACAACCTATCTATGTAGTTATATTATCCTACCTTCTCCATGCCTGATCATTATTAGGAGGATATGGTGGATTATATACTTTCTTACATGACCATTTCCATGACAACAGTAAACTTTTATGACGTTGTGTAAATGCCTGAATAAAAAATGAAATACAATGTTAAAGATTCTCCTAAAATAACAGAACTTACAAAGATGTTTCATTAAAAACAGGAGTTGAAAAATGGGAATCAATGGTCATTTCGGGAAAAACATCTTATTTTAATAATCATATCATACCAAACCATGCTGCCGTGTAAAGCGTAATTAATATAACATATTGAAAAATAAATGCATTATAGTTTTCTAAAGTTGTTGTCACAAACAACAAGCTAAATATTACTGTAATCCACTCATTAACATTATATGTTTTCAAGGTTTTATAGGCCAATACTAGCTTCTGTCGATAGTGCATGTGATAATTGTAATCACTTTATAAATAGTCATTTGAATATGAGGATGAACATTCACTGATCCCTTGGCAGTTGGAATTTGATATACGAGTAGGCCATAGAGACGCTGCCCAGCACAATGTTCCTCGTAGCCACTGCATGGCATATGCCCATCTTCATGAATTAGCTGTGCCGAGTTCCCTAATAATATGACTATAAGAGAGATTTAATATAAAACAATTTCCATCAAAATTACTGTCAACATTTTATAATCCCACATTTCTAAACAGATAATAACTACCACTTACTGTATGTCTAAGACATTTATTGATGATGTTAATATACCATTGAAAACCATAATAATAAGGTTTGGGACTTATCAATAGAGCTGTACATACTGAAATGTCAATTAAAACAGTATATTATTTTCCAAGGGGTTTTTGTTTATAAACATTATCGTAATACAATCATGTGTAGCGTTATTAATCAGACATTTGAGTGATACTGACCTTGACTTACACAAAAACATATCTGATATAAAAAGACAACTAAAGGTTGACCTATAATATTTTTAATTTATTGAATATAAGTGACCTGTCACTTCAACTCTGTAACTATCGGTATATTTACCATCTATAAGATGGTATTAAAGAAGGCATGGTATTGTATATATTAGGTGACTTATGACTGACATTAGTAATCCTTCATGTCTCAATCAAAACTCAAGAAAATGTTTAAACAATAAAGTTGACTCACTATTTGATAACATGACAGGTTTCCCTATTTTATGAAGCAGTTTTACTTACTTTTCCCCATAACTCTAGTAAATTGACTAGGTATATCACCATCTGGTATATCAGCAGATATACCTTTATTATCTACAGTAGCAGGTGATTCAGTCTCCTTAGCTTCATAAGGTATGATAGGTGTTACAATAATAGATTCCATCTCTCCTAATATAGTCATCAGTGGTTTATCATTACTTATATCCTAAAATTATAGCATTTACTTAGATAAATTACTGTAATTAATGCCTAACATAGTCATTACTTATATCCTAAAATTATAACATTTATTTCCAAGATAAAATCACTGTTATTAACGCGCTAAATTGATTTTTAAAACATAAAACAAGACAATGTATCTTTTCTTGTTCATATCATTAAAGATACATTATGTAAGATTTAGATAAAGAACTAGCCATTCTTGCTATAATAGATGATGTAAAATGAATAATTTGAAAATTTCATTCAAATTACTCTATTGCAAGCGAAGATATTAGCCTTTGAAGGTTTGACAGACGTGTGCAATAATTTCAACCAGCGTACTGGTTGATCGAAGCTACGTCTCGGTCCTCCATATTTGATTAAATCAAAGTATCCCTGAACCATTCTAATCCATTTAATATCAAAGAAATTTGATGCCATTGAGAGTTGATTAACGCCTGGATCAGTTAATTAATGTCTAATTAATACTTTAGAAAACATTTCAGGCCTAAAGAAAGACCTGCAATATTCAGATTTAGCTCTTGCATAATGCATGTTTAATGCACTTTATCATATTCAGACGTATTTCACAAGGAACTTTGTCTCTTCTCTAATGTTTCTTGAAATAAAGGCTTTCTATATTTCTCTGACCGGCAATAAAATTAAAGTGTTAATATGCGAAACAAAAAGGAATCTAATATATTGATGATTATTACAGTCTCCCGATTTTGTAACAAAGGGACATAACTCTGGAAGTGAGTATTGAAAATTAATAGGATCGTTTATGTCTTCAAGAAATCTGATTTTTATCATGTTCACAAGCTTTTCTGGAAAGATAATACATCTCTGAAACAGAAGTCCTGTAAGTCAGCAAGTAATTCAAAAAGATTTTTAACAAACCTTCTCAAGTTGAATTAAGTTTTTTTGCCGGTCTTTTAACTTGGCAATACTCTGTATTATTTTATGTCTGGCACCGGTAGTAACATTCTGTAATAATAAATACCTATATAAAATACAGCTACTTCATACAGTATAATGACTTACTTCCCATTATATATTCTTAAATTTCTAATTATCCAATAAGTGAACTAGGCAAGGGTCTTGGTCAGCCTGCAAAATTTTTTAACCCATGAGATGAAAGAGCTCTTACAGAAAAGTATATCCTCTTAAAGTACAGATGCGCCATTTGCATTTTTTCTAAAATATCAAATCTCTCACCGTTCAATCAATACACACTAAATATGTACTCAGATTGATTATTTAACATTTGATCAAGAAAACAAAATAAAAGTACCAATGCTAGATAATCTCCTGACTTGGATTCAATCGGCTTTCAACTAGGCCCATCAGCTTTCTCCACTACTGATAAAAGATGCCGTCTTATGCTCAAGCAGCATTGATCGATAAAATTTCAATTTCACATATCTTTGCAAATATTGAATGGAATTGAACCATTCGAGGACTGATATACCTATTAGAGCTTCATCTTTCACAATATTGTAGTTTGAAAGTGATTTCTATTGTTTAAAATGGAGCATCTGGGCATTAACCACTTCAATGAATAGCACTGTCTCACCTGCTCTTCTAGATATTCTTCTGTCAGTTCAAACATTTGATTATAATCTATTTGTTTAAATATATTGGCATATTTATGTAATCTTAATTCTTTCAACCAGGCCGGTACATCTGTAAATAAATTAAACAATATAGAAACAGTAGTCCTGGCCATCTCCTGAAAGACTGATTAGTCTGTGATTTACTTTACATTCAATTTGAATGCTATAAGCTTACATGAATACATGGCAAAGTTAGCTATATGTTGGCGAGAAGCATAATTACAATTACAAATTAATAAGACTTTAGAATGACAATATTGCTAGCACTGTTCCTAGTAAAGTACTGGGTCCAAAAAAAGTTGGACCAATTAAAAAAAAAACATAATAAATCCACACAACTCTACTATGGGCCCAGTCATGATCTAATCAGTCAGTACCAGTAAGTACTGTTCTTTAATATTTCAAAACCTGAACAGTGATTTTATCATTTCTGATGTACATTTTTTTCCTGTCAATATTTACTCTGTCAGTATCTGCACTTGAGATAACTCTATTTAAGGGAGATAAATCACTTTTAGAATACCATGGACTTTATATTATAAGGTCCATGAGAATACTATTATAGATCCAATTACCAGTAGTGATAACACAATTCATCATGGTCTATTTATATTCCTTTGTCACCCAATAATACATTCTACAGTAGATATCGCTTGTGTGATATATTTCATAATCTCCTAAGGAGATATCGCTTTACATGAATTTGATTGGTCAGTTGAAAAGGAACTACTTTTTTTTATTTTCAAAGAACAGTTCATTTCTTATTAAAAGTAACTTTTTTTTTTATTAAAAATTAACTATTGTTATTCAATTGACCTTGATGGAAACACTGGGTCAATATAAAGGATGTATCATTACGCCATAATGTTCAGTAAAAGTGAAATCTACAGTAAAGAATTATATTTATCTATTTGTACATGTAAGAAGGGATTGGGTGATAAATAAAATCGTTTTTTGTTACTTTATCAACTTGTGTTGAAATTTTTTGATATAAAAAAAAACTGGTAGGAGATATTCCTTTCAAAATAGTTGTTTCATAACAATGATGACCATTCAATTAAGTTCATCTTTTAAAGATCTTTGATCTTTCCAGACATTGATGTCGGTCAGCACAACATGATAGTATGACTAATAACACATTACTGAACAGTGTAAACATAAGATTCAGCTAAATATATCATCCATAGGACTTTAATAAGTGATGCATGAGCTGACACATAAAAGACATGATAAATAAGCTAATTTTCACTGACTGAGTGCAATAATATTTGAAGAGTTCAGTGAAGCAAAAAAATGAAATATGTGTATGAAAAAAAAAACATCACATAATAAAGATGTGATGGGGTCATAAGTAAGTGATGCATGAGCTGACACATAAAAGACATGATAAATAAGCTAATTTTCACTGACTGAGTGCAATAATATTTGAAGAGTTCAGTGAAGCAAAAAAATGAAATATGTGTATGAAAAAAAAACCATCACATAATAAAGATGTGATGTGGTCATAAGTAGCTATAGGTAATTGGTCATGTACATGTATTTTGATACAAATACTGGTATAATTATTCCTTAAGTACACATGAGAAAGCCTAGCAGAGCATGGAAATACACCTATACAGCAGCTGTCTCAAAATAGATATTGCCACAGACAGCAACTTATTTGAGAGAAAAAATTGGATGTAGACCGAATTTGATATGGATCATGCTTTCAAGAAATCATGTTTACATTCACAAGTTTTCCCAGACACATAATATACCTCTAGAGCAGAAGTCCTAGAAGAATGCTGATAAAAAACATGGTTTATCCTTTGTGATCTGAATGATTCACATCAAATTTGAATATCAATAAGAGTTCATCTTCTCGCATTCCTAATGCTTCATGGTTTCACATCTATGAAAAACTGTACCCTTTAGCACATCCACAAGGTTTCCTGAAATCGGGGCACAAGTGCGGCACAGAAGGTTGCATACTGCTAAAAATTGATAGGATTCGTACTCTAGTAATGACCCCAATCATCAGCACCAAATTTGACCCCAAAAAATGTTAAAAACTGTTGCAAACTATGAACAGACGGCTGCACATCAGAGTTCGTCCTCTTCCAACCAAATTTTAAAAATATCTGTTAACCAGCGGCTGACAGGCAGGATACGCCCACATTTTGCAAGAGACGGATAGAGAACAAGCTAAAAACAAACACAGGGGCCATAATCCAGAAAGTTATGGTCTGAAATGCGCAAATATCAAAAAGGACTGAGATTTTTGGAATATAAAGATATGTTTTAAGTTTCATCAAAATCATAAAAAAAATTGTGACCTCTAGAGGGTCCATAACCTTTGTATAACATACTTATACACAATTTGTGTACAAAGAGCTGCCATTTTGTCGAATATCGACAGGAACCAAGATCTTTGGGTTATAACCAACCATGCATTTCAAGTTTCATCAAAATCGGATCAAAATTGTGACCTTTAGCAGGTCCACAACCTTGATATACCAGATGTTCAAACTATTTACGTACACAAGGGGCGGCCATTTTGTCTGACAGTTTTGGTCTGATTTTCACAAAATTCGAACTCAACCATCATTAGGGCGTAACGGTGATATACTAAAACGTTTTTTTAAATCGAATAAAAATTGTGACATCTAGAGGGACCACAAGCTAAAAACGCTATGATTTTTCATAAAATCAAGGGCCATATTTCAGGAAACAAGATATTTGTGTTATAAACATGCATTTCAAGTTTCATCAAAATCGGATCAAAATTGGAAACTCTAGAGTGTCCACAAGCTAAAAACGTGATTTTTCGTACAATCAGGGGACATAATCCATGAAGTTATGGTCCAATACATGCGAATACCAAAAGGAACCGAGATCTTCGGGAGATAGACCTATCTATATTTCAAGTTTCGTCAAAATAAGATAAGAATTGTGATCTGTAGAGTGTCCACAAACAAATTGTGGACAGACGGACAGGGGCGACGACAATATACGTCCACATGAAAATGTGGGCGTATAAAAACTGTAGCCTATATCGCATTCACAAGGTTTTTGGAATAGGGGCATAATTTGCATATTTCTTTACTCTTATTGAAGTGTTTTCATAAGTGCCTTACATCACCAATCTTTTTTAGAGGACAAAAATGCCCCAGTGTAGCCTACAGACATGTTCATATCCAGACATTTATATGTGCATGCGACTAGAATACAGTTTTTTTTTTTAAAGAATTCCACATAAATTTAACAGGTAATATTCCTTAAACATACATATTTTTAAACAATCGATAATTGTAACAAAAAAATCATAATTATCATTTTGTGACATAAAATCCTTTGTTTTAATTACTGGTATAAACTGTATACATTAAGGGTTCTCACTCTTTTTGTATTGTTTGATATTAATATATTCTAATATATTCACAAATATTTTTGAAAATGATTGGATGATAAAACTTATTGATAGGTATTTGTTATTAAATATAATAATTTAGCACTGATATATACTGATAAAAATTATATACTGATGTAGATAATAGATTTATAAAAATTGAAGCCTCCAGTCATGAACAAGACAACAATCACGATATAAATATATCTTTGAAATGATCTAAAATGATTTAAAACGAAACGGCTATTTTATCGGGAATGGTCTCCAAAGAATCTGACATGACGTCGGCTGTCGGATGCTGGGTCGCCATATTGAACCGTTGATGTGGTCAAACTTGTGGGACATAGTAACAGTATCTAAGGGGGCGGAGCTTATCTCCAAATCTCGGAACCATGAATTGAGGGCACTGGACCGACGAACGGATCAATGACAATATACGACCACATTTTTATTATTAATAAGCATTTTACAAATGTGAAAGTGTTTTCAGGTTTTTTGCATGAGACTCAAATCTTTTGACAGCGCAAGGGTTTCCTTCAAAGTCTGGTGGAGTGCTACGGTTTTCTCCAGCCTTTTTTGGCAATGTTAGCATTACTTAATTCTAATTTTAAATATTCACTGTTTTTAAAATCACAATATATGTCTACACTCTGACAGAGGCAGAAGTATAGTAAACGACATTTTGTTATCATGATTCATTGTTCTTGTTAAAACAGTCAATCGTGCAGCATACTAGTTGTATCGAATATGATAATGCATTAAAAAAATACTTTTTTCTTTTGTTATTTATTATTTTACATTTAATATTCCAAGTGTCAGTCATAGACAAAATCAAGGAAGTTAATTTGGATTATAAATCACCTTTAGACAGACCATTTGAAAGCATGTAACTATGCTATGACTCATTGCCATTTTCAGTGTTAAACAAAACAATATTGTCATAAATAAATCTATACAGGTTATAAGGGGTACTTCAAAGGATGTATATAACATTACAAACTAGTGTTCCATTGACCCATAATTAAGGGTCTAGTTTTATGTAGCTACGTGTACATGTTTGACAACATGTATTAATATCAATGGGTTAAATTACTCGGCAATCTCCACCATTAATATTACCAACCAGCAGTTGCCAGGCAAGATACGGCCACATTTTGCAAGAGATGGATAGAGAAAAAACTTTTAAAAAAACAGAAATGATTATCCATATAATCAGGGGCCATCGAAAGGGACTGAGATACTTGGGATTTAAAGATATATTTTAAGTTTCATTAAAACTGGATAAAAATTGTGACTTCTAGAGGGTCCACAACCTTGGTATTACATACTTTTACACTATTTGCGTACAAGAAGCGATCATTTTGTCCGGCAGTTTGGGTCAGATTTTTACGAAATTCAAACTCAACCTTCATTGATGTGTAACAGTGATATATTAAAATATTTTTTAAAATAGAATACAAATTGTGACTTCTAGTGGCTCCACAAGCTAAAAATGCGAATTTTCAAACAATCAGGGCAAGGAAGTTCAGTTATCAAAAGGAACCAAGATCTTCGTGATGTAAACATAAATTTCAAGTTTCATCAAAATCGGATCGTACGAGGGGCGACCATTTTGTCTGGCAGTTTGGGTCTGATTTTCAAAAAATTCAAACATATTAGGGTGTAACAGTGATATATTCAAACGTTTTTTTTTTAAATCGGATAAAATTTGTGAACTCTAGAGCGACCACAAGCTAAAACGCAATTTTTCGTACAATCAGGGGCCATAATTCAGAAAGTTACATTCATTATGCATGATTATCGAAAGGAACCAAGATCTTTGTGATATAAACATAAATTTAAAGCTTCATCAAAATTGGATGAAAATTGTGACGTCTAGAGAGTCCACAACCTTGATATGACATACTTTTACACTATTTGCGTACAGGGGGCGGTCATTTTGTCTGGCAGTTTTGGTCCGATTTTCACGAAATTCGAACACAACCCTCATTATGGTGTAACAGTGATATATTTCAACGGTTTCCTAAATCGAATAAAAATTGTGACCTCTAGAGTGTCCACATGCTACAAACTTGATTTTTCATACAATCAGGAGCCATAATCCATGAAGTTACGATCCGATGCATGCAAATTTCGAAAGGAACTGAGATCTTTGGGAGATACACTTATATTTCAAGTTTCGATAGAATTGGATAACAAACGAACACACAGACGGACGTGGAAAATGACATTATACGTCCACATGAAATTGTGGGCGTATAAAAATTACTTTTCTCCCATTCCTTTACTAATTTCCAAAACTTAAAGATAGAAGTCTGATTGACTATAAATACCTTGATACCCACGAATAGCAAACTCCATTATTGAAGACAGAATTTATCTGGTGATAAATTTCCATGACTAAGGTTTGTTTCCTACCTTGCATTCCAGAAGTTTTCTCAGAGAAACTGTTTCTGGCCGAAGAGTTTTCATCCTCTGTGTTATTGTGGTCTGTGGGATTGGTTTCTGTAGTCTGTTCTGGACAATGGTCACTACCACTTCCAGATGATGACATGCTACTTTGTGGAGATAGTGGAGCATGATCTGGTGCCAAATGGGACTGGCGTAATAAATGTCCATTGTTTGTCTGCAGCCAATCTGAAACATTCTTTTCCATATTGGGGGCACAATTTGGAAGGCCAGGTGGTGCAATGGAGCATGTTCTCCGAAGAGAAGCATGCTGATTGTTATTATTGTTGTTTGTTGTTGAAGTGTTTCCACCTGAAAAAGTGCCACAAAAGAATGTAAATGAAAGAAATCGGGTTAAACGTCCTGCTGAAAATGGCCTTAATTGTTAATGAATATCTTACACATTGACCTACTGGTATAAATCTTTTTTTTGTGCATTTCGAACCTAGCAAAATGTTTATTACTATTACCATTTACTTGAAACTGCCATATTTATTTGAAAGCATTTAATTTTTCTCCATATTATTGCTTAACTTACAAATGACCTTCGAATGAAGTTTGGACCGTTTTGCCATTTCAAATACATGTACATATTGAGTATATTAACTATATATGTAAGTACCTGAAAGGTAGCTTTATTTTAACTAAAATAAGATACTGGGTCAACCAGTTATTGTGTCAAATCACAACCCCAGCATGGAAAATTACAAAACTATGACTTGTTTATACCACTTATAAATTAATATAATATAAGCGCATCAATGAACAACCATACAGACTTTGGGGTATGAGAAATACATTAGATTGTTATCTAATTGTTTGTTATTGTGTGTGGTTGATGAATACAAAATGTAATAGCAGTACTAAGCAGCACATCCATGTTGGTTTTCTTACGTCTTTATTATGTCCATGTAGTTAAACGTTCACTTGACACAAACTTGGTCATTTTGGGACTAACATATGGTTCGATTCTATTTCAATAATGAGCATGCACATAGGGATCTTTAGGAGACCAAGAGAAAACAATGAGGTTGGACAGACGACCCTATTCCTTGTCACGTAGAAGCAGGGACTCGAAACCACGCTACTTGACACAATGACAGACCTTATGATCTATAGGGCTGCAACGATTCACAACTACCTCGATTCGGTTCGATTTTCACCATCCGATTCGATTATTTTCGATTCGATTATCAGCTACAATAGCCAGTAATTTTTCCTGTATATAATTCATTAAAAACAATAAAAACACAAGACTAAAATTCTCTTGTACACTTTTATTGGTTTGACAGGTTTGTTGTGTTTCCTGTTTCATGGGATATGTCAGTGTAGCATACTCTACAAGTTGCCACATCTTTAGAGTTTTTTCTTACTCCAAAATGATCCCAAACTTTAGATTTCAAATGACCAGGTGGTCGAGAAATACGTCGTCTGCCATAATTTTACCTTCCAGTCGTGTTTGCTTGACTACGGGTAATAAACACGAAAATATCCGAAGATAATGACCGGAATTATCAGCTAATGAGATTGTTTAGAATTTATATAATGATTACAGAAGCTATTGACCTAAATTAACATCCAATGAACATTCGGTACGTCACCAATTTTAAATAAGTTAACTTTCGTCAGCATACGGAAATTGTTTTAAAGGGAGGTCACTCTGTTTTAGTTATGTTTTCGAGTGACATTCGTGTCTTGTTAAATAACGTAAATTAAAAGTTACGTAAAAACAAAGTTTTTTTTTAATTTTAAGTGGACTTAATTGCTACAGGTCTTTCATTTTTTTTCATATGGTAAGGTGTACGTTGTTTTTATTTGAAATTTAATTTGCAATTGAACCGAATCGAAATTTGAACATTGTAGATCGTGGATCGAACCGAGACGGCTAGTGTCGGTTATCGGTGCACCGAACTGAATCTTTGCAGCTCTAATGATCTAACGCCCACGCGTTAACCATTCAGCAAATCAACCCCCCTGTATCTTAAAGAAGCTAAACCTCTGGTTTATGTCAAAATAAAACACTGAATTTGTTCGAACTGGTGTGTCATTTCTCCTTTTAATTAGTAATAGAACAAGCTGCATCACCATTAAATGTTTTGAAGTTTAAGCATATGCTGGCTTCTTTACTAATTTACATTTTCTTTGGATTGATGACATAGCTTCATCGACTTTATCTATGGACATAAAATTTGGAACAGACAAATTGTCTTTCCACAAAACAAATCAACACATAAAATTCATTGAAATCCACAATATTATTTTTCACCCAGATCGAAGTGGTCTAGACACTTTAAGTTAAATCAGCTTAAAACCAAGCATAAGAATAATGACACGTAAACAAATAAGTATTTCCTCAGAGAATTTTTATACACCTCCAAATATATACCCCCATTAAATTTTGATGTTATTGTAATACCTTATAAAATAGTAAAAATAAATGGAAATGACTTGTGTTAAATTAATATGACATGCTCAGAGAAATTTATGTACAAACTACAAAATCTTTTTCAAAAAAAAAAACCCTCAAATGTTTGGTTGTATAAGTTAATGTGCTTTTTATGATATTTTTTTATAAGAATAATTGTATGAAAGATGTATGCTTTTTTTCTGTCATATTAGACACCTATATTTATGTGCACAAAAATTAATAAATTATAATTTGGCTAAAATAATTTTAAGCATGTACAGTATGATGTAGTCAGAAAATTAATCCAGTCATTTAACAGAGTCTTCCACTGAATGGTTCAACAACTATTGCTCCAATGAACGTCCACGAGATTTTCGAAAGTAATCAAAGGCTATAACTCTGCCAGTAATTAGGCTTCTTCATATCATGATCATAAACATTGTGTATAAATTTTAAGTCAATTGAATGATTAATTTATCTTTTAGACTATAAATAATGTGTACAACTTATAAGTCAGTTGGATAATAACTTTAGCCTCTGGAGCCACTGGATATTAACTTTAGCCTCTGGAGCCACAACCAATTGTGGATGGCTGACACAGGACGACAATATACAACACTTCAATGTGGGCATATAAAAATGAGATTAAAATTAAAAATGTGAAGATTCTGGTCCAAATATAGAGCTGCAATCAGTACACCCAGGCCTTCACGTTTGATGCTTGCTGTCAATCTCACACTCCATTGCTCACCTAAATCCCAATTGCTCTCCCCAGTGGATTTTATTTCCCCAAAAGTCAGAAATGTTTTCATGTTTACTTCGTATTTACTTCCAATTAATTAGCTCTGTACCGACTTCAATCACATTCATACAATGTTTTAATCTGTTATCATTTTTCTTTGTAAGAATCGATCACGTGCGTGGGCGCCATCACGCTATTTTATTAATTTTCCAACCCACAGAAACATTCACTGGGCAACACACCAACACCATATCCACCCAAAAGTGTTCTCTGTGTGTTGCCTACAGGTCACAATTCTTAATGCATCGTCTTGGAACTAGGTACATGTATTCTTTATAGCCTAAGGACGGCCACTATTGATCTTGGTGCATGTCCCAACCCCTAGGGGCAGAATCATGCCCAATTTTTGTGTTTATCGTATACAGGCCACAATTCTGATTGGATTATCTTGGAATTTGGTATGCTTGGATGGCAACTATTGATTTTGGTGCATGATCCGTCCCCTTGGCCGGTGCCACATACACTTTTTGTTAATATTTTGTCTGTAAATAATCTACGAGTTGCAATTATTAACAGATTTGGATCCAATTCAGCATGATTCAGCATTGGGTTTTAACTATTTATACTGATCCATGTCCAATCCCGAGGGGCAGAGCCACGCCCAATTTTTTTGTGTGTTTTTTGTCTACAGGATGGAATTCTGAATGGATCATCTTGACACCAACTATTTATTTTGGTGCATGCCCAACATCCTGGGGCGGTGTCACACCCACTATTTTGTTAATAATTAGTCTGTAAATTTTGGCAAAACAAACCAAACACCTGGCCTTCTTTGCCTCTTGTCACATTACAGTCGTTGCAGCCATTTTATATTTCATTCTCTTCGTTTTAAAAAAATACCATATCAATCAAAGCAGGAATTTGGACGTACATGTATATTGCAGCGGTATAGCATTGCCCTTGTTCTTTTTTACTTTAAACATAATAATAGCAATGCAGTGTTTCATTCTTCAAATAAAGAGCATTACATATGATTGCACATGTCATCTCCTGTTCGCAATTCCAGAAAAGCAATTTTCAATTTTTTCCAATCCCATGAGAGCTTTTTCAGTTCTCCATTTTTTCAACGTGAAGGCCTGTACACCTACTGATTACAATTTAACCTGTACTTACTATTTTTCAAGAATGATTCTATTTTCATGTTGACATCCAGTTTATATCCTTATGTACATCTGATGACAGATTACGACTGGTCAGTTATAACACTAGTTGTTGTAATAAATAAACCAATACACCATAGATGTGTTAATATCTAACACACTAGATACATACAGACTTATTTCAACACAAATGAAGAAAACATACACAAGTCTTTAACGTCTATTCCACACTAATGTCTTTCCACTATATAAAACATGTCACATTAAAAGTCACTGTTCTACAAACATATGACATTACAAGACTAGTAGTCCACCCAAAATATTAAGGTATCATTTTAAACTTCATCAAAGTCAACAAACCTGACAAGTCAGTTTTTGATATGTGTAGGAAAAACTAAGTTTGCGACAACACCTACGTGTACATGTATCATTAGTAAGCAGACTAGTCCTCTAGGCTAATATATTTACTGTAGTGAGTATATGCTTGACCTTACAATACCTTGTGAATAAATAAATTCAACCCAGATTATCAGGTCACTAGTTTTTGGGTTGTTTTTTTTCAAATATGCAAATGTTCTGTAGAGATGGTCATTCAACGTTTCTCAAATGTTGATTCGAACAAAAGGAAAAATAATTGTAGACCAATTTCTGCATTTTTAATAATTTTTCAAAATTATTCAAGAATTAATTACAACAATAATTTTCGGATAAAGCACTTTTCTTTTCTTTATGTAAGTTAAAGCAAAGAAAAAATCCATTAATGTTTGATGTCACACACAACCAACCACCAGGTACAGTACTTAAAAAATGTTATTACCATCCCATTAAACAATTCATATTCAAACCTAAATCAATATGTATACATCCATTATGAATCATACCTAAATAGACTTCAAACATTTATCAAACATATTCTTACTGTCACTTACACATGACCGTATGATCCAAAAACATTTTCATAAACAGTTTAATACATGCCTCAAAACGGTTAAAAAGCAAATTA